CTAGAGCTGTCCCTGCCCCAGGAACTGGCATGCACTTGCACTGTTCCAGGATTCCCAAATCCCAGAAGCCCACTTGCTGCTTCCCTTCCCCCAGCTTCCCTGATAATTTTTATTTTTTTCCCCCTATTCTTGTTGCCCTCAGTTAAATTATGCCCGTTATTCCCATGACCTTGTGCTTCCCCCTCCCTTTGTTCCATTGATTCCCGCTGGCAAGGGCCGGTGCCGATGCACAGCCGGATTCCACACTCTGTGAGCAGGGACTGCCTTTGTTGGGAGCAGCTCTGGGCCTGCTGGGGCAGCTCCTTACAAAGACAAGCCCATGACTTGTGGGATTGAGTCTCCAGGGTCCCCACAGACCTGTCAGGTTCGGCACAGGGACGGGCTGAGCAGCTGGGATAGAGCTGGGATGGAGTTGTCTGAGCAGAGCAGCTCCTCTGGTGGGAGCCTGGTTGTGCCAGAGGGAAGGGGAGAGCTGAATAAATGCCAAGACATTTCAGGCTGGTCAGTGGGGATTGTCATCTTCAGGGTTTAAGTTTGATGGGGGAGTTAATAGCGAGGGAGGATGTTTTCTTCCTCTTAAAATAATGGGAAAGGAGGTGGAAAAAGGACTCTGGTCTGAGTAGATGTTGGCTATCTGAGCCTGGGTGATTTCTCTTGTAAGTTGGCTCAGTTCTGTGTTGACTCAGGATTTCTGGGTCCAAGAAGCTTTCAGAGCAAACCCAGTGCTATGGATAGGGAGCGTGAGATAGGTCTTGATCTCTTCCCCTCGTGCTGGAGCATCAACACAGTGCAGAAGAATTTGGTGCAGTCCCTCAGCTGTAATTGGGACTCTCTGTAGCCCACCCATTTAGCAATGTTAGAGGGGCAAAAATGTTTGTGACCACCTGATTCCTGTCCCTTCTCCAGGGGAATTCCCGTGCTCAGTCGCTGTTCTCACCATGTGTGTCCTTGGTGCATCTCCTCTGCTGCAGATTCCCATGTGAAGAGTGGAGATAAAGTCCCTCTGTCTTTGGGGAAACCTAGAGATGGATTTTCTAATCTTCCCAGACTTAGGCTCCCAAGTCCTCTCTTCAAAGCTGATAAGGAGGCTTGGGATTCTTAGATGTGTTGGTGAAGATGACTCTTAAGCCACCCAGCCCTGCTGAGTGCTGGCAGGCTGAGGATTAGAGGCAGTGCAGAGACAAAATAAACCCCACATAACCTGGCTTCCACACAAGCTGGGTTTATGGTGCCATGCCCACATCCTTTCTCCTTATGGTGCAAAGCCATTGAGGTGATCCCAGTTTGTGGGGACAGAAGTGCTGCCCTCCTCCAGCTCACCTGCTTTCCAGGCCTGTCTCTCTGTTCATGCTTCACTGTAGGAGGTGAGTGCTAAGAGACAGGGGAAAATCCACTTTGATTTCTAGAATCTTTGGGGGAAAATATTTGACTTTGCTCCCCAAACCCTCCCTCTGGATCACTTTCTGGTGCTGCCTTGCCAGGCCAGCCAGGAGCCTTGGAGGTAATGTGGGATCTGGGGACCTGTGTGGGTGGGAGTGTTTTGTGGCCAGGGCTGTGTTGCACTGGTGGCAGGGAATGATCAGCGTTCTTGGGGCTTCCCCAAGCCCTCCCTTCCCTGTGTTATTGCCTGGCCCAGCTTCATAACATTACAGTTCTACTGATAATGTCGTTCGTTTTCAGCTTTGATATTAAAACCTGCCCCGATTTGGCTCCTTTTCAACTGAAATGCTTTGCAGAAGGCAAAGGAGGGGGAAGAGGCAAAAGCAGGAATTTGGGGAATAAAAAAACCAAAGCCCCCATCCTTTAAGGTGAGGTGTTGGCTTTTGCAGGTGCATGGGCTGAGTAAACAGCCGTCCTGGGGCTCTGTGGTCCATGAGTGGCGATGTACTCGATGCACAACCTGTCTCTGTGAGGGTGGTGAGACATCCAGAAGCTGCACTGCCAGCTCATTTGCAAAACAGATTTGGTTCTGCTGCTGCTGCTGCTGCTGCAAAGTCAGGGGGAGATGGACTGTGGCTGCTCCCATCCCAACGTCCTGGTTCTTTGTGTGAGCACAGGGGAGGGTTGGACGAGCGGCACGTGGAGATAAAGGGATGAATTTAGAGTGCAGGGCCCTGTGTTTGGCAGGTGTCAGTGGCCTGGCAAGGCTGTGCACGTGGGTTAAGCTGTGAGGAGGAGAGGATTGGTGCTGTAATACAGGCACGTTGCTGTTGAGGTTGTACCCCGGAAACTGTGAGTTAACTAAATAATTAATGAAACTGGGACCTGCCTCTTCCCTGCTTTGCAGCTAAGGAGGCAAAGATGGGGTATGACTTCTAAAAACACTGGGCTGGAGCTCAGAAGATTGCTGTTCTGTCTTGTGCTCTCCAATTGACTGGGTAAATTTGGGGGTGGGTTGTTATATCTTTGTGCCTCCATCCTGGCTGCTGATGATAATTATTCCCTTTGCCTTGCTTACTGTGTATCTTGTTGATTTAGTCCCCACACTTTTGGGGCCAGAGGCATCTCTGCCACATTGCAGGGCTTTACCTGAAATGAAAAAAAAAACAAACCTGTGAAAGAGGAAATATTTCATTCTGTGATGGAACTGACTGCCAAAAACACTGCTGGGGGGGCAGCCCAAACACAGACCCAGTGCATGGGATTTGGTGCTGTGGTACAAGGTGAACCCGAGATGCTGGAAGGATCATCCTGGGGGTTACATCACTAATGTGGGATCTCTCTGGAGGACCAAGCCAGGGGCAGGACACCTGTGGCAGGATGTCACACAGGTGTCACACCTCCCTGTGTGCCCAGAGCTGGGGGTTCTGGAGGCTGGGGGCGGGGGGGCACAGGTCTGAGGGAGTTGGTGCTGTTTCAGAGTTCCTGCATGATCTTGGCCTTCCCCTGCACCAGTGCAGCTGCCTGGGAGGGAGATGGGGCTTGCAGCCTGTCCTGCTGACGTGTGTGGGAATAGTGGGAATAGCAGGGCACGGCGCGAGTCGGAGCGAGCGTCTGCTGGCAGATGGGCCCGGGGGTGGGAGTGGAACAGCGGGAGAGAAGCAGGGATGGGGGGTAATGAGGTGCCTTGGCAGAGCTGTGAAACCAAGGAATCTTCACTGCTCACATTCCAACTGCTGTCACATGGAACCTGGTGCTTCTGTCACCAGTTCTTTTCCATGGAGTCTCTTCCTGCCTCTCAAAGCCCTGGTTGGGCTTTGCTGCCTCCTGGCCGGGGCTGGGAGGGGCGAGCAGAGCAACGGGACTTCTTGTTGTTCCAAAAGCCACAAATCCTGGAGGAGAGCACTTCTGGGGAGGATCTGTGAACTTGGCCTCCAGCGCTCAGGGTTTGCAGCATCAGACTTAGCGTTTCCAGGAAAACCAACATGAAGAATGAAGCGTTCCGTGGGGAGGGAGCTGGTGCCTCTCTCTGTGCTCTGTGGCCAGGTACTTTGGAGCTCTGAAGAGTCTGAGACTGTCTGTGGCTTTGCAGGAGTCATGTGAAGGGGAAACTGAGGCAGGAGGACTGATAAAATTCAAATGTAATGGAAGGGCTGACTCAGCACCTGGGATGTGAAGTGCTGAGAGAGCTTCAGTGCCATCACTGGCTGACTCTGGCCTTTCCCATCTGCTTTCCAGTTGCCACTGTTTTGCTGTACTTCCTTTGCTCTTGGTTCTGGATGGTCTCAAGCCTCTGCAGTCATCCCTTGAGTGCCACTTTTGTTCAGGGGCTAGGTGACAAGGTCATGAGATTGGAGACTGGAGGCAGCCTGTGCTCTTTAAAAGCTTGAAATGCCACTTGGAACTTTGCAGAGCTCCTGGATTGCTCCTGGGATATAGAGGAGGGCTGGCAGGGCTGCCCTGGGCACAGGGACTGGCTGCTTCTCTGCACTCAGCTGTGGCAGCCACAGACCTGTGCCCTGGATCTCTTGCTAAATGCAGGAACCTGGGCTGCTCAGCTGAATCCCGGGTGATGGGGAGTGATCCTGAGTGCAGGGGACAGTTGGCTCGGCTGAAAATGTCCCCTGGAACAGGAATAACGTCGTTGTTGTTATAAATAGGACCGGGGGGGGGGTTTGTAACCTTCCTTAACCCACACATTTTGGGCAGATTGCAGCAGCTCTGCCTGTGTGTCCACACACAGGCAGATATGACCTGTTCTCACTCAAACATGGTGCTTGTTTGTGAGATGTGTCTTTTTTTTTTTTTTTTTTTCTTTCCCTTTTAAGATGCTGCATCTTTAACAAGCCCTTGATAGATGAGAATTTGATGCTTGCAGTGACAAACAGGCTCTTCCTTCCTGCCCATATGCACCATCATGCTTTCAGTTTCCCCAGCGTTATTATGGGAGGATATTGATTTTAAATCTGGTCGGGGATGCTGTAATTGTATATTAGATATTTTCTGTTGGTCTGTAGGGCTGCAGTAATGCAAAAGGCTTGAGTGTTTCCGTACAATCCAGAGGGGGAAGATTGCTAAGGACCTTGAGGTTTTGAAGGAGGAGGGGGGGAGAGGGAGGGGGAGAGACTGAGGGAGAGAGAGAGAGAGATACTGTGGTAGGAAGATTCAGAGATCTGTTGTGCCTTTTTTTTTTTTTTTTTTTTTTTGGTGTGTTGTTTTTTTCCTCCCCTTCCTTTCCCCCAGTTGCTTTGCATCAGGGCATGAAAGGAGTGGAAACACCGGGGGGACAAAAGGCACCAGAACAAATGATGAAACTCAGTAAGGAAATCAACTGGATTCAGAATTTATAGCTTTAAAACGTTGCATTGATCAGTGTGCGAATAGTCATTATGTGCTTTTGGGCTGCGTGATTAGGAAAGCAGATCAAGGCTCTCAAGATGATGATTTTTTCTTAGTTTTTTTTTTTTTTTTTTTCCCCTTTCTGCTTGTAATATATGTGTGTGTGTGTGTGCCTGTGTGTGTGAGAGAGAAGCATAAATACCAAAGTCTCTCTGGTCGCTTCTGCAAAGAGGGGAAAGTACAACCTTGTCTGATACTCAGGTTTCTCATCTCTCTTCTAGATGAAATTTTAGGCAAGAGAAGAGTATGTTCTCCCAACAGCAGCAGTGAGTGTCCTTTAGAAAGCAAGAAAGCCAGAAGTGAGTCCCCAAAGGGTAAGTGCTGCTTCTCCCTCCCTCCCCCATCCCCTTCCCCTTTCTTCTCTTTTCTTAAGAGTGGAACTTAATTGAAATTAAGGAGAGGGGAGGGAGGGAGGGTTGCAAGAGGCTGCGGTGTGGGAGCCGTGTCTGGCACTGAGGGTGCATGAGGGAGGCGACCAGGGCTCTCTGCTTTCTTTTATCTCCTCGGGGTAAAGGGGGAGGCTCTCGGTGCGAGCCTCTTAATTAGAATAATTGCTTTATGATTAAAAAAAAAAAAAAAAAGAAAAAGAGCAAGCAAGCTGCAGCCCTTGAGGTGGATTTTTAGGGGTGTTTCCACTTTTCAGGCAGAATGTCTTGATTACATGTTTAATATAAAGAGATACACGCAGGCTTATCGTGCTGGCATCTGTTCCTTTAAAGGGAAAAAAAAGAAGCCTGTCAGGGAGAATAGGGCTGCCTGGTTCTCTCTTATGCGTTTGTGGCTCTGTTCCTATAGAGATGGAATCTGCAGAAGGTTTCTCTGCTCAGGGATTTATTTTTATTTTTTAATCTCTTGGTTTGTCTTCGGGTTCTTTCCCGTAAAGGCGATTTTTAAACTTTCTTTAGGGCTGGCAAAGTGGGGTGGGTAATGGAGCCTGCAGTTAATGAGTTTTGTCTCCAGGTTGGGTAAATGAGGTTTTGCAGGCCGTTTGCTTAAAGGCTTTGTTGTTAAGTTCAAACTAATTAGCTGTCAGTAACACCCGTCGGGATCCCTGTGCCCAACCTGCACTCTTTGCCACTTAAAAAAACGAAAGCAGACTCTGTTCCATGGGTTTGGAGTTCAGCTGAGACTCTCTGAGGTGTATATTCTCAATAACCCATCCAGGGAACCTCAACAGGGACTTTTTGCAGCAATTTGTCCTAAAGCTTTCTTAAACTGCGTGCTTTATGTTATGCTTTATAAAGATATATTGTGGGGACCTGTTCTGCATCCTGATTTCACAGAATGTTCCTGTACATTGTTTCTTGTCCCCAAATTACGATCTGAAGGCAGCATACTCTGAGAGGATGTTGAGTGCTGATGTTACTTAATAGAATATTGCCAACATCACCTGAGAACATACTAAATCTTCTCTTTCATGTAACCCTCTCCTGCCTGTTAACTCTTTTGTACCAGTAGAAGTGCCTTGGATTTTACTGGGAACCCTTTATACTGCTACTCTTTATCTGTTTTCCTTGATTTGTTTTCATCTGCCCTGTTCCTGTTACCCTTGAAATGTTTCTTGTGGATGTGCAGGAAAATTCCAGCAGGATGCTTTGATAGGTTCCAAAACATGTTTGTTATATCAAGACTTGGGATTCCTGTAACACACTTGACACTTTGCTATTTCTGCTGAGTTTGTATCCTTTGGAATTCCAAGACAGTTCCTTCTTAGGAACTGAATCCAGGTAACAGCAAACCTGCGTGGCCTGGCTGAGAATGAGCTGAACCTTAAGCAAGCTGTCTGAAACCAAACTACTGCGTTTGGATTCATCCCAGTAAAGTGGCTGAACTGGCACAAATGGATTGGTTTTGCCACGGGAGCAGCAGGGTCAAGTGATCTCATTCCAGTTCTTTCCTCTGGCCTTCCCACAGTTTTTGTTTACTGGGGTGGGCTGGGGGCAGTGTGAGGCAGGTGAGGAGCCCTTGGCTTTGCAGGATGCACTTGGGATCTAAATCCTGCTCCTTTGCTCCCAGGGACTGGGAGATTCCCTTCCAGGGGTTCCCAGGAAGCCCCGAATAAAGAAAAAAAGTTTTGTTTTCTGCTCCCGCTTTTCTTCCCTTGGAAATCCTTCTCCTGCCCTTTGAAAGAGATGAGGCAGAGTGGAAATTTGGAGCTGGGCCTTTTAGTGATCTCCCATGTGACCTGTTTTTATTAGATCTTTGGAGAGCCCCTGTTCCCTCCAGTGCTGTGCAGGAATTTAAGCCTAGGCTGTGCCGATGCTGGAATACCATTGGAATAGTGAGGGGCTGAGACTTCTGTGCTTTGGGGGTCTTTGTCTACCCACCCCCTGCTATGAAAAGGGGGTTAAAGGAGAGGCTGCAGCCAATGTTTCTGTCTTTAGGCCCAAACAGTGGCAGCACCTCCCAGCTGAGAACTCCCAGGAGCCTTCCTGTGCTGCTGTCAGTCAGGCAGCGTTCCTGTGCCATGGAGGGAAACGATGCCCGTGTCCCCAGCTCTGGCTGGAAACAGAACCATCCACGCTGTGTGACAAGCCATTTTCAAATGGGAGGGACCCTAAAGGCCACTCACCTGGGATTTGGGAACTGCTGCAGTGGAGCAAAGTGCGAGGTTGTGCTGGAGCCCCAGGCTTGGCTGGGACCCAGAGTGCAGTTTGTGATTTAGGAGTGGGAAGGGAAGCAAGGACCGGTTGGAGTTCTGGAGCCTGTGCAGCCTCACGCTGTGCTGCAGTAGGAGCTGGGTCTGCAGTGTTCTCTGGGACACAGCCCTCCTTTTCCTCCAGCCTGGTGGTCCTGTGCCTTGTGCAGGTGCTGCTCCTCCACATCCCGCATCCCCTGTGGCGGTGACCGGCTCCAGGCAGGACTCTGCCCCTCTCCACCACACGCTGCCCTGGGAGCAGCTCTTGCTCTCCATCACACACTGCCCTAGAAGCAGCTTTTGCTGGGGGCACAGCTGCCTTGTCTCGGGAACAGCCTTTTGAAGAGCAGGAGTGACCCCATGGCACAGCTCGTGCTGCCGTGGCCGCGCCTGACAAGGCGAGGAGAACAGAGGCAGCCAAGGGAATCACTCCCGCTCTCCGACTGAGTGAAAAAACACCTGTAGGGCTGGAAACCCTTCCAGCGGGGAGCAGCCACCTTCCCTTCCCCCTCCCCAGCTCGCAGCGTGCGCTCCAGAGATCAAAAGAGAGCCCCATCTCGGTGGAAACGGGGCCGCGCCGCTGTCAAACAGAGCAGAACGTTCTCGCGTCTAATATGGAAATGGGAGCAGTATCAGAGGCTGGGAGCGAGGGCTGTGCTGGCAGGTCACGGAGGGAGCTTTCTCCTCTCCCCAGGAGACAATTCCCCAAGTGAAACCCTGGCTCTCCCGCGGCAGCAGCGTGTCTGGAGATCTGCTTCCCCGATACCCCGGGACGCGGAACAAAACCGAGGGATCGCGGGACAGGAAAAATCGGCAAGGAGCGTTTTGGTTCCCGTTTGAGCTGCTGAAAAATGTATCTGGTAGGAGCCTCCTCGTTTGGGAAGGTTGGAAGCCGGGCTGGAAGAAGCGCTGGAAAACAACACGTAGGGAACAATATTGTGCTCACCCCCTGGGGCGGGCGATGAGCTCATGCGCTGCTCCCTCTCTGCCATTCTCTTTTCTTTGCTATTGTGGATCATTTAAAACAAAACAAAGTCTTGCTGCGTCTTTGGGTGATGAACCAGACCAGAACTGGAGCTGGACTGCAGCTGAGCAATTCAGATCCAGCCTCTGTCAGTTTGGCCCCTCTCCTCCTTGGGGCAGCTGTCCAAATAGGCCAAATAGAGGAACAAGGTTTGGCCCCATTCTTGCTGAAAACTTCAGTTGCTTTCCCCCCAGACCCAGACTGCTGAATGTTGTGGGAGTGGACACAGCCCCCCCACCCCCTTGACCCTGGCAAGAGAAGACCCTAAAGCTACTGCCCAAGACCTGGCCTTGAGTTTGCAGTGAGATGCATTTGCAGCAGGTTCCTCGAGCTTTGACTGGGGTGGAATAAAGGGAACCTTGGCCTGTCATGGGTTTGTAGCAAAGGAGAAGGGATGGATAGGCTGGAATTGCTTGGAGAGGATGGACCTTACAGAATTCTTTGGAAGAGGTTGTGCAGCAGTGACACGTCCTTCGGGCTGCGTCCTCCAAGAGGTCCCTGTGGCTGTGCCATCAGTGGTGGCAGAGGTGGGCTCCCCTTGGCTCGGGTGAACAGGAGGGGGCTGGTGGAGAGCATGAGGGCCCAGCAGATGCTGCCTTGGCTCTGCCTTCCCACGGCCCTGCCAGAGTCCATTTCACACCTGGCGGCTGGAGGAGATTTGGCGAGATCAGTCTCCCGCATTACCCCCGGTAATGACAAAAGCAGACAGCAAAGCTTCAGCAAAGCTGGAATTACTGCTGGCTGAGTCATGTGAAATCTTCCAAGTTTTAAGTGTGGAAATCCAGCCTTTCCCTGGGCTCCTCCTTCCTCTTAGCCTTCCCTTGCCACCCCCATTCTCCCTCCCCTCCTTGCACCTGAAATCTGCTCTGCGGCTGATCCGATAGAGTTTATGGTAATTAAGTGTTATTAAATCCCCTCCCCCCCCTCCCTTTTCTTTCTCTAATGACACAGCTGTAGGGAGGGAAAAAAAATCAGTGTTTTTCTAAATCAGGTCTGTGGCATGTGGCTTTGCTCCTTAGACCTTTGGTTAAGAGCATCAGAAGGGAACTGAAACCTCGTGCTCCTGCATCCCTGGGGGAGGTGGCAGGAGTGGTGAGAGAGCAGAGGAGGATGTGGGAATGTGGCCCCTGGGAGTGACTTGGAGGGAAGGGGACCTGGAAGGGAATTCTGCCCACCACTCCCCTGCTTCCACCAGGGGTGTCTTGCAGGCTTTGGGTGCTGGAGGAGGGAGTGGGAGGGAGCAGGAGTGGCTTGGCTGTTGTCCAGGGCAGCCTCTCATTTTGGGGTCTGGCTTCTAGGGGTGAGGCTCACGGGCCAGCGTGGGAACCCAGCTCCTCATCCCAGCCAGCCTGAAGCAGGCTCTGAACCTGTGGTTGCACAGGAAGCCAGTGGTCCCTGAGATGCAGATGTGTGTCAGTGGGGTAGAGATCCGTGGTTGCAGATAGAGCCACAAATTGCTGTGCTGGAAGGTTGACCTGAGCTGGAGGGGACTGACTGAGGTAATTTCCCTTCTGCAGAGGAAGAGTGCCTTGGGAGCCAGTGGATGCAAACCCAACTTTGTGCAGCTCAGGCTATTTTAAAAAATAATAATATTATTTGTTGTTGCTGCTGTTGTTGTTGTTATTGCTGCTGTTATTGTTGTTATTCCCTCCTACGTTTTGGGGAGAGGGTGGCTTCATTACAACATGTGAAGGTTTCATCCACCAAAATCTGAGCCCTGTGTGCTTGGCTGGGCCATGGGTTTGGTGTCAGACAGCCCGTTCTGTGCAAGGCAGAGGTGACCCAGTCCCTGGGCTGCTGTGGCAGGGCCACGTTTTACAGCCACTCTGACTCTTTTCTGGCTGTTTTTGTCTGCCACAGACTTATCTTTTCTGATAGCCAGCTCAGGGGGCTTTGTCTCACCTGGGAGGGATCCACAGCTCTTTTCTCCCAGCAGGATGGCCAGTGCCTGTGCATTCCTCACAAACTGTGGTGCAAAGCAGGTGTCCTGTGTGCTCAGAGCCACCACCTTGAACTTGCAGCCAGTCTGGCAGCAGAATCACCTGCCGTGGTCCCTGGGGGAGTCTGTCAGTGAAATGAAGGAGCACAAATCCTGGGGCAGGCAGTGGGGTGGTCTTGTCACTCAGTGAACACAGTGGTGGTCCTGTGACTGCAGCGTGGGGGGAGCCCATCCTGCTCCCTCCCTTCCCCTCCGCCTGCTCAGATTGTTACTGGGAGTTCCTCTCTGAGTAATGAAAAGGCTTTGCCTGTGGGGAAGATCCGAGATAAAATAGTGTTAGAGCAGCCAAGGCGGAGAGTGGTAATTACTCTGATTTGTGCTTACAGTAAACAGAAAGCCTCTGTGGTTTTCTCTCCCTGACTGTCAGGCTGGGATCCCTCCTGCCCCAGGAGCAGGCAGGGCCTTCCTCAAAGCACCTCCCTCCCTGGGCTCTGCAGTCGTTCCGGGAAGATGGATAGGGAGGCATGCTGGGTGTGATTTTAATGGCCCCAGGGTGCTCAGCCACACGGTGCAGATGTGAAACAACCTGCTCCTGAGACTTCCCCAGCAGAGCTGGGCAGGTGGATGTTGTCACTGCCAGCATCACTTCCCTTGGGTGACGAGCATCTCTCACGTTTTTGTGCTCAGGAAGGTGGGGGGAAAGAGGTGCATGTCAGGCCAGGTATGAGCTGAAAAAAGAACTCATGTCCCCTGAGATGGAAGGGTGAGAATTCACTGAACTCTTCCATCCTCCCTGTCTCCTCTGCCACGTTGGGGGTACAGAGCTTGCTGGCAGTTTTGTGTTATTACAGCTTGGTGCTTTAGGAGGAAACAGAAAAAGCAGCTGATGAGTTTTTTGGGTGATGGGGGCTTTTCTGTATGTAAGTGTACCCATGTTTGGAGGTTTAGCAGGTTGTTAGGTGCCTTTTGACCACATACAGTGGTACATCTCGAGCACAAGGACAGGCTGATTTGGCAGCTTGGTACATCAGGCTCGGTGGGAACACTAAAGAGTTGTGGGAATTTGTGCTAATATCCCTCTAACCCCCTTATCTCTTTCTTTTTTTGCACTGTCCCTGTACTTACGTGATTTTTCTGCTGCATATCTCTCTGGAAAACAAAACAAAACAAAACAAAAGACCCAAATCTTTCTGCTCTTCAGAAAACTCCCACACGCCTCTGCTGGAGGACTCGGTGACTCAGATGACCCCGGAGGAGCACTACAGACGCATGATGTCAGCACTGAATGAGCATGGCACCTTTGAAGAGCAGCAGCAGCAACGTCTCTACCAGCTGGCCAACAGCATGGCAGTGCCCAGCCATGGAGGTACAGGATCTGCAGATGGGAGGAGGGGCCCATGGTGCCATTTGGGATAAGTCTGTCAAGGTTCCCAATCCCCCCTGTGTGCACCTGGTGGGGATTGATGGGCTGCAGTGTTCCGTGTTTATCATGCAGTGAATGCAAGTGGTGCTAAAAGGTGTCCTAGAGACACCTTTTCTCCCACCATCTCCATGGGGGCATCTCCCCTCAGCCATCTATAAGTGCCAATTCCTTCTGTAGCTCTCTGGGGGATACGCATTTCTTTACTGGAATAGATTTGCTACATCACAACTGTGTGTTTTGCACTGGTGCTGAGAGGGGTCCTTCCTTTGTTTGGAGGGTTTGTGTCAATGTGAATATTCAGAATCTCTGGTGTGAGGCTTTATTTGGGTCACGGTGTGGAGCAAGGGGGGATGAGTGTTGGCATAACACAGCAGGGGTGTGAGATGTAGACAGTGCCAGACACTCCTGCCCTTTGGTGATGGAAATGCAAAGAAGATGTTACCGCCTTCCCCCGGGGCTGGAGTGGTGCCCTTGAGGGGATAAGTGTCCTGCAGTGCTGGGATCTGAGGGGTCCCGTGTGAATGGAAGGATTGCTGGTGTGTTTTCCCTGGGCTGTGGAAGGAGCTGGCTGGATCCAGCGCGTCCTGCGCTGTGCCTAAAGGGGGCACCAGGCAGTTACAGGATCTGCCTTGGATCCACTTGGGAGGATGCAGGATCCAGGAACATTCCCTCCATCGGGTTCCTCAGCCCACCACACCTTCCCTCAGGGGAGCTGAAACTGCTGGCACCGGCTCAGCTTCACCCTGAGTAAAGCCAAGCCTTGTTCCGAGTCCTGTGCTGCAGGAGCCGGGGGTGGGGGGAGTAACTCAGCTCTCTGGAGCAGGCAAAGCCAGGGAGATGGAAGAGGTGATGCTGTTCCAGCCTTGGAAGCAGAGGGTCGAAGCATCACTGAAAAACAGTGCTGTGCAAGGATCTGTCCCCCTTCTGCTTCCTGCCCGAGAGTGTGGAGGGCTCACACGGTGAGCCGGGGAAGGAGCAGGGGCAGCATCAGCAAAGCATCCAGCAAGAGCTGGAGGAGAATCTCTGGTCTCATGTGTAAATCCCCGGGGCTCCTTGTTAGGTTAATGAAGAGGCTGTCTTCTTTTCCACTCTGTTTGATTCGATTGGCTTCTCTGGGGGCAGGAAGGCGATTCCATTCGCTGTGGAGCGAGGATTCGCTTATCAGCAAAGGCAGGGCACGGACCTGTGCTGAGGCACGACCTGGTGAGCGTGGCACGTGCTCTGCGTGTGGTGTTGAGCTGTCCCGGGCATCTTCAGAGCTGCAGGGCTCCTGCAAAGAGGGTACATGGGTACAGGGCCATAGGGCTGGGGTTTCACATGTTCATGTGATGAACACAGAGGAGAGGACACGACAGTATGCACAGGTTGAATATTCAACTGTGGCATTCAGATGTGGACCCTGTAGAACACGTGTGTAGACCATACAACAGAGCAAATACACAGCTCAAAATGTGTGTGGTGTGTACCAGTGCTGTGACAGGCAGTCATGACAGACCACCCAGCCTGGCATTGGATGGCTGCTGGACTCGTGGACATGTCCATCCCACCAGCATGTGCTGCAGAACAGCTGGGATCACCCCCTTCTCCCCCGTGGAACCAGCAGAGTAGCTCATTACGTTAAGAGCCTGACGTATTTTTATGATTATGACAGAATTGTCTCAGCAGCATGTGTAAGGTGAGGGGTCACACTGGGGTTTTGGGCAGGCAGGGGGAGAAGAGGCGCCTGCACGGACAAGACTCGCTCGTGTAACACTGACAAGACAAAACTTGGTGTATTTTTGGATTGTCTCCACACCACAGGGCCCTGGTTGGGCTATAAATTATTAGTACAAAGCGCAGTTTATCTGCGGGCTCACATGGAGGCACCAATAACATTAATAATTTAAAAAATGTTAATAATTTAGAAAAAAAATATTTTTTTAATTGCTTTTCAGCCTCTTCCCCCCTCCCCTCCTCCGCCCCCGTTCTCCCAGTGGCATTCATCCCACATTCTGAATTCAGTCTGTCTCCGTGCCTGGAACCTCCATCCGCCAGCGTCCCACTGTCAATCAATCTGATTTCCCAACTGTCAGAGTGCAGGATTGTAAATAACAGATCCTAGGGGAGAGGGGGTGGGCCTGGGCGAGGGCGTAGGGGCGCAGGGGAGGGGAGGAGGGGGGAAGCGGCGAGGAGAGGGTGGGTGTGCAGGGGGTTGTTGCGGTCATTCAGGATCAATGCAGCTCCTGGAACTGGCTGCACGCCAGACTTCTAAATTACAGGCGCTGTGGCGACGAGGAGTGACCTGGGTTTTTCAGATAATTAATTTATAAACATTTCGAGGTGCACGGCCCCTGGCTGGGCGAGTTCTCTGGGCTTTTTTTTTTTTTTTTTTAACGTGATCCGATGGGGTTTGGTGTTCCTTACGTGCCCCTGCAGTTCAGAAACTGTCATTTTAAGGGCTGTCCCCTCAGCTGGGGGTGGGGGACAGGGATTGTGCACGTGGGAGTGTGGCTGGATATTCAGGCACCGGTGCCTGCCTTACTGCCAGCAAAAACAGCAGCTGTGCAAGTGTTTCCACCCCAGCCACGGGGCTTCAGCCCTGACCATCACCAAAATGTTGGATGATGTGACTGAGGAAGCTCAGGCTGGGCTAATAGAGATGTGAGTTTCTGGTATTTCCAGAACTGAAGGAAAGCAGCATGGTGGTATAAAGGAAGGCAGGGAGATGGGAAGTCTGTCATCACCAGGGTCATGCATTGTTCTTACGGTAACCTGGCTTTACAAATTCCGTTGTGGGAAGAGGAGGGATGTGCTGCTGGACGTGTGGAGGGCTTTGCAATCTCAGTATGCAAGCTGATCCTGCCCAGGGTGTGTGTTCACTGAGATAAATCTCCTGCTCCTGCTGTCCCCAGCTGTGTTTTGGTTTCCTTTTGCAGCCTGGTGCATGATGAGCACGTGAGGGAGGTCTCCTCTGAGTATGCTTTTGTGTGTGTGAGTTTCCTGTGTACTCTGTGAATGGCAGCAGAGGTTTTGTTGTGGGATATAAGTTGTGTATGGGGTGTTTTTATATAGATACAGGGACTAAGGGAGTCCTGATGATTAACTGGGAGAGAGGAGCACTCTGGAAAAGCTTCTCTCGGTGTGCCTGGTATGGGTGCCCATGTCACCAGTGCTTCTTGTTCTCTGAGCAGTAGCACATCAGCTGTACCTGCATCACCTGCTCCTCCTTGGGGCTTGCTGTGATCCCCTTTAGTGGTGCCTGAGGTGATTGTGGCTATGCCTGCACTGTCCATCACACAGCCCCTGTGTGGGCAGCTTGTCTGCGCTGACACCCGCCCTGGAGAGACTGTACAAGTGTATAACCTGTCACTGCACAGGTGTCACTGTAGGGTGACACAGGTCACAGGTTCTGCAGTGGTACCAGGGCAGCACAGGTTTAATGAGGGGCGCATTTCTGACCTGCAGCTGATGTCTGATGGAAGTGTTGTGCCTGAGGCTGGAGGGGCCCCTCCTGTACCCCGTCCTCCTCTGCTCTGTGGCCAGGCCCTTCCCGTTCCTACAGCAGAGCTGTGCCAGGCAGGTACAGACCCTGCAGGGCCAGCCCTCACCCCTTGCCCAGGTGAGGCCACAGCATCCCCCAGGATGTGGGTGGCTGACTGGGGGGGCCACCATGTTTGGGAAAACAGCCCTGGGTGCTCCAACTGCTGTGACCCTGCTGCCAGGCTGTCCCTGGGAGCAGGGATGTGTGTTCCTGGGCAGGGAGTCAGGTGTGGATTAAGGGGCTGCCCAGGGAAGTGTGGCCCCCTGTTCCCTGCATTCAGCAGCAGCTGGAGGTGCTGGGCTGTGTTTTCGGGGTGGATGCTGTCCCGACGGGGGCAGAGCACACGCGGTAAGCTCCGCGGCCCCCGGGGGAGCCCCCATAACCTCGGCGGAGCCCAGCGGGGGCTACGGGGGGCGGAGGGAGCGCGGCAGGGCCGGGGCAGGTGCCACCGCAGCTCCGCTCAGGACCGACCCGGAGGCTCCGCGCCCGCGGAGAGGGAGCAGAGGGCAGTTTGGGGAGATCCTCCCCGCATCCATCCATCCATCCATCCTTCCCTCCCTTTTTCCCCCCTCCTTCCCTCCCTCCTTCCCTCCGGCAGGAAGGCAATTAAACAGCAAATCCAACCCCCCCCTCCCCTCCCTCCTTCCCTCCCTCTCTCTCCCTCCCGTAGTTGCACAATTTCCTCCGCTGCCAAACTCCCTCGGCGGCGGAGGCGGATCCCGCCAAGAGCAGCCCGAGCCCGCTCCGCCGTGTGAGTACCGGGGCAGCCCCTGCCGGAGCCCCGGAGCCGCGGGGATGGATGGCACGGGGGGGGCATCAGCTGTCGCCCGAGGGGCTGCGGGCACGGCCGGGAGCAGCCCCGGGGCAGCGCTGTCGCCCGCGGGGAGCCCGGAGCATCCCCGGAGCAGCCCCCGCGGCGGGGACGGGCGGGCAGCGGGTGTTTCTTCTGCCCGTCCATCCGCGGGGCTGGGGCGAGGGGAGGGGGTTTGTGCGGGGGGTCGATGCCGGGGCAGGCAGCTCATCCCTTCCCTCCTCATCCCAGATCTCCTGCGGGCGCGGCAAGAGGTGGCGGCGGCGGCGGCGGCGGCGCGGAACCCCGGCGCGATGGAAGCGCACATCCCCTCGGCCAGCAACTCTTCCAGCCAGCGGAGGAAGCAGGGCCTCCCCCAGCACAGGGACACCCACTTCCCCGAGAGGTACCGCGGGGGCGGGGTTTGGTGGGGGGTGTGGGGCTTCGCGCCGGTGGCACCCTCGGGAAAGGCTGGGAAAGGCTGGCAAGGGTGTCCTGGGGGTGCAGGAGGGGAGGGAGCGCCTGGGCCAAGCGTTGGAAGAGGCTGCCCCGGGAAGTGGTGGAGTCACCGTCCCTGGAAGTGTTCGAAAAAGTTGTGGATGTGGCGCTTTGGGGACGGGGTTTAGCAGTAGACAGGGAAGTGTCAGGTTAACAGTTGGACTCAACTGTCTTGGAGGGCTTCTCCAGCCTTAAGGACTCTGTTGTTCTGTGCAGTGCCCAGGGGTTGGGCAGGGTTGGTTTGCCCAGGTAAGGTGTGAGTGTCTCCCCTGGGTGTTGTGCAGGTGCAGAGGTTGGTGGGGGGTGTTCTGTCCCATGCTGGGGTGTCTGTATGGAAAAGGGAGTGATAGATGCTTGGGCACATGTGCATCCACATCCAGGTGAGCAGCTGTCTGGCTGGAATGATCCCAATCCTGCCCTGGATCTCCAGAGCAGATGCCACTTTAACCTCTTCTTTGGCCAAGAGCAAGTTAAGGTGTTTAACTTTGCAGCATCCCTGGATGAGGAGAGAGAACAAATGCTCTCAGATGGAATAGAAAGAGAAGTTTTCTTTTTTTAAGGAAAAGAGGCACAGCTTGCCTTTACCACTGCTAGGAGTGCTGGAAAGCTGATATTCCCCCCACCCTCCCTTTCCCCCCAGGAAATTCTAGCTCATTTATCTTGCTCTGTGCCACGAGCCATTCCCTCTGCAATCAAGAACTTCAGAGGGAAATTAAATTAAAGCTGTGTGCATTTCTGACACACAGGGATAGCAGAGGCGGGAAAGGGCCACAGGGATGCAGAGGCTCAGGATATCACGGGACAAGCCGTGAAAGACTCTGGTATTCAGACTTTTTTTGGCTTTCCTGAGGGGGTGGGTGCAGAGCAGGCTGCACATCACTTCTGTAGCACGTGTATGTATGTGTTGAGTCCAGAGTTTCCCCCCCACATTTATAGCCTTGGAGATCCTTCTTTTTTTTTTCTTTTTCCCCTCCTGTTTTCTCCTTCTGTCCCACCAGTGCCTTTGCAATGTGTAGGGGCTGGGCAGACCCGGTGAACCCTTCTCCTCCCGCAGGGTGTACTTTGGCTAACCCGCCTCATAAAGCGCAGCCCGATCCGTGCGGGTTGCAGGCAGACCTGTGAGGAATGCAGGGATCCACGGGTTTCAGCACAGCCAGTCAGCAGGAACATTTCTCCAGCGCTGTGTGGCCTGGAGAGGTGCCAGGCCAGCCAGAGGCCCGGCTGGAAAGGCATGTACGGGAAGGGTGGAGGCTTCTTACGGGGAGGTGCTGCTCGCAGGAGGGGCAAACCGAAAATGGGCTCGGTGTGCATCAGACCCAGGGGCACTTGCCACTGCCAGGCAGGTGCTGTAGGTAATGGAGCTGGGCTAGGCCAGGAAATCTGGTTTGGGAAAAGCAGAGAGAAGTTGCTCACTAGCTCAGGGGACAGAGAGTGAAGGCCAGGAGTTGATTATTGGAACAAACCACTACTTTTCATCTTGATTCGGTTCTCCAAGCAGCCCTGGGAATAGTTGCATTGGTGTGGGAGCGAAATCCTGGCGAGCTGAGGAGGGGGGAGGAACACACAGGGGCACAGCCTGCCTTTGATGTCGAGAGAAACACCTGTGGGACCTTGGAATAGGTCTGCAGGAGTCACTCAGTGTCTCAGTGTCCCTTGTTGCTCAGGTCTCATCTTGAAAGCAAGGTTGTAGTTTGGCATTTGGGAAGGCTTTTGAGTGGCTCAGTTTCAAGAGCAGTGCAGTGTGGTTAAGTTGTGTGGAGCAAGGATATTTGCACCCACTTGTAAAGGTCTGGTTATTTGGCTGTGAGCAAGACCAGCCCATGGCTGTGTTGGTGGGCACGAAACAAAAAAAGCTGGTTTTTGCTTGTTTTTTTTGTTCACTCTGTGGTCTCGTTTCTGTCCAAGAGCTTGCAGGCTGAAATAAGGCTCACAGCAGGTTATCAACCAGGCTGTTGTTTTCTCCCAGCACTCCCAGCTCTGACTCTACATCCAGGACCTGCTCTTATTCCTGGGCAGAGTAATTCTCCAAGGAGCTTTGAGACAAACCATGTTGAAACATCCCCCTGGTGTGGGCCTGGCTGGGCACATCCTGTGCTCCTTTCTTCTGCCATCCCAAGACATGGCAAGACCAGGCTGTTTGTGTTTTCTGCAGCCACCTGCTCCGACAGGGAGGGTGTGGTGAGGTCCTGTGTGGCCAACCTCCTTGGCCAGGCTCTCAAGTGTAAAAATCCTTGGTTAGCAGAGCTGGGGAAACCTGCTGGGAAATGGGAAGCTACCACAGTCATGACTTGGTATGGTTTGTGGATGGACCCATCTCTTGGAGTGTCCAAGGCCAAGCTGGATGGAGCTCTGAGCATCCTGCTCTAGTGCATGGGAAGGTGTCCCTGCCCGTGGCAGGGGATTGGAACTCGATGATTTTTAAGGTCCCTTCCAACCCAAACCATTCTGTGATTGGTTCACAAGGTTGTTAATTCTCCCCAGAGCTCTGCAGCCACCTGAGCATCACTGAGGGTCCACTTGCATCCCTCTGCTCCCACTCAGAAGTGACCTGTTTGGAGCTGTCCTGTGCAAACTGATCCTGGCTGTTCAGCCAAAACCCCCACAGGTGTTTTTAGGAGTGCCAGGAGAAGCTGTGGCCGTGTGTTATGACACAGTCAAGTTCTGTGTGGGGTAATTTCTCCCTTCCATTCCCTGCTAGCCTTGGGTTTTGTGCTTGTCTGCCATGGTCTTTGTCAACAGGGTAAATCACAGCAGCCTCTGTGCACCTTTATTATGAAGGTACAGAATTTTCCAGAGGTTCAGGTGGGCGCTGACAGAGGAGGAGGCAGTGGAAGAAGCTGCTTCATGTTCGTAGGCAAAACTGTGGGTAGATTTACAGCGTCTCCTTTCCCAGGAGCAGAAGTAATAACACATGATGCAGGGGGATGTGAACTGTTTGGCATGGTGTTAAAATTCCATTTCAGCTTCCTATCGGGAGATCTGTGGGGATCAGGTCAGCTCTCAGGTGCAGCAGCTTTGTGGGCAAGAATAATTAGCCACTTCAACCATTATGTCTGGCAAAGCAAAGGGGGGGGAAACCCACACTGGTGACCCAGTTTTATTCATCAGGGCAGTGCTGATGTTTTTGCAAAGACAGGAATGCAGAGAACTTGCCTGATAATGAGGACTACACATACAGTTTTTCCCGTTTCCAGGGGTGAGGGTGGGTCTGAGACAGGGAACAGTGGGAAGGTGGGTGTGTTCAGACATCCACCAACTAATTATCACCCATTTTTGCTGGTCAGAAACAGGCTGGGAGGTTTAATGACACTAAGGACAAGGCAGGCAGTGAGTAGTGGCTTTGAGGGGATGATGCACACATGTACACACAAACACATGGATGTGGATTTTCTTGGACCAGGCTAAAAGGTCCTTTTAGTGGCATGGTGGCCACTTCACCTCTTTGCTCCAGCAAAGAGTTGGTAAAACTGAGACATCTTGCCAAAAGTAGACTCAGGCCACAGGCAGGAGAACCCACTTGGTTTCATGGTTTTGGTTTCCTAGATCCTTCCTAGATGGATTCAGACTCGGATTACGGAGTGCCAGGGCCTGGTGGTTCGTTTGAAAGGATTGTTGAGCTCAGCGTTATAAAAAGACTTGGAAGAGGAAAGGGAACAGCTAAAAGGTGCCACTGTAGCTGCTCCAGCCTGGAGCACTTCCCTCCTCCAAACTGCTGCGTCTCCTGCAGAAATGGCAGATGTCTGTGCCCTGCAGAGCTTCTTGGATCCCACCCCCTGGATCCTGTCTCCAAGCTTTGCTGGCAGAGCGCTTGGTTTCGCTGGGGTCGTTTAGCCTGGCATGTTCTCACCCAAGGTGCTCGTCTGGGTGCCTCTCTGCGAGCAGGCTGGTGTGTGTGTGTGTCTGGAGCCTGGGGGACACTTGTGTTCTCCCCCTGGAAGGAAACTCTTTCGTGCCCTGCAAACAGAAGGAACTGACTGGGTGGGAGCAGTGGGGTGAAGCTCGCTGGCTGAATGTGATGCATCAGGTCTGGGTTAGGAGTTGGGCTGGGGTGGGGATGGGGACCTACCCCTCTCTCGAGCCCGGTCAGAGGAAGGGCAGGAGTTGAGGCAGGTCCTTGGTACAAGCCCTCAGCTGGCTCTGGGGCTGTCTGTATCCAGCATTAGGGGCACTCCAGGACCACAGGCAGTTACAGGAGAAGGCAGGAGGAATGCCAAGGAATGAGAAAGACTGCCTGCCTGAGATGCCATCAGCATCCTCATCTCCAGGGTCCTGGGAAGCTGAGCCCTTTGGCTGGAGTGCTCTGGGAATGGGAGCCACAGAGTCTCAGAGAGGCTCTCATGGCCCTTCCCTTGCAGAGCTGACAGACATCGTGCATCAGCCAGAGGCTTTCTCTGAGCAGAGATGTGCCCAAAATACCCAGCAAGGGTTTTTGGATGGAGTTCTTTCCATCTGCTGTTGCTATGATTTGTTCTTTCACCACCTAATTCCTCCCCCCTGTTTTTTTGGAGGCTTTCCTTTTCACTCCTGGCTCCTTGGGCACATCCTCCTGTGCTCTCTGGGCACTGTCTCTCCCCTCCTCTTACCCACTCCAGCCTTGCATCCCCCTCTCTGCTCTGAATATTCTGATTTTCCGATTTTGCACTGGAGGGATCCTCAGCAGATCCCAGCTGGCTGAATGTTATGCAGAGCAAAGGCCAAAGAGCTTTGACCTGATTTAACTAATTTGGTTTTAGCACCAGTTTGGATTTTGAGGGAGTGACTTCCCCGGGCAGCACAAACCAGGCTGTCTCTCCGTGTCCAGACCTCGTTGCTGCCCTAGAAGGGCAGCTCCAGCGCGTGTCTTTTCCTGCCTGGAAATCCCAAACACCATTTTTAGAAAGTCCCTTTCATTTTATTTATTTTTCCCTTCCTGGCACAGTGTCTGGGGATGGCAGAGCAGCGAGGAGCTGTGTGCTGCCTGCCTGCCTATTACCTCGGGTTTAAAGTGTCTCTTCCTATCAAATGCAGAGCAGGAGAAAGCAGAGCTTTCATGCATTCTTTTTTTTTTTTTTCCCCCCCTTCTTCCATCCGTTCTAAATTTATTTCCATGCCTTGCCGGTTTCAATCTGCATTTCCTGACCCTCTCACATCTCCAGTCACAGCCTGTGCTCCGAGCCTTCCCTTGGAAGCTTGGATGGAGTCAGGGGGGGAGCATTGCTCTGGGCTTGGGAGGATATGATGGGGTTAAAGTGAAAGGCTTGGTTTTAACAGTATAATGTGTAACCCCATAATGACTTTAAATATTGATTATTTGAAGGCCATTAGTGCTTATTGTTAAAGAAAAGTCAATACTTTTTAAGCCTTGTGAACCATTTGTCTCCTGTTAAAGGACATATCAAATTTAGCAGCATGCAGTGCAAATCCCCTAATACCCTGCTCACAAGCCTCCAGCTGGCATATTAGGGGGGGAAAAAAAGAAAAGGGGGTTGGGGGGAGGAATATGCAGTAACACAGAACTGCTCTCTGCAAGGTAAGGACAAGGCTTATCAGATATAATTGCCAGGGGCTAAATTCAGGTTCTCAGAATATGGGGCTGTAATTCTGCCCTTTGAGTGGTGGAGGAAGAGGAGGAAGGAATTTAATGGAGGGGTTGAAGGCTGGTACATACCTGGGAAAGGATGCAAGGATTAGTGTTGTGCTGCATGTCTGTCTAAAAGCACAGCAGCCTTTGTTAAAGTCTCCGGGGCTTTTTACTCCTCGGGTTGCCAGTTCTTTTCCAAGCTGGCTTGGAAGCAAATTGGCTGTATCTGCACCAGGCAGCCTGGGAGGGCTTCCCAGCTCCGTGCCAGGACACGACCTGGTGGTACTGCCTCCCTCCTGTGCCAGGTCTGCGTGCCAAATACCAGGCAGATGGGCTGGGAGGGAGCAGTGGCAGGCTCCAACAGGTTCTGTGTCCAGAGGGTTGGGTTTGTGGGATGGCAGGAAGCGTCTGTCCAGGGTCTCACACGGAGGTGAGATGCTCCTCAGGGCACTGCAGCAGGAGCTGTGGAGCAGCAGGATGCCTGCAGGGAGAAGAGTCCCTTGTTTCCTAAATATTTATGAGCACGCCTGCTGGCTTTTTGAGCTCTGTGCTGCTGGGGATTGATGCTGAGTGTCGAGGGGGACAACAGGAGAGGTGCAACGACCCCTTCATGTTGGGCCATCTGCAGCCTCCCTTCTCTGACTTCAGGCCGGGCTCCAGAGGTGTGGTGTGGGACCTTGGGCTGCTCTTGTTCCTTGGCCTCACCAGCAGTGCTTCCCTGTGGTGGGATTGTTTGGTGGGGAGCTCCAGGGCTGCTGAGAGGACAGTGCCAGGGTCTCTGTGGCACGGTGACAGCACGTGTGAATGCACCTCCCTGAATTTTCCAAGCCTTTGGCATGTGTGGAACGGAGGCAGCACCTGACTTCTCAGTCTGAAGTCACCCCTGCTGTGCTCAGCCCTGTTCCTGCCACTGGGATTGGAGCCAGGAGCTTTGTCCCTTTGCTGCATCCCCTTCCCCACCCGGGCACCCCTCACTGGCCAGCCCAAACCAGGGGCTGATCCCAGGCCCCAGAGGGCAGGGAAGCTCCGAGGAGAGGTCTGAGGGAATGAACTGCAGAGAGTCTCAATCAGATGTGAATTCCTGAGGGATCAAAGTTATGCCCATTAGCACAACATTAAAGCATAAAAACAACCTCTGATAAACACCGGGCTGCCACCAAAGAGGGAACCATTTATTTTCCGGTGCTCGGTCCTGATCCCCATCAAACACTGCCCTTCCTGGGCACAGACTGTGTGTTCTTGGCCAAAATCAGGAAGCTCCTTTGTTTTTTTTAGCATCCCCTTTGGGCTGCCCCCACCTGGGGCTTCGGGACCCTCCTGCAGGACCCCCCTTTTCTGCATCTTGACGGGGGCGAGGCTGCTCGCCCGGCCACCGAACGGGTTAAAAGCGACTTGATTTCCCTAAATTGCTTCTTATAAAACGAACAGCACGTCTGCCCGGGCTCGTCTCCCCGTGATTACAGCTAATTACGATCGAGCGGACACCTCGGAGCCCCCGTCACGCCGCTTTAATTGTCCGTTATTCATCCGCGGGCTGTCCGGGGTGGCAAAAAAGCACTTGGCAGCCCCGGCGACCGGGGGGCCTCGGCTAATTGTGAGGCCTCGGGGATTAGGGCAGGTGATTACACACTTCATGGTGTAATTACATAAGCATCGCTTGGCTGCTGCCCCGGCTCGGAGCCGAAGGTCAGGCGCTGCGTTACCTGAGATTAATTGGAGCTGCCAGCGGAGTGCGAGGTGCTGGCGGAGCGGTTATACGATTAGCATTAACATTTCAACAGCGACCGATCGATCCGTGGCTCTCCTCCAGACACAGCGAGCTGTGCAATTAGTTTAGAGGAGAGCTAGGGGAGGGAAGGAGGAGGAGGAGGAGGAGGAGGAAGAGGGGGGAAGGAGAGCCGTGGAGGCAGCCAGGGGAAGGGAGAAAGGGGAGGAAGAGATGGGCGAGGGGGTAAGCCAGGAGGAATTTTGGAGGGGGATCTCAGCCGTGGATCAGCGTTTTGTAGTGGCTGTTGCACCGAGTGGGGGTAAAACCACACTGGGAACATCTCTCCTTGCCCACCTCACCCCCTAAAGAGTCCTTATCTGGCTTTTCACGGTGTTAATCCAACCCCAACCGCATGGGACAGCTGGGAGTCCTCATCCCACCCTCCCATGTCACCCCCCCTTTTGAAATGGGCAGCGTGGTTGTGCATGTGGTCTGTTTGATGCAAAGTCACAGGCACCTTCTGGCTCCCTTTCTCTTGCCCTCCAGTCTCTCCCGATGCAGATTTTACAGGGAGATACTGTAAAATGAAAATAAACGGCACAGCACTTGGCTTTGCCTCTGGATGCCCTGGTGAAGGTAATAATGTTGTAAGTGGCCATCAAAAGGAATTAAGAGACGTGCAGCCGGAAAGCAGATTTGCTTGCAGGCTCCCAGGGCAGATTTGACTAATGGAAGAGACCTTGGCTCTTATTCCCTTCCTGCCTTTTTTTTTTTTTTTTTTTTCTTTTTCTTGCCTTTTTCCCCCCCTGCTGCAAGCAAGTGCTACCTGCCTTGCTTCTAGGCATTGTCCCCTTCCCACCACTCAAACCTACCTCCTCCAGCTGACTTACCACCTGGCATCTGCTCTGCCCATTCTGACCAACATCACCCACCCCTGCTCCAGCAAGGCTCCTTCCCGCTGGCCCCATGGCACTTCCACATCCACCTCTCCTGCCTGTGCCTCCTGAGCCGGGGCCCTTTGGATGGAGCCTCCACCAGGTTTTCAATGTACTCTTTTAATTTCTGATTTCTGCAGGGAGATATCGCACCCACCGCCTCTGCTCTCACCCCAGAACGCTCCCCACATTGCCCTGGGGCCCCACTTGAGACCTCCCTTCCTCGGGGTGCCTTCGGCGCTGTGCCAGACGCCAGGTGAGTGCACAGGTAACGTTTGTGGGCAGCCAGGGCGGGCTGAGACAAACTGACCTCCACCCAAACAGCCCAGGCACACTTTCTGTGTCTCCCCCTGACTGTTGTGCTGGCTTCACCCTGGTTTTGCAGCAGTAGGAGCAGTTGCTTTGGCTGCCCATTTTTAGTCTCCACCAACCTCCCTGTGTCCTGTGTTTCAACCACAGGCTGTGCTGCCGTGGGAGTGAGGATGGGCTCTAGAGCAGAAAGCAGCACTCAGTTGCCCTTTCCTTTCTAAGCCAGCCCTCTGGAGAGCTGGCCTGAAGTAGCAAAGAGTCAGTGCTGAGATAAAATAACCCCAGAGTGCTGTTCTCTCTGTCCCCAGGTTACGGGTTCCTCCAGCCGGCACAAGCGGAGATGTTTGCACGGCAGCAGGAGATGCTACGAAAGCAAAACCTGGCCAGGTGAGAGTGGGAGAGGGCTGGATTTTTCCTTCCTTTCCCATCAGCAGTGGAGTGGGTGCTGTGTGGGGTGAGTAGTGCCCAGGTGACAGAGCAGTGTCCAAGTGAGACCAGGGGAAACACTGTGTGGGTGTGGAGCACAGATAAAGTGGGACTGACACACAAAATTCTCCCAGAAGGAAGAAGAAGGCATGTTCATCTTGTGGTGTTGGGTCTAGTCCCATGGAATGCACCATTAATGGCATAAGGCAAGACCAAATACTCCCTTCACAAGCAAGGCTGGCAGCATCACATTATTTAACACATTAAGCCCAACCCAAGACATGAAAGTAGCAAGTCCTAATACAGGTCATTGCTGCACTACAATGATCACACACTGTAGAGGAAAGTCCAAGCAAAAAGTCTGATGCTCTGTAACAGGACATTTAAAAATAACTCTATTTGGAAAGGGACCTGGTTTGGAATATTTTCACACTTACTGCACATTTGTTCAGTAGATCAGAATCTGCAGTGGAGAGAGAAAAAAGCTACCAGAAGAAAATTCACACAGTCACAAGAATGTTAATATTTGCTCTGAAAGATCCCCTAGCCCTGTCCTGAACCTCTCCATGCCCACCCCTCCCACACTGTGGTTTTCTTAAGGCTGAGGGCACCCTTAAATGAGGTGGCTGAGGTGAACCAGCAAGGTGGCTCAGCGAGGATGGGGGCGAGTCACTGCCAACGTTATCCCCTCTGCCTCTCCCCACCCAGGTTGGAGATGTCGGCCGAGATCATCCGCCAGAAGGAGCTGGAGAACCTCCACCGCCAGAGGCTGCTGGCCGGAGACCCCCTGAGCCTGCACCCGGGGCTGCCCCCGGACCACCCGGCCCTGCGCAACGTGCACGACATCCCCGAGGGGCACCCGCTGCGGGAGGAGCTGTCCCGGCGGAACGCCATGCTGGTGCTGCGGCACAACAACACCCCGCTGCTGTCCCTCAACCCCGCCGTGCCCGGCGCCAGCTCCTCCACGCCGCCCAAGGAGCAGCCCCGGCGGGGCAGCCGCAAAGCCGCGCAGCACCGCGCCGAGCCCCAGGGCGCCGGCGAGGCCAAGGAGCCGGCGGAGCCCCGGGCGCGGGACGGGGCCCAGGACTGTAACGACGAGGAGATGAAGGACTCGGAGAGCGACGCGGACGTGAGCGACGAGAAGCCCGAGAGCCTGAAGGCCGAGGGCGGCGGCGGCGGCTCGGCCGCGGAGCTCAAGGAGTGCAAGGAGGCGGGCAAGGCGTGTGAGGGGGCCAAGGAGATGGGCGAGGCGGGCGCTGCCCAGAATGCCCCCTGCAGCTCCTCGAGCGCAGAGTCCCCCAGCCATCTGCTCGGCCCGGGCATCACCAAGGCCGAGGTGAAGTACCTCCCGCCGGCCTCCATCCCGCCGCCTCAGCCGCTGCCCTTCGGGTTCCCCTACACCATGAGCCCCTACTTCCACGCAGGTGAGTGCGCCAGGCACGTGTTTTGCAGCTCTTTTCCCCCCACACACCCCTCACCTCTCGTTCTGCAGTGTGGTTGCAAGTTTTGCTTTCTCGACTTTCCGTCGTTTTCTTCAAAAGGAAAATTTTGGGGGTTTTTTTTTCGTGTTAAATGTTGGGATGGGGTGCCCGGGGGAGGTGGTGGAGTGCCCATCCCTGAAGTTGTTCAAGGAGCGTGGCAGTGCTCTGGTCTGGTTGACAAGGTAGGGATTGTTCAGAGGTTGGACTCGATGGTCTTGGAGGTCTTCTCCAACCTAAGTGATTCTGTGCTTCTCTTCAGGGAACCAAAAACCTTCTTTTAATTAATATGAAGGACTTGTCTGTTTGCAGTGAAGTAAATCAAGGGCAAAGCAAAGCAAAGAGTGGCCAGCAGGGATGGAGTGAGCACATGAGAAGGGAAGTCCCCAAAATGATGGACTAAGGGATCTTGCAGTTGCTTGGGCCTCCTTTGGCATCTCGGGCAGACACCAGTAAATTACAGAGAGCTTCAGGGAGAGGCAGCAACAGCTATTAACAGCTGCAGGGAGCTGTCAGAGTAACCACTGCTGCGCCCCTTTTCCAGGGCAGAGGTGGATGGGCTCTTTCCCCTGCCTGTGGTGTATTGCTCGGTGTCACAGGCACTGGGATAGCTGGATTGGTGCCTGTTGGGTGGCACAGGCAGGCAGGGAATTCACTGTGGTCCCCACTGGCACAGTTCCTTGGGCAGCAAAGGCACAGCTGGAGCAGGGTGATGCAAAGCAGGGGGGTCTCAAAGCCTGGTAGCTGGGCAGGGCAGGGTGCCAGGAGCCAAAATCTGCCTCAGCTAATTACTTGTCTGAGCAATTAGCAGGAGGTGGGACCTCCTGCCTCATGGAGGAGGGAGGGGGTGTGGAGATGGCATGTGGGTCTCTGAGGCTGCCTGTTCTCCGTGCAAAGAGCGGCCGTGGCTGCGATCGTGGCTGCCCATCACTCATTAGAGCTGCCTTCCAACCAGGGAGGAGGAAGTGATTTTTCTGTGACAGGCAGGTGGCCAGGATGATAAATATTCCTGCTGCCTTGGGCTGCTGAGGCTTCCTCGCAGGAGCCTTTTTCTCCCGGCCATTAAAAGGGGAAAGGCGCGGCTCCGTGGTGCTCGTGGCTTGTGTGAGGCTCTGCAGGGAGGCCTGGGATGTGGATGGGTTTCCTCCCTCCCCCCAGCAATGTGTGAGTTACTGTAATAGGCCATTTATTATTATCACTTCGAATTTATATCACCGCCGTGTCTTGGGGCCCCGGCACAGATCAGGGCTGTGTTTCACTGCCCGCTTTTCAGGCACTTCTGATTTGTGGAACCTGTTCCAGGGCTGTAGGTCTTTTCCTGAGGGCTCTTTGGCTTCTGGCTGGCTTCACACGGTGCTGGGGCTGTTAATCCTGCCCGCCTGCGGGGTTCAGGCCCCGTTGTGCTCAGCTCCATAGCAAAACCTCTCACCTGAAAAGCCTTGGGAAGACAGGGCGTCTTGTTCGATGCAGCACAACGGGTCGATGGGGGAGCTGGGAGTCCAGCAACTGAAATATTGAGGGTTTCTATCGATCCAAGAGCTGCAGCGATCCCAGGGCGTGCTGGGGTGTAATGTGTGTCGGTGGAAAAACATGTTCCTCTGTGGCCCTTGGGGAGCACAGAGCACCTGAGGACAGACAGGCTGGACTGAGCCCACCTCTCCCTGGCGCCAGACAGTTCCTGTAGCCCTGTTCTGCACAAAGACTGCTCTTTAGGCCCGGAGGGATGTGATGTTGTGCCCTGCACTGGAGGCTGGAATGATAAAGTGACCACCTAAGCAAGGCAGGTAATGTGGCAGGCCAAGAGGAAGAGCCGAGAGGGAGGAGAGGAGAGGGGGTTGGGAAGCATCCAGCTGAAAATGACCCCTGAGTTTCAGGCAGTTCCTCTGGTCTTCCAGCAAAGGGAGGCTCCCCTGGAGGCAGAGAGCTGTTTTCTGTCCCTACTGGGAAGCATATCGATGAGGCAGCCGGAGCCGGGTCGATTCCCTGAGCTGCCTTCTGGGGATCTGGCGGCTGCTCGATGACCTCATCTCGTCAAGGTTTCAGCAGCCTTGCTCCCCTCCTCCTCCTCCTCCTCCCTCCCACCTCCCTCCTCCAGCCCCGTCCTCTGGAAAAGGTGAAGGATGGAGTGTGCAGGAGGCTAAAATCCTTCTATTGATCTGCAGTCTGGAGAGCAATTAACGCAAACCTTGCCGTGCCGCTCCGTGACCTCTCCGGCGGGAGGGAGGGAAGGGGGTTGCAGGCACAGGGAGAGGGGTTAGAGAGTGGTAGCAAAACTGATTAAAGCCATAGGTGGGCTGGCTTCCATGGGGGTTCGCTTTGTTGTCTCCCAGCTGGCACCTGGGTTGTCTCCTGCGATGCCAGGAGCACGGGCTGGGATGTGCGGGTCCCGCTGCAGCCCGGCTGGTGGATCTGCAGCAGAGCTTTTCCCTGGCTGGGACGGCCAGAAGGTCTGCTCCCCATGACCCCCTCCAGCCTTTGGCTTGTGTTCCTGGAGCAGCTGGATATGAGGAGGAGGGGAGGGGAATTATAAATGGATTGCAGCATGGGTGGTGAGGGCTTTTACGTGGACACCTGTCCACACGACACCGGCCTGGGACGATGGATTCTTTCCAGTCCCCACACGCTGGGCCCCATCTGGTGAAACGCTCCATAATCCATTACCAGCCTCTTGGACCATCATTTATCACGGGGCGAGACAGAGGAGGCCTGGCAGGGAATGGATGCTGCCCTTTATGCCTCCTCGCAGCCCCGCAGCAGCCGCTGACATGTCATTATTATAATCGAAGGTGCGTCCCTTCCAGCCGCTTGGCACCTATTTGTTATCATTCTCCGAGCTGCCAGAGCGGGCTGAGTGGATGCAGCCACGCACAGGGGTGGGAGCAGACGGTGCATTATCCTCCCAGGGAGGGACAGGAGGAAGGACAGGAGCCCTTCTGCTGTAGGGCACCGTAAAATTGGAAGGGACCGGTGTGCCCAGGGCTGGACCTGCACTCGTCACAAGCCAGATGCACACTGAGGTGGAGGGACCGCTGTAATCAGCTACAGAAATCCTTCTGGGGCTTGTTGCTGGTGGCTTCAGAGCTGAGGTGGGAGCAGAAGGGCAGGGGGACACCTGGACACCAGGCTCTACAACCCTGACTGCAGGGTGCTGAGTACTCACAACAGAACCGAGCCTTTGGAGATACCAAGGCTGAGCTCTTCTCCAGTCACTCCTTGATTTTTGGTAGAGAACAGGGGTGTTTTGCCACTAATATTGGTGGAAATAGGCTTCCACCCTCTAGATTTTACACTCTGTGGCACAGAAATTGCTAACAGGCCAGAACCCAAAGTATTGGTATTAACCTTCCCCCTTCCCAAGAATATTTCCACCAGTAATTCCCTGGTACAAATGGGAAGGGAAAACAAACTCTGTGTGAGATAAATATTTTGGCCCTATTATATTTCTCTGTGTGTGGGTATGTAGAAAATATTCCCATGCAGTGGATTCTGCCTTATCCTCAGTCTGGACACAGCAGGCTCTGTGTGTGTGTATGTTTGTGGGCATCCTGACCTCTCCCTTCCTCCTCCTGGGGCAGGAAGGAGACAAAGCAGAGAAAACCACAGAGGAGGGGAGGCTGCTGGAGGAACAGGAGTTGTTGGCCCAGCTCTGCTGGCTGTGCCAGTGATACTGAAAGTGATCCCTCATCCAGTGGGGTTCCAGGATTGCAGGCACCTGTGCAGGAGAGGGATTCCTCCTCTCTGCCAGCTGTGGGAGCAGCATCTGGGCTAAATCCCTGCCCATGCTGGTGGGGACTGACCAGCCCCTCTCTGTGCAGGCTGAGCTTAAACCCTGAGCATAGTTCAGGCTGGCTGGCGACTGGAGGGTTCATTCCCAAGCACTGTGTTGCTGGAATTCAGTCCTTGGCCTGCTTTTGGAATAAGGAAGTACCTAATTTTGAAGCAGTTGGCTGTTGCAGTCGGATCCCCTCGGAGATGCTCTGGCTGCAGATGGAGGTGTCTCGCCCGAGCACTGACTGTGCCTGGAATAATCTGAGTTCAGTTTCCCTTCCTCTGTTTACCAGGCTGTAGCCACCCTTCCAAAACGGAGGAAGAGAATTCCACCCCTCCCCTCACCCTGGAAAGAAAAATCCCCCCCCCAACAAAGTGACAAAAAGTGAGGAAAAAAAATAGCCCTCGGCCACCTGAGCATTTTGTGAATTTTAACACAAGCAGCTGAGAGTGTCTCCTGGAAGGTGGAATGTGATAGGAATGGGAATGAGGGCTCGTGTCCATCTGTCTGTCTGGTAGCTGGGGGTGACAGGGGGAAGGACAGCTCTGCTGGCCCTTGGGCAGTGGCTTCTTCCTTCACCTCCTGTGCCGATGGGCTCCTGCTCCCAGGAGAGCTGGTGGTTTTCTGTTATCAGACACACAAAAGTATTTGAAGGTTTTTCTGGCTGGAAAAAAAAAAGGTGTGAAGAGAGTGAGGAGCTGCCCGGGCTCTGGCAGGGCACAGGGGGGTGAGGAGGGAGCAGTGGGCTGTCCCAGGAGCAGCAAAAAGAGCATAGTGAGTCTGATCTTAGGCTGGAGGGGAGGGAACCTGTGCCTGTGGGAAGGAAAGGATGGGAAGGAGGTGTGAAAGGTCTGCTGGTTGCCCGCAGTGAGTGCCCTGAGAGTCCTGGGCTGATGCAAAGTGCTGGAAAGGAGGGCTGCAAAGGTGTGGCCGAGTCCCTGGAGCACGGTGGGGAGAGAGGGATGGGTAGAGCTGGCAAAGGCAGCAACTTCTGGGCAGGATCCCAGACTTGGGTGAAGTTGGAGGGACCACTGGAGCTCAGTTGCTCCAAGCTCCCTGCCCAAGCAGGATCTCCTGAAAAAACATTTTACTCTGGATTGTGTCCAGAGCCCTGGGGAGTTCCTGCCTCTCCCTGTGGCTCCAGCCAAGACATTCTGGCACTGGAGCTGGCAAACTTCTGCATGCACTGGCTGTGTGTGCAGGGGCAGTTTTGGGAGCTGTGGCTGGTCCCAGTGGCCCCTCTCTGTGAGGCTGCTGGTCCTGGAGCAATCAGTGCCCCTGGGGGATGCACATGGACTGCCCAGAGCTGTGCAGGGGGTCGGGGGGCCGTGGTTTTGGGTGAAGGAGACGGTGCTGTCACCTTCCAAGGAGGTGGTGGTGGTGGTGGAGCCCTGGGAAGGGCACAGAGGGTGAGGCTGGGAAGGGAAGCGGGAAGCTGGGAGCGGAAATGGAGTGGAAATGATTACATAGCGTCTGCCTGCTCCTTGGGCAGGCTGCTGTTGTTTTTAAAAGCATCTTATTGGCATGATAACTTCCTGTGGAGATCCTGTGCTTTTCCTGTTCCCTTGGATGTGCCTGGAGCTGTGGTGTGTGGCTCTGCTCCTTCTGCACCTCTGCCTGTGCCTGTTCCCTCTGGCCTGCTGTGTTCCCTAGGGAGTTGGCTACTCCTGGTTCTCTGGGCCTGTGGTCCCCACCATGACTTTGTTGGACCCTGCTTTACCTTGCAGGGTAGGACTGTCCCACCTGCTGTGGGCAGGGATGATGCTGCAGGAGGTTACAGCCACAGCCCTGTTCAAATCCATCAGGGAAAAAAACCCTAAGCCCACAGCACAGATAATTTTGTCATGACAGACCACTGGGAGAAATATTTATTTCTGGTAGTGTCCTTCTTCGTGCCCTGAAGCAGAACAGTTCATACCCCTCATAAACTCTCTACCTGATAATCCTGGGTAATCCACTCCCCATTTTTTATTTATTCCCCGTGCCTCTCCAGCTCCTCTCCGAGTCCCCTTTGGATTCCTCCCTGCACACACATCCCATGCTGTCAGGCACTGGCGATGCAGGGGGGTCGGTGTGGGGGGCTCCTCCACCTTTTTTTGGAGCCCATCACCTTCCTCGGTGCTGACAGGGCTGGGACCTGAACCGCCCTTGCGTTTGGCAGCGCTGACACCTCGGCTCGCCCCGAGCCCTGCTGTCCGTGCCCTGTCACCCATCACACGCCTGGCCAGGAGAGATGCCCGCCAGATCCCGGGGCAGAGCCACCCCTGGGATATTTCAGGCTGGGCTGGGTTGGAAAGGAGCGATTCCCACCGCACCGGGGGCCTGTTGTCATTCGGGGCACGTCGGCAGGAGAAGGGCTGGGGGAGAGGAACCCACAGGGCAAGGCAGAGTTTTCCGCTTTGTGGTGCCTGTGGAGAAACACTCCTTCAGGGTTTGTGTGGGGTTTTTTGTGTGTTTTTTTTTTTTTTTTTTTATTCTCTTCCTTCCCCTCCCCCCTATTTTTTCTCCCCTTGCAGCTGAAGAACATTAAACACATGAAATGCATTAGCTCGGATTTTTCCTTCTCCCCCTCGGCCCCCCTCCCTAAGCCAGGGACCTCCAGGAGGAAGAGGCCTATGAATTGACCCTGCCCAGTGCTTTAATTGACAGGTCATTAAAGATGAATGTGTGGCTGGAGAAAAATATTCAGATTGCAGGCTAGTTGTTGTCCGTGTGGGATTTTAATGATTTATGTTTCTTTCTCCTCCCCTCCTTCCTATTCCCCCCCCCACTCCCCATCCTCCTCGACTCCAAACAATCCAGGCACCATGGGAGGTCTGTTTCTGGATGGTGAGGAGAGCCCTGCGCTGGAAGACATCAGCAAATGGACGGTGGAGGATGTTTGCAGCTTCGTGTCCAACTTGTCTGGCTGCACCGAGTACACTCAGGTAAATCTGAGCAGGCTCAAGAAGGTCCCTGCAGGAGGAACATCCTCCCTGTGAGCCCCCTTCTCTCCCTGCCTGTTGTACTTGCACTGCCCCTCCCAGGAGGTGCATCTTGGAGCCCTGCAGGGCTTGAAGCTCTCTGGGTTTTTTTCCAAGGGGATTGCTAAACTTGCTGCTGGTGAAGAGCTTGAGAAGGCGTGTGATCAGTGTGCCACTGAGGGAAGCTCCAAGGGCTCGGATTCCTGGGCAGCTTGGGAAAGGATGTAGTGTGCTAAGGGAGGGGACTGGAAGTGGCAGAGGTAGAGAGGCAAAGGGCCAGAGTTCAGGACAGTTCAGCCTTTCAGCAGGGGCTGAGAACAGGTCTGGAAAAGGGAGGATGTTAATCCCATCCCAACATGCTTTGTTAAAACCACCTGGAAAGCCAGTGCTGCTTTGGAGCAAACAGCTCTGCTGGGGGAGAGGAAGGGAAGGGAATGTTTGTTGTGGAGACTGGGGGACATGTAACTGTCCCCAGGTGGAGTGACAGGGATTTGGGCTGTGCTTGGGAGTGGATCAGGATGAGTGGAGTGCCCTTCCACTGTGGTGTGGTGGTTTATCTGAACCAGGCCAGTGCAGGAATCTTTAACACCCCCCACCTCGCAGCAGGATCTCACCCATTTACACCTTCCACGCCATCCTGGTGCACCAGAGGGGGAGGAATCGAGAGCTGGGGTTCAGCAATCTCCCCAGTGCATTCCAAACAAAAGGTTTTAGGGAGATGGGAGCTGCTGCAAACGCCCCCCTGGCCGCGTTGCTTCGAGTGGGAGTTCAAGGCTTTAAAAGGTGATGTTTTTCGTGCCACGGTTGGGTGTTTAACAGGTTGGGGTTTTTTTTTACTGTGTGAAAATGAAAATGCCCGTGCTCAGGGGTGACCCAGCTCCATGGCTCTGAGTGTAGGACTGCCTGTGTTCCCTTCTCCAAACCCACAGCTGCCGGGGAGGTCTGGCACTGCTCTGCGGGCTGCTCCCGCCAGCAAAGCCCTGCAAGGTTTGGGTGGAATGCTGTGCATTTTAGAGACATGGTTCAGGCAAACCAGGAAAAAAAAAACTTCAGCAAGAAATAAAAAGTCGCCACGGCCTGGATGGTGTTCAGCTTTGTCTCTGCAGTGGATCTGGGGGACACCCAAGGGGATGCTTTTCCCAAGTTAAGGCTTTTTGTGGAGTGTTTTAGTGCCGAGCGAAGGGAGGATTTTTGGCTTCTGGCCACACTGGCTGCAGAGGAAGGGAAAAGAAACTGGTGTAGCAAGTTTTGCTGGGTCAAAAAGCAGCAGCATGTGCTGCAGCCCCAGCCCTGAGCTGCTCTGCTGGAGGAGGCCAGCAATAAAAACCCCACTTGGCTCCAGCAGCCACTGCCAGGCTCCAAAGGGATGGCTTCAGGCTGTGGTTCTGCTGCTGGAAAAGAAGATATTGGGGTAAATTTAACCCCCTCTCCCATAGTGGTTAGTAATAGAAACACTGTGTGTGAGCCATGGCATGGAGAGAGGGCAGGATCAGCCCCACAGCTCATTTGGGGGAGCATCAAATGTGAGCTGGGGCTGCAAAAACGCTGAGGGGGTGTCGATGCAGGGAGGAAAGGCAGGTGGGGTAGCAAGGAGAACAAGGAGCTGAGTGACACCTCCCAGAGCTGGTGGCTGAGTTACCAAATTTACTCTTGAAATGGAACCTCCTGGTGCAAATAAACACCCCGAGGAGGTTGTTGGGAGCATCCCCTGTGCCGTGTGTGAAGGATGGAGCAATAAGACCACACAGCCAGACCTTAACCTTGCTAACAGGACACATATTAGGTGGGAAACTCTTGCATGACCCTGTCATTTGGGATAGATAGAGGCAAAACAAAGGTGGTTGATTTTTTTTTTCCTTTTTAATAACGTGTTAAAATGGTGCAGTTGTGCATGGCTGGAGGTATTAATGTGTTGATGTGAAACTGCTGCTTTCTGAGACTGTACCAGCCCTGTTGCCATTTGTGTGTGCACATCACCAGGTCCTGCTTCCCTCAGCTGATGGGGAGAGGGGAGAGAGCCCTGACATGGTTAATGGCACTGCCTGAAGGCCAGGTCACCCTGTAGGATCCTGCCACGCTCCGTGGTCCCACTGGGCTCCCTCCCTCAGCACCGTGGCACTGCAGTATTTCTCAGTACCAATACCAACTATTTATTAGTATTTATACTAATAAATATTGCAAGATTTATTGGTATTGGGGGGGAAAAAAGCAAAGGCTGAGTGTTAAAACAGAGCAGTGAGGAGGAATCATCCTCCCTGATCCCTGTGGGTGTGCTGGGAGCAGGATGGGCTGCACTCTCCAGGCTGCTCGAGCGTTCTAGGGGTGGTGGGAATACCTGAGAGGCCAAGGAGGAGACAGGAAAAAAAAAATACAGAAGTGTTGCACATGAATCCAGCTGACCTGCAGCATGTGCTCCACAGATCTGTTTATGTATTTTGCCTGGAGACTGTTTGGGAATTAGCAGCTTTGAGAAGGAAATGCATGAGCAATCCATCCCTCCTTTTCCATGGCATTTGCCTCACTGAGGACCGCAAATACTTTTGGAGTCTACTGGGTCAGCTTTTCCCCAATATCCACACAAGTGTGAGTGACCTAGGACTTGCCAAAATTTAATTTTTCCCCCTGTTTTCTGCCCTTTTTGGGGTTGGGACCCCTGGGCGTGTCACTCTTCTCAAATCTGCTGCCAAACACTGGGCTTAGAGTTGCACTTGGGGCAGCTGGTTTGGGTGCTAAACCTGGGATGAGAAACTTCACCCCCCATTCCAACATTAAGAAAAAAAAATGGGGGAAAATGACCGTAAACACCTCTGGTGTGTAAATATGGCCTGACCTCACTCTTGGAGCTCCCCTTTTCCACAGTGCCCTCCTGTGCCAGGGCAGGACAAGGGCACCAGGTGTGTGTCAGTGGCATTTCTGAGCCTGGACCTGTGCTGTGCTTCCCTGCAGGTATTCCGAGAGCAGGCCATCGACGGAGAGACCCTGCCCCTCCTGACAGAAGAGCACTTACTGAACAACATGGGGCTGAAACTGGGGCCTGCCCTGAAGATAAGGTCACAGGTAGGAAAAAAAAAATCTCCTCTGTGGCAGCAGAAATTGTCCCCTCACCAGAATGGGGCTGTCAAGAGACAGGGTTTGTTGGATATCATTTATCAAGCAATAATTTGTGTTGCGATTCTGTCTCAAGAAAACTCGATCCTGTCCTTCAAAACGTTCCATATCCTCACCCAAATCCAGTCACAGCTGTTTCAAAGGAAGAAATGTCTCAGCTGTTGAGCCTTTCCCTCCCCAGTGAATAATGACCCAGCTCTTGCCCTTCTCTGCTGTGCCAGGAACAGGCCTCTCTAACATTTTTATCTCTTGCCAGTCATAACTTACCGGTCTTGCTGATTTGGCTGCACTGGAAGTGCAAATTGTAGTGGTTGCATTAGTCCAGTTCTCTTTTAGGGGACTGTATTTCCTCCCCAGCACAGACTGGTTTGCTGTTGTGCCTTTTTAGCCATGTTTCTTCTCAAAATACATTTTTTTCCCCCCCTCTATGGTTTTGTTCCCAAGTCCCTGCCCGTAGAGCTTTGCTGTCCTAAAATGACTTTGCTGTTCTCCTGCCTCCCTCACAGCCAGCTGTGGTGATTTCCATTCCAGTTGCCTCCATTTCCCCTCAGTGGGACTCAAATCTAGGAGAACATCATCTCCACTGGCTTCATTTTTTTTTTTTTCTATTTAATGTTCAGGAAAAAAAAAAAAAAATCCCTTGTGACACATGTAAAGCACAGGCTGTGCTGTGTATTCCCTAGGGAATCGTGCCATGGAAGTGGCTGTGACTTGCCATGTGCACAGGGACACTCACACTCCTGGCACGGGTCCCCCAAACCCACAGGGCTGTACATTGGTTATATTATGTTAAAACAATGAGAGCAACTTTACTACTTTCCCTCCAGCCCTCCCTGTTTATGAGGGGGCTAATAAAAAGGTTCTGTGGGCAATTGTTCCCCGTGGGTCGATTCAGGAGGAAATAAAACTCTTTATGTTTCTCAAAAAAAAAAAACCCAACCAAGAGGACGTCAAATAGCTCTCAGACATCCCGAGATGGGCCTTGGGGTGTGGGGGTGGGGGGAATATGAGATATGGGCTGGAACTGGAAAAACCAGCTTCAATTTAATCAATAGTGTTTAAAGGTCTATAATAAGGCACGGCTGGGGGTGGGTAAGTGGGGAGCACTGATGCTGCTCGCTGAATAATGTGGCAGTTGTCTGGGTGGAACACCAGCCTGTGTTTTTGTTTAAGCTCAAATGTGAACCAGCTGTGGAGGTGCTGGAAGGCTGTGGGGCCTTTGGCCCTTGCTGGGAGGCAAGAGCTGCTGCAGGAGAGCTGGCTGGGGCTGCAGGAGGGAGAGGTGCAGGCTGAGAACTGCCTGGGCAGGGAACAGCAGCCTCCCTGCAGCAGGATTTTTGTTCTCCCTCTCCCTGTGTTGGTCCCAGCCCCCCCCTTTTAGGAGCAATTCCTGCTCTTCCAAAGTGGACATGGTGTGCTGTGCCATCAGCAGGAGAGCACTGTCCTGTCCAACTGTCCACCCTGTTAATGCAAGGACTGAAGAGGTTGGAATCAGTCAGCCCTTCTCTCCTGGGGGTGTCCCAGCACACCTTTAGCCTGGAAAATGAGGACTCAGGGCAGAGCTTGTGGCTCCAGCAGTAAAACAGAGCTGGAGAACACAGGACAGAGCCCTGCAGGAAAAGAGGAGGAAGCCCTTGGTTTGTCTTCGAGGTGGATTGGGAATGGTGGTGCTTCCTTCCAGCGATGCAGCAACAGAACCACAGAACGGTTTGGGTTGGAAGGGACCTTAAAGCTCAGCTCATCTCATCTCTCATTCCAACCTCTCTACCACAGGCAGGGACACCTCCCACTAGACCAGGTTGCTCAGAGCCTGGAACACATCCAGGGACGATGGGGCATCCACAGCTTCTCTTTATTTGCAGTTTGGATACAACCCCTGACCTTACCCACGAAAACCCATGGGATTCTCTAGGCCGTTTGTGCGCGTTTTTCACCCTCTGTCGTTTATCCCGCAACTCTTCAATTTTTTTTTCCCCCTCTCCTTTATCCACAGGTGGCCAAGCGAGTGGGCAGAGTGCTGTACATGGCAGGCTTCCCCATGGCTTTCCCCCTGCAGCCCCCCGGGCTGCGGCCCCCGGAGCGGGACGTGCCCACGGCCGAGCTCCGGCCGGCATCCACGGGCAGCGTGGCCTCCCCCTTCGGCAGCGGCGTCCCCTCCTCTGCCAGCCGGGGCTCCCCCAAGCAGGAAAACGGGAATCCTTCCCTCCTCCCCGGGCTCAGCGACACCGCCAAACCTCCGTCCTAACTGCGGGGACGCCTCCAGCTGCTTCTGGGACTTTGGGGATCCGGTGGGACGAGCCGAAGGATGCGACGCCAGAGCCCTCCCCGCCGGCGGCGCGAGACGCAGGAGTGAGGGAGGAAAAGGGAGGTTTTAATTTGGGTTTGGTTGTTTTTTTTTTTCTTTTTGGGACGAATTTGCTTTTTTTTTGTTTGTTTGTTTGTTTGGGAGAATAAACAACACAGAGAAGATTTCAAAACTGTAAAAAAGAAAAAAAAAAAAGATATAGGGAAGGAAAAGAAAATGATCCAAAGATGTCGTGAGACAACGCAAGTGAAGAGAAGGATTGTGGAGGATGGCTGCAGCATTCCTGTTCCCTTCCTCACCCAGAGATGGAGAGCCCTGCACAGGGAATGAACGCTGTTCTTTGCCTTCAAAGAATCCTGGCTGTCAGGAACTCCTGGGTGTGACTCCAAGCAGGGAAGGGGAAGGGGTTCTGCTCCTCCCAATGGTACTCAGCACCCCTGAGCAAAGGAAAACAACCCATCAAAAAATAATTTAAAAAAAAAAAAAAAAAATCACACCAACCACCTTCCCAGATCTCTCCTCCTCCCTGGAAACTGTGCTCAGTTCCTCATTCAGGTGTCTATGCATCTCTAGCGACTTTGAAAACAATACCAAAGACAGACAAAAAGGAAAAAGTAATAATAAAAAAAATAATAATAAAAAAGAGGAGTTAAAAAAAAAAAAAAAAAGGCAAAAAAAAAGAAAAAAAAAGGCAAGTTCCCGTCCATGTTTACTTCCGTGCGGATGGTACGGCACCGGCTCCGTGCTGGCCTCTTCCCTGGCACGGGGCCCTGCCAGCACACAGGAGAATGGACTCTGCCTGTGCTCCAGCCCTGCAGAGGTGTTCTGGTTTATTTTTTTTTATTCCCCATTAGATGTTTTGTTTCAAAGAGAAGAAGGCGAAGAAGAAGGAGGAAGCGTGTGCTCGGGTGGGATGAAGGCTCCCAGCCTCCCTCCTCACGCGTCCAACAGACTCATTTCTACATCTGGGGTGGGGTTGGTTTTGTTGTTGGGTTTTTTTTATTTTTTATTTTTTTGTTCCTAGGGTTGGATTTTGTTCTTCTTGAAAGCCTTGTTACAGAGGTGGATGTAGTTGCACATTCTGGCCTGCTGTGGACCATGAGACAGAGCCCTGGGACGGGGAGGGGATGCTGGGGGGGTGTTCAGGCTAAAAAACAATGGGCAGAGTTTTTACTACTGTGAATGAGCTGGGAACTCCTGGGGGTGACCTCCTGTGACTTGTACAGTTGTGAACAACAATCACATGTGGTACTTTTCTCTCTCTCTCCCCTGCCCCCCTTTTTTTTTGTTCGTTTGTTTTTGGTTTTTTTGGTAAACGTTGCACGTGCTACCGTTTTTTTCTTACAAAATAGCTTGGTGGTACATTAGCTTCTTTATATTGTAAAAAAAAAAGGAAAAAAAAAAAGTCATCATCCATCACATCACGATAAAAATGCTTTCCAGCAATCAATTTAAATAAAAAAAGAAAAACACTTAATTTACAAATGGTACCTGGCTTTAACCAAGAAGTCTCTCTCTCTCTTTTTTTTTTCACTGCGGCCAGTGTGGGTGTCCAACAAGACACAAAAAAATAAAAGTGTATTTTATATTTAAATATTCTTTTTTAAAAAAAAAACATCTTGACCTCTTGTGGTGTGCAGGTTGCCTGGAAGGGCACGGGGAGGCAGCTATCACAAAATGGAAGTGTTTCCTGCATTATTAGTTTTGCCTTTCCTTATTCCTGCCTGCACGGTCTCCCCAACCCAGGGAACTTCAGTTTGAAGTCACCTTCTGTAGCACACTTAGAGCCAGCCAGCCTGAGCTGATAAAGGCTTCCATTGAAGCTACCAAGCTCTGAAACACACTGTGCCATCCTTAAGACCTTCTTGGCAACAGGGTGGGTTTTGGTGAGGACCCCAGAGCAAGATAAGGGGTGACAGGGGTGGTTGGTGGACCAGAGGGGAGGAACCTTAGCCAAAAAAACCTTGTCCTTCCCTTGCTCAGCTCACTTGGCAGGAGCTGAAACTGAACCCTGTGCTATTTAAAGCAGCAGATTTTTAATGAGGGCTTTTTTATTACCTCTGCTGAGCAGTTTTCACTGGCCTTGACATGACCACAGTTTTATTGTTACCAAAAACATAAGTGGTAGAAAAAATCTGAGAGTCCCAAGTCGCGTCTCTGCCGCGTCACTGAGTGAGTCCTCGGTGGCACCTGGGGCTCCCACCCGCCGTGTTCCCGGCTCTTACCCCCTGCTCCAGGTGCTGAAGGCTCAGGGAGTGCAGTCTGTAAGGGGTCAGCGTGGAGGGGAGGCTGTGAGGGAGCTCAGTCATCATCTGAGAACGCCAGGTCCTCCACGATGTCCTCCCCGCCCTGGGCGAGCTGTTCCAGGTCGGAGCGCGACATCCCTCGGGGGCAGCTCCTCTGCTTCCCTGGCCCTTGGGAATCCTGAGCCTTCCCTGCCTTCCTCTGGGGGTGGAGAGAGAGAGAGGTGTAAATCCTGCCTTCCTGGGAGCCAGCGTGAGGCGAGTCAAGGCAACTCATGACTAATTAATCCCAGACACTCATTAATTTATTGGCGCCGCTGCAGCTCCTGGAGCGCGGCAGGAGAGCCCTGCAGGGTGTGGGTACAGCACTGGCTCTGAGGTACCCGAGCCCTAACTGGTACACCTGAGGCAAAAACACACAGGAAGAACTGGGGGGAGTTGGTACAAGACAGGCAGAGCCTCCAAACCTTCATCCCTGCAGGCTCAGGTCAGTCCTCCCTCACTGGAGGTGTCGGGCTGGGCTTGGAGAGCTGACAGGAAGGAGCTGTCACAGGTACCAGCAAACCATTCCATGGGCAGGGACATCTTCCACTAGACCAGGCTGATCAGAGCACTCTCCAAACTGGCCTTGGACACTCCCAGGGATGGGGCAGCCACAGCTTCTCTGGGCAACCTGTGCCAGGGCCTCCCCACCCTCACAGGGAAGAATTTTTTTCCTAATATCTAACCCAACCCTTCCCTAGAGTCAGTGTGAAGCCATTCCCCCTTGTCCTGTCACTCCAGACCCCTGTAAATATTCTCTGTCCATCTTTCCTGCAGGTATTGGAAGGCCACAATTAGGTCACTCCATAGCCTTCCCTTTTCCAGGCTGTTCTTCCAGCTTGTCCGAGTTCCCCAGCAGGCAGAGAGGGAAAACTCTCCTCCTTTCCCCTTCACAGCACTGTCAGAACACGCACCAAATACCCATCTATTCCTGGTGCTGGGGTTTGGGTGTGCTTGCCAAGCCACAGCCATCTGCCACATTCTAAACCTGTCAGATTTTGCTCTCTCTTGGACTCTTTTCCCCCTCCCCAAACCAGCAAAGAACAGTGCACACAGGCACTTCTGTGGCTGCTCCCCACAACCACACATCACACTCAGAGGCACAGCGAGGAGCAGAACCCTGGCACTCTGACACACAGGCCTCAGCAGTGGCACAAAACCCAGTAGAGGAGCCCCACAGCAGCCCCTGGCAGGGGCAGCTTCCCCCTGCTCCATCAGCTGAGGGGCTTGGCAGGCACAGGCACGACCGTGGTGGTCGTGGCAGGGGATGGAAGGAGAAGATAACGCCCTCCTCAGCTGCACAAAGCCTGGCTCGGTGTCCAGCACAGCCCTGGTGACAGAGCTGGCAGCTTTCTCATTTAAAGAAAGCCATTTAGAGCTGCTTTCTGGCCTCTCAGAGCACACTGACCTGGCAGCCTCTCACTCCAGTGCCCACCACTCACCAGTTCCAACTGGGCAGCAGCTACTAATGGGCAGGAGTGACCAGGACCAAGCCCAGAGGCTGGTCAGGGGTTCTGTGTCCACACACTGTCCAGTGCAGAAACCCCAGTGAATGCAGGGTCTTGCACGTGGTCTCCTGTCAGTCCTGCCCGGGGAGGAGCTGCAAGTAAAGGGTTACCCTGTGCAGCACCCCGTGCCCCAGGCATGGCTCAGATGAAAGGGGATGTGCACCCTGCACGCCCCACCTGCGTGTGACCTGCAGGGAGCCTCCAAGCAAGGTTTGTGATCTCCCAGCAAGGCTTCTGTACCCCACTGGGGTGGGCTGGAGTTCGTTTGAGCCTCGCTGCAGGAGGCTCCTGAAAAGAGATGAAAGGGACTGGGGGCTCGTTAGAGTGAGGCCTGAAAAGATCTTTTAACCCTTTCTCTCCTTGGCATAACTCAGAACTGCCAGGCCTCCCTGCCCAGGGCGTGTGTCTGTGTGTGAAGTCCCTCCTGACACCCTCAGCTCACAAAAGAGCAAAGGAGCCTTCAGTCACCAGTGCTGTCAGGAATTCCCTTCCCCTTTGCCCAGCTGCTCCACTTACCATCTGACTCACTGTCTTCTCCCAGTTCTTCCTCATCCTCCTCCTCGATTTCGTAACTCCCTTCTTCGTCGTCATCATCCTCACCATACTCCTTGCTGCTCTCTTCTGAGCTGTCATCTGATGCCTGCTTGGCTTTGCCTTTACCTGCAAAGCATTTTTACTGGGTGAATGGAAAAGTGAGGAGCAGCACACGTGCAGGGAGCACATTCAAAGGGCAAAGAGCTCAGGAGTGCCAGACAGGCACTCCAGGGGATATTTTCTCCACATTTCTCACACGTGTCTCCCCAAAAGCCACGTCTCTCTTGCACCAGAGGCCCAGAGAAGGATGGATTTAATTTCAGAGGCACCTGCTAAAGGCCAGGAAGGCCAGGACAAGAGTCAGAGAAATCAGCTCAGAACCCACAGCAGGGTTTTACTGCTAAAGCCCAGGATCTGCTGCTACCTGGTACTTACAGAGCACCACTGGCACAGCAGCCAAGTGTTCATCTTAGATCTGCCTGCCCTGCTCAGAGAGACAGGAAAGCTGGACAGACTGAGGGGTACAGTGAGAAGAAATGAGCCTGCTGAAAGGAGAGGGAATAAATCCCACAGCTGAGAGCAGAGAAGGGCTGGTTCTACTGAGAGATGGTGCCTGTGTTACACCCACCTCCACCTTCCCTGGTCAGTGCAACTGAGCACAGAAGGGTTCTGTGCACATCTGGTTCAGGACACCCCCCTAAACCTCTCCTAACTTTGTTCCCTCTGTTAGTCACGACAAAAATGTCTAGGAACAGGCACTGCTGCTGAAAATTCCCTCTGCAGATGGCAAGCTGGGTCCAAGGGAGCCTGGCAGGAAGGGTTAAGAGCCTCTGGGTGCTTGGCCTGTGGGAAACCATCCACTTCTGAGCCTCTGGACCCAGATTTCTACTCATGCTGCAGTGGGGGAGTGCTTCTCCCCTCTCCACCAGGCTTTTAAACGACAGAACACAAGTCCTTGTACAGAGGGAGCAGCAGAACCAGCTGCTTCTTGCCTCCTTCCATCCCTGAGCTTACATACTGCTCAAGGACCTATTTATTCACACTTCAGGCTCTGCTTGGAACCCGCCAGTACATCTTTCTCACTCTGTGGTCCCTGGGCCACACCACAGAGCCTATTTTTTGTCCCACCCTCCCTGCCCAGCAGCTGACCTATGCTGCTCACTGAACTGGAGCCAGAGCCATCAATAAGCTGGCTGCCAGCATTCCCAGCTCCCTGTCACCACCCTGTCTGCTCTGCTCTCACCCATCTGTCAGCTCTGCCAGCACAGTTCCCCCCCTTGAGGGATGGGAAGCCACATCCCACGGCTGGAGCTCCCAGGCACTGCGAGCTCTGGCTCCACAGGAGATGGATTGCAGCGCTGTCCACTGCACCACATCACAGTGATGGGCACCTGAGCAGCTCAGGAAACAACCCAGGGCACGCTCTCATCCATCAAACACCGGCCAAAGCACCACGAGATCCGGCAACCAGCTGAGCCCAGAGGATTCGGCAAACCAGGTGTGGGCAGGGATTGGGTCATTCCTGCCTGCTGTGACACAGGAATTTACTGAATTTCCCCAGCCTCCTGCTCAGCCCCTGCCTCCCCTCACACACAAGTCCCACCATTCCACCTCCTGAGGCACAAGTGCATCAGTGAGACCCCAGAAGACAGTGCTGGGAGGGGCTGCAGGGAACCACTTCTGCCCCCCTATTCCTCAGCTCCCAACAGCCCACAGCAGGAATTTTCCCACTGAGAAAGGGCCACAGTTCCTCTGGTAGGAAATGAAAAGGCCTGCCCTCTCCCTCCACACCCCTGGCCCCCACCAGTCTGGCATTAAATTGATGTAATATGATTAGGCGAGGGATAAATGAAGAAACCTGTTCAAGTTCATTAAGGCTCAGCAACACCTAATGTGGACAGATCACTCATTACTGCCAGGCCCGGAGAGACGCTCCCTCCTCGCCTTTAATTGCCTCATGACGAGGCAGCCCAGCACCTCTCCCGGAGCCATTAATGATTTCCAGCCTTGCCTTTCCTCCCAGCTGGTAAATGAGAGGAATGCAGGTACCTGCCCACCCCCCACAACAGGCTGATCAATCCACGCTCTTTCTCCCCCCCCAAGCTCCTGGTTCTTTGCTGCTCAGGTGCTTCCCAAAATGTGCAAGCTGGGTATCTCCCTGCCTAGATCTCTGCCATGAGCTGCTCAACGTGTCTCTCTTGCAAGTAGTTTGAGGCTGATTCAAGATGAATTGAAGTCCTACCGTTGTCCCAGACTCTCCTTTTGCCTCTTTAAAGGAGAGGAGATTGTTATGCCTTCAATCTCACAGGTAAAGAAGCAGCAAAGACACAGACCACAGCAGCTGCAGGGCCTCCCAAATTCCCTTGCATCTGGCCACCCAGGAAAACAGTGCCCACAAGCACAGGGAAGTGCAGCACTGGCTTCTCTTGACAGTCACTGAGTGCAGAGCCTGGCTGGGAACATCTCACACCCCACACAGAGCAAGAACAAGAGCTCATTGTGTGCGTCTCCCAAGACACAGACGCTTTTCCAGCCTCCCTGCCCCTTGCCCACTGTGGAGTCACAACACTGCCAGAGGGGACTTCACCCTGTGCCACCACAGCTCCACTGCCCCCACCCAGCACCTCGAGACCCATGTGGGGCTGAGCACAGTGGCTCCCTGAGATGGAATATCCCTTCAGGGCTGTTCCCTTCCTCCAGAAAACACCCTGCTAAGGACAAAGGCTAAGGAGAGGTGGCTGGCCCGGGAATGTTGGAAGGCCAAGCCCACCACTGGCACTGCAGTGCTGGTGCAAACTCAGGACTGCACAGCACAGCTGTGGGACCCAAACAGAGCCCTTGGATATCATACAGACCTCAGTGCATTCTGTCACCGTGGATGGCAAACCCTCAGAGCTGCCAGAGCCTCATGCACAGATGGCACAGCACAGGCCCAGGGTAAAGCCACGCCTGACACGTGGATTGCAAACCTTTCTCTCTTTTGCTCCCCCCTCCCACCCTTTGCCAGATCACCTACAAAAAAATCCCCTGACTTCAGCCTCAAGCCATCAAACTTCTCCAAGCTGTTCTTCCTCCTGTGCCACAGATGCCTGTGAGGGAGAGGATGCTCACCGGTTCTGTGGCACGTCCCAAGGTTTATCCTCACACCTCACCCTGGGCCCAAGTCGCCCTGTTTATGAATGACAACGCATTTGGAAAACCTGGGGCATCCCAAACATTCCAAATTACAAGAAGAACGTCCAGGTTTATCCTCAAGCTCTGTGGTGAACTCCTCAGGCAGGTTCCACAATTTACTGTGGCCCTCTCGTGGCCACAGCCAGAGGGTGACATCACCCACGCTCTCCAGGTTTGCTGGGCTTGTCAAGAATACTTGGAATGTCAGTCACCATCAAGTAAATCAATCAGAAGTTCATGCAAGGAGAGGATCAAAGATCCTCCTGCAGGTAGCCAGCCCCTACCATGCACAGAACCTCTCCAGCCAAACATCCCTTGCTTTTTGGGCTCTCAGGTTGAGGTCAGTGTGTGAGACAAAAGGAAAGTGCCAAGGGGATGAGACAGGTCATGCACAGAGAAAGACTAATGCAGGGCTAAGGCTTTAAAATGAGATGGACTGACAAAGCAGGAGAGGGAGAGGAAGATAAAAGCCTCTCAAACACCATCATCCTGTGGCTCTCCCTCCCTACCAAGTGTAGCTTTTGAACCCACCATGGCCATACTGACCCACATCAGATGGAATTCTGGACAAGGAGAAGGCAAGCCCAGCCCCAGCCCTGTACCTTTTACAGAGAATCCACTATTCTCCTCATCAGAGTCACTGTCCATCTCAAAGAGGTCCTTGAATTCCTTCTTATCTTCCTCCTTTCTTTCATCCTGCTTCTTACGCCTGATTTCTGGGAAGTTCAAGTCTTCAAGCTGGAAAAAAAAAAAAAACCAAACCAACAGTAAGAACAACCTTAATTTGTACTTTTCAACACAAAATACAGTGTTTGGACTGGCTTTGCCCAGCCTGCCAAGCCCAGCGAGCTTGCAGGCAGCACAATCAAGACAGACTGTGCTGGTCACCTCTGGAGTTCCACCAACACCAAAAAGCTGTGACAGCCACACCGAGGCTGCCTTTCTGGGGGCAGATTTCAGCAGGGTTAGATGGCAGGGATGCTAAAAGGTCTGCCTGCACCCCCCATCACTCGCCCTCGTGGAGATCAATGGGCCAAGAGCCCCCTGCTGCAGACAGCCAATATCAATGCCATTAAGCACTTGCCATTGACACCACCTCACTGCTCTTTACACCTCTCCGGAGGGGGATTAGGGGGAGGATTTACTTGCAAGGGCTCAGGCCAGCAGGGCAAAGATAATCAGAATGCAAATTAAATCCCAAGTGCTCTGGGAACATCAGCTGCCCGCTGCCCTGCCTGGCTGCACACCCCCTGGGAAGCACTCAGGCATTAGCACACATTAGCTTGCTTGGAAACATTCACCCCACGAGTAATAACTCATTTGTGCTCCCCCCACACCCCCTCAGACCACCCCTCAGCCCTCCTGCGAGCTTCTCCCCACGGGAACAGCAGGGAAGCACAGCCTGTGTGGAAGGGCAGCTCTCAGCAGAGAGAGAGAGAGAGAGGAGGACGGGGATGGGGAGAAGGGACAAGGGAGATGGAGATGTGCATTTGCTCCCGCAGCCAATTCCAGCAATTTCTCCCAGCCTGTTTCACGGTTATGGTCCCCAGCTGGGCAATATTGATCCTGGGAGCTGAGCACTTACAAGCAATAACCTGCAGCATCGGGATGGAGAGTCAGGAGCTGGGCAGAGAAGGGGAGAGGGGAACAAATCACCGGCCACCATTTGCAGGGGCCTAATTTTAAATCATCTTCCCACCTGCTCTTTTTCCCCACTTGGAGAGGCCTCTGCTCCCACTGGCCCTGCTGGGAGGGTGTGTGAAGGGAGCAGCACAGGGCTGGCTTTCCAAACTGCAGTCATTTCATGCCAGAGAGGAGAGACTTGGGAAGCAAAATGCAGCAAGGGCAGTGATCCAGGGGCACTGCCAACCAGCTGCCCTCAGCTGACCCAGTGACAGACTGCCACCATCCCCTGCAGAATCACAGAATGGTTGGGCTGGAAGGGACCTAAAAGATCTCATTCCACCCCCTGCCATGGGCAGAGACACCTTCCACTAGCCCAGGTTGCTCCAAGCCCTGTCCAACCTGGCCTTGGACACTTCCAGGGACAGAGAGTCCTCAAGCCCAGCAAGCCCCACCACGAGACACCCATTCCAGAGGCACCCTACAGTTTTGGGTGACCATCAGTACTGTCTGAACTCAACCTGAGCACATTAAAAAGGGCCTGGTGTTGAATCCTGCTGAGTGGTGCTACCTCCAGCTTTGAGACACCCCAGGACTGCACCTCCAAATAAAGGCACCCAAACCCCTGCTTGGCATGGAGTGATCACAAAGCAAAGGAATGAGGCTTGCACTGAGCCACAGCTCAGAGATACGGGCTGTGCTCATCACACACAAGCAGTAATTAGGTAATTTGGGGGCCAGTCTTTTAATCCCCAGCTAGAGGGTTACTATCTACTGAGTCTCACGAAGCCGATTAGTCCACATCCCATTAAAAACCATTGGGAAAAGCAAATGGAATGGGCAGACAGGGTCACTGTTGTTATATAAGGCAGGGCTGCAGCTCAGAGCAGCTGAGAGAGACAGCCTGATCTTTTTTTTTTTTTTTTTTTTCTCCTGTTATTATTTTTCTCCCCCAATGGCTGCTAATGGGACATGGATTTTCCCATCCCTAATGGGCCTCATGGTGTTCACTCTCCTGCTGGGGCTCACAATGCTGCATCATTAAACTACCAGTCCCCACCGAGGCACACAACAGCCCCATTCACCAAGCAGAGATGCCAGGCAGCCACGGGCCTTTCCAAGATTCTGACTCCAAATTCTGCCTCTCTCTGCAGTCTATCTGCTCAGCCCACTTTCTGCAACAGAAAACAAGCCCCTGTCACCGTCTTTCACGCTTCCCCCTGGTTTCTTGAGTCTTGCTGTATGAAAGCAATGCCCTTTTCCACCTCAGCTGGTCCTGCACACCCCAAGGAGCTCCAGCTCCCCTCCTCCACTTAATAGAATAGAGGGGTTTGTCTGCACTGAGGGCTGATCTCTCCCCTTGTGAAAGCTGCTTCAGTACCAGGAAGGTGTCTAATCACACCAGCAGGGCCAGTTTTGGGCAAAAGATTAACCCCACTCACAGCCATCACTTCTTGCTGTTCCTCAGCCCTCCCTCCCAGTTTCCTTTCTGCAAGGGCCACGTTCTTTGCCCAGCACACAGCAGTGCTTTTTGTTCCCTCTGCATGGCTGCCCTGGGGGTTTCAGCCTCCTGCCCTTCTCTCAGGCTGCTCTGCAGTACTGAGCATTTGTAGGATCTCCCAGGTCTCCTACCACGCCCTGGGACTCGTCTGGGAGCCAATCATCCTCATGTCCCATCGATTATTTTAATTGTTCCCCAGCATACACTGGAGACACCAATTATATCTGTTTCCTGCTGCCTGGCCAGGAGCCTGGCTCAGCCACTTTCATTGCATTAGCATCGAGACAGCTTTCCTTTGGACTCCTAATGGAGCTCCCACCCCCTCCTCCTGCATCCTGGAGCGCCCAGGGAGCCTTCCCTTGGGCAGGAGATGTGGGAAATGGTAGTCTGGGCACTCCTGTCCAGACAGAGAGGCCCACCTGACAACCAGCCACCCCCACCACCCTGCTGCCAGGACAAGGCTCTTGTCTTCCCATGGGCACAGATGATGCCCAGTAAATCAGGGATTTAAGCACTTACCCTTTCTTTGCCACTGATTTCCAGTTGTATCTCCTTCTCTCTCAGCTTCTTCCACTGAGTGTAATACTTGGACAGAGGGGTCCCCTCCTCTTTGACCTGCTTCTCCCATTGCTCCTGGGGAGAGAAAGGGTTACAAATTTAAAGGTTTTCAAAGCAGTCTTCCACTTTGGCAAACACAGGGAGTCAAGAGCACAAGGTTAAGACCCTTTCCCAAACCACATTCTCCCAGCTTATGGGTAGAAATTGGCAACCACAACTAAGAATGCAAAGAGGACTGAGTCTGAATTCAGTTATTTAAGCAAGTACTGAGTCAGAAGTGGTTGTGACTGACAACTCTCCTTAGGCAAAGCAATGCCTGAGCACTGCAGGGAAACCAGAGGAAGCCAAAAGCTGCAAGGGACAGGTTGGACAATGAAACAGCTTGATAGTGTGATGCCAAAGCACAGGACACCAGTGGCACTGAAGGACAGCATGAAGTCCTGACAAAGGAGCATCCATGGTGGTTTATATGATGCATTAGCTTATGGAAGATCAGACTGTTTCAGCATGAAATGTGGGCTCCCAGATTCCTACTTCTGTCTTCCAAGCGAGGCCTGATTCTCTGACAGCTCACAAGAGGTTCTCCTAAAATGAGTCAGTGCCCCCTGGGATCCACTGTTACTCTCCTGGCCTTGAACATTCACTTCTGCTCTGGCTGCAGTGAGAAGATGCTGATAAAGAAGTCAAGTCAGATGATGCAGCTGCTGCAATGGGAAAGGAATTACTTCAACTGAAACTTGAAGGGAGGAATAAAAAAGGGACAGACCAGAGGAACTATCAGGACAAAATGTCTATTCCCTGCTCCTTCAATGAAGGCATCTGATCACCTGCTCAGTGCTTGCTTTTAATTCAGGAAAACATCACACAAGCACTTACAAGCTTCAAGTACCAAAAATGTCTGATTGCCTGTTCCCCCTGTTCCATGGCCAAGTGTTTATTTTTCAAACAAACATTCCCCTGCAGGGTCTTGGACTCATCCCAGCCTGGATAGAGCAGAGCACGAAGAAGTGAAGAGCCTGTTTTCTGCTGTCCAAGCTGGGAGAACAAGGAGGTGCAAACACTCTAAATGGTGGGAAGCCAATTAAATGGTTAAAAATTCTTTTATGCTTCAATCAGTTGGCATGTCAGTGCTGAAAGGGGGTGCTGGTATGTCATATCAGAAACATTCTTCTTAACCTGCCAACTTCCTTTTACTAAAAACCCCCACAGAACTGTTACCTGGATCACCAGAGAGCCCAGAGGCTTTGCATTCCCCCACAGTAAAAAAGTCAACCTAATCTAAGCAGAAAAGACATGCCATATAGTAAGCAGGAATTGAAACAGGCAGAGGAGAAAAAGAATGAGCAACAGGAATAAAGCTTAGCATAGATACACCCAAAGGTCAGCAGAGATCCAAAAAAAGAGTATCCCGAATCCAGGGCTGAGCAAACTCCAGAGCTCTGTATGTGTGTACACAATGCTCCTGACCGAGGGTGAGAATGAAAAGCCAGACCATCTTCACAGCAGAAAACACAGCAGCAGCTTGAATATTCTTCAGCAGGTCTCAAATCAACTGCTCCTGGGCTCACAGGCTGCAGCCTGTGAGCCAAGGCATGGGGAGAAGGTTGGTTGAAGAGCAGGACTGTGCACAGAGCCCCCAGCTCACACCAATAACAATGCACTGGGAAGGGAAATGCATCAGTCTCCACCAGGTCCTGACTTGCCCCATCCCTGGGAGGGAAGTGGAGATGATCTGTGGTCTCTGCTGCTGGTACCAGGAGCTGAGCTTGGCAATTAAGCAGCGCCCAGCTCTAGGGGCACATTTATGCACCTCCAACGGGCACCATCCACCCTGCACCGAGCCAAACACGCCCTTTCTGGGAATCTCAGTCCCAGACTCCCAAATGCAACCCCCCCAGGGCTGTTTGCAGCCTGCCTGCAGGGCTGGAGCCCATGTCTCCTGCCCAACAGCTGATGTGCTGACGCCAGCCCGCAGCCCCAGCACGGCTTCCCTGCCCATCCAACCCACCCCTCTGGCCAGAGCAGCAATTCCTGAGCAGCACAAAGGCACCTCTCTTATAGATCAGCCTCGGATCGTGCTGCCAGCTGTAATCAGGTAATTTGTTGATGCTGCTTGGTATGGACAGCTTCTGAGAAAGGCTCTTCTTACACAGAAGGGAAGTGTTTGTTCTGTCTGATACAGCTCTTTCGGTCTCTGGAACCCAGAGATAAAAAAGACCATTAAAACAATCCCATTTGTCTAGTCAGAACACCTCAGTGGGAATTTTGAGAGAGGGGATGCCATCCCAGCCACTTGGAATTCTCCTTCTATTGCAGCTTTTGCATCACTGTGCTGCCAGGGAACACCCAGCACAGACCAAGCCCACAGTGCTGGTACCTGCACAGCAACAAAAATATCATCCTCCACCCTCCAGAAAAGCTTTCAATCTGGAATGTGAGATGGGGATGAAGGCAGAAGGTCTGGAAATCCCATGGAAATGAGGCAAAGCTTCCCACCAGCTCACTCCCTCACCTCCACTTTCATTACGCGTGACAGCCTGAGGGGCTGCACTGCTCTCAAAACGAGGGGTCCCCAGCTCAGCACGGGGGTCTGATGGGAAGCCCAGCACACACTGCAGGGCCTTCTCCTTCCCTGCATCTTTTCCTGCCAATCCAGGGCTCACACCAGTGCAGAGGAACCAAAAATCACAGCTGCACATCAAACATCTGGATCCAACTTCAGCTGCAGGCTCCACTTTTTCTTGGCTCCCCTTATAAAGACCTTAATTGTTATAGTAACCTATTAGCACTGTGCTCTCAAAAAAAAAAAAAAAAAAAAAAAAGCACTGGCTTTTCATTCTTAACAATGACAGTAAAAAAGTAAAGTTCTCAAAATAATAAGGAAGAAGTCAGGCTGAACACATCTGGTGTGCATGAACCTCCATACCAGAGTTCCTGGGATGTGAGGAGGGATCCTTCCACAGTCCCTCCACGTTAAGTTAAACACTGCAACCCCACAGCACTGAGTTCAATGCCCAGGCCATTTCTTCTTTAGAACAGTCCCTCAGGTAAAATCCCCCTTCCAAAGCACACCCACCACCCTGTAATTCCCAGGAACAGCCGCGTTTTGGGCACGTTGCCGAAAGAATTAGCTTAGAATTTGGGCTTCCACAATGGAACAGGGACAAATGCATGGGAAAACCAGAGAGCATTTGCTTTCAATTGCTCCTGCTGGCAAGGGGGACATGCACATACCTCCCCTTCCCTCAGCCCTCCTTCCCTTCCCGTCCTTTCTCTGGCAGTGTTTGCTCAGGAGAGGTGCCAATGCCCCACACAGCTTGGAAACAACCCAGCCTTCGAGGGACACTCCAAATCATTTTGGGAAGCCCAGTCTCCATAGGAGCTTTGGCCCTTCTTGGGAATCTACACCATCTGCTTGCAAAGGTGTAAGGGAAAAACACGGGGCCCAGCCTGGGCTCTGGGCACAAAAGATAAGCCACTGTGACTTTTCCACCCCACAGAAGTGCTGAGTGGGATATTTCCTCCGCTCCCAGGAGCACTGATATCCCAGTAAATGAAGGGAAGGCTCCCTTCCTCCCACAGGACACCACCACAGTGGTGCAGAAATGCAGCTTGCACGGGCAATCCTGGTGTCCTCCATGAGCAGCACTTCATACATTGCTCTATCCCCCGAAATGGCAGAACATCAGTCCCCAAACCTGCTCGGCAAACTGGTGTCCTTCCCTTAACCAACCTCCTTTACTCCAGGCCATCAACTCCTGTTGATGCCACTCCAGAGCCAGCCCCTCCTGATTCACACTGATGTCACCCAGACATCCCTGGGAAAGCAGGTGCACCAACCAGGAGACACCCAAGGCAGCAAGATGTTAAAATACTCACTTGGTTCTTACACAAGGGACTGCAGCCAGAGCTGCTGGGAAAAGCAGACAGTGGCAGAGTTGTTGGAAACTCTGTTTTTGTTTAGCTACAGACCTTCCCCAGTTCACCCATTTCATGGAGAGCCTGGGAGGTTGAAATCTCTGCCTCTGCAGTGGGTGGGTGGTCACAGCACTGCCCACAAAAATACAAACCAACAAACCCCAAACTGCCTCACTCCAGACGGGAAGCAAACCAGTCCAACCCAGACTGGCGTTTACAGAACCAAAGACTGCTTAGTCACGTCAAACCCAGTTCCACCAAACCCCTTAATCCCAGAATAGCACTGCTGTGTCCTGGCACTGACATGCCAGGATTTCAGTGGCTAATTTTCCTGCAGTCTCTGCCCCTCAGTGTCTGCAGACAAATTAGTCTGCACTGCACTGCTGCTCCGTGCTCAGCTCCATGCCAACGGGTGGAGCCTCCAATGATGCAGAACTCGAGACTTTCCAATAAACCATGTGGCCACAGAGACTGCTCTGACCCATCAATTACCTTGCAGACAGAGATAGTTTCACCTCCCTCCTGCCAGGCAAGGAAGAGTCAGTCTCCCTGCTTCCTCTCACAGAGAGGACACAGGCACAGCTCACCTGTTACCAGGCTGGCCAAGGTGGCAGAATCCCCCCATCACTTTGGGCACCTTCCTAATCAGGGATGGGGATGAAGAAAGAAAACTTCCCAGCAAAGCAAGGCATTTCCATGCATGTGTGTGCTTTACAAATCACAGAAGGACACAATTTAGGGGCTCGTGTTTTCCATGAGGCTCTTGGCTGCTCAGTCCTGCCGGGCTCGGCTGTTTGTGAACATCTGCCCCACCTCACATGCTCCTGTTTCCAGGATCTCCTCCTCCTCCTCCCCCCTGCCACAAGCCCAGCCCAACATCCAGAGCCTGGCTGCCTTTCCAGGAAGGCCACATGGAAGCAGCAGGACTCACCACAGCCTCCCTGCTGGCCACGCCGAAGGCGGCTCTCTGGCGCTTGCTGGAGATGTAGGCAGAGTTTTCCTGCAGCTTCTCCAAGAGCTGCCGGATGGGCTTGCAGTAGTTGGCAACCTTGCACTCCTTCAGGAAGGATTTCAGCTGGGAGGAGGAAAAGGAGAGGAAGAATGAAAGCAATTTAAGAGTTTCCATAAACAGCAAAGAAAAAATGCATTTCCCACCCCCGGTGACAGCACGGGGCATCTTTTCCCTTTAATTCATCCCATATTCCAGAATATCACCCATATCAGGCCCAGGGGTCCTACCTCCCTGGGCTGGGAGGGTGCAAAGAGCTGCAGTGACAGGCCAGATGTTTCTATGTTATCCACAGCAGGGGCCTTGCTCAAAACCAGCTCTTTTGCACACTTAAACACTGCTTTGTTCTGGAAAAGATGGATCAGTGGAGTTCAAGCAGCCAGGAGGAAAAAGTCTGTGCTCTTGGGGCTTCAACTTCCAGCTGCTGTTGCAGTTACAATAGCTCTGTCTCCTGCTCTGTCAGATAATGAGGAGGACTGTGGACCAGATGTATGGAGACCAGGAATAACAGTGGATACTAAATGGCCTGAGGCCTAGGGAAGCCAGGATTGGAACGGGGAAAGCTGTCCGTGGGGAACATCAGTCGATGTTGGGATGGGAACATCAAATACAGCGGGCTGTGGGTGAGGCTGATGGCTGGGACTGAAGGCAGAGTTTGAAAAGAGACTTAAAACTGGGGTGGGGGTGTGTGTGGGCTGGGAGTCAGGGCATGGTTTGGTGGGAAAACTTGGTGCTGCTCCAGGCGGGTCAGGACAGAGCCAGCAGGGTGAGATCTGCTCCATGTCTGAGTGCACCAACCCAGCTCCAACTGGCACCACTGGCTTTTCAAGGGTTCAAACCCACACCCCCACCACACAAAAATCTACAGAACAACTCTCCAACACCACTGCACTGCTCTGACACCTCCAAACTAAAAGCTGAGGCAGCAGTGGACGATGCTCTTGACGACAGAATGAAAGATGGGGGTGTCCACATTGACTCATGCCTTGAATTCCAGTTTACTACTCTGTCTGCTAACAGTTTTCACCAACTCCAAGACAAGCCTCTGGAGTGCTGTCCAAATTCTGCAGGCCAAGCTCTTTGCTAGACCCATATATAAATACACACACACACAGACACACTGCACAGACACTTGATTTAGAGAAAGAGATCCAATAAAGCAAAAGAAAATGGTTAACCACAATGGAACCTTCATCTCAGCTGGGGCCTGCAGATGCTATCATGATAGAGATAAAGGGTTTCCAGTCAGCAAATACATTACTGCCTCCCCTACTCATGGCTTCAAATGTTCTGCCTCAAAAGACAGAACTGGGGGAAGGAAGAAGATGTCTCCCTCCTGTCAAGCCTTGGCTTGATCTTACATGCCAAGTGGGGAGGTATTAAATGTTAATCAAGAGGTGACAGTCACACCCAGCCCCTCTCTGCCAGGGCACTGCTCTCCTGATGGGTATGTTGCTGCAGGACCTGCTGCCTGTGACACACATGGAGGATCTCCCCCATTAACCAGCAGCAGGGGCTTCCCTTGTCCCTTTATCCCCAGCACACACCCACCTGCCGTCACACAACCAGCTCAGAAAAATGGGAATTAAAGCAGAGACCTTCCCTGCTTTCCACAAAGCACACAGAGCCCATCAAACCAGTACAAAGAAACCATCAGCAAAACTATTCTTCTGCTGATGAAGCTCGTCCTGCCCTCACCAACCCCCCCCCTTTCTAAAATATTTATTTTTCATAGGTGCTGCATATTTATCTCCACTGAGAGATGCATTTGTCATTCGATTTATCTCACTTGATCCCCACAGCTGCAGCCCCAGATCCATTTCATCCGCTGCCACATACATTATCATTTTTCTTCCCTTGCAGAAGTGTCACCAGAAATCCTGCGAAATCTCAGGCTCTATCAGTGCAGTTTGGTGCTGTGTGTTTGCTCTCACAGCCCTGTGTGCTTCATTTCTGCTCCCCGCCCCTTCCTCCTCCTCCTCTCTCCCACCCTTGCAATCCCTCACAGTCCCACCACTATCTGCCACAGATATTAATGAAACGTAATGAGATCTCAGTCCTGTGTTAAGAGGCGGGGAACACAACCAGGGAGGTAAAAGAAGATAAAGGGCAGAGAGAGAGAAAAAGGGTCTGTGTGTGCCTTTTCCCGCTCTGCCAAATATAAGCCATATCTTTCCAGAATAAAAGCAATCAGAACATAAATGTGTGTGGATATATGTCATTAAGATCTCCCATCCCAGCTAAGCAGCTCTGTGATTAGTGGGATTGATTCTGTCCAACTGCCAGCCTGAAACACCAAAGGTTTACGCAGGCAGAGACCACAGCAAAACCCCAGCTCCTCTTACTGTAAGTGATGCAGGGAACTAGAAATGATCTGAAGCGACTGGGCATGTCCTGCAGGGAACCAAAATCATGCCCAAACCCCTGCTCACAAAAAGCAGAAGGAGAATTGAACTGGGGACAGAGTGAGCAGCAGCAGGAGTGGCTGCTGGCAAGGCAACCCAGCCCCTCCTGCCCTTCTGTCTCGCTGCAAGCCAAACCTGGATTGTGCCATCTCCTGCCTCCACCAGCACTGCCTACCCCTTAGCAGTGCCAGTTTTGCACCCCCCTCTGCTCTGTGATGCCTGTCAGGGCTCTAGAGGAGGGAAGGAGCACCCAGAGGCTCTGCACTGAGCTCCTCACCAGCCCCTGGAGGCAGTGACCACCACGGGGTCGCCCCTGGGGCAAGAACGGCAGCTTTGAACCATCTCTCCTCGTGGTCGCCCCTGGCTCTCCTTTCCTTTGATCTGCCGGGGGTGCTTCCTGCCTTCCAGGCAAGGAGGAGGTTGGAAAGTTGAGTTTGAAGGCAGTTCAGCCCAGCTTCTCCCAGAGCCGCTGACCAGAGGAGGAGGAGCAGGAGGAGGAGGAAGGCAGCCCTGGCCAGCTGGAACGCAGCCCCCGCGCCACGGCGCTGAGAGAAGCGTGAGCTCACCAGGGAGGGAGCGTCAGGACAGATGGATTTTTACAGTTAACTGGAGCCGCTCCAGGAGAAAAGCCTCTCCCCACCCCACACGCCTTCCCGAAGACTCCGAGATTTTGGGAAGCTAAACCTCAAGCACCCCAGGCCGGCAGACGCCACGAGGCTGCGGTCGGTGGCAGCCAGAGAGGAACCCGATAGCATCAATCCTCTGCAGGAACCCAGGCTGGTCCCAGGGTGTGTTTGGAAGCCACGGGGTGCTCGGTGCCAGAGGGCCGTCAGCCGTTCCTCGCTGCAGCCAGAACATCGGCTCCGACAGCTCCGACGCTCCCAACAGCTGCTGGCTGGGAGGAGAGGGCCTCGCCTGCTGCCAAAAAAGCGAGGAGCACGCACAGCCAGCGAGCACAGGAGCTGCTCTGATGCACAGGGAGGGCCTGTCAGCTCGCATTAGCCAAGGCAGCCCCTGCCAGGCAGCACTGGGCCGTGCCAGGCTGGTGGCCCCAGCCAAGAGCCGTGTGCCTGGCAGATGCCAGGCTGCTGCACGCACGGAGATCTGCCTCCCAAACAGCCCGAGGGGCACAGCCACTGCCCCCTTGTCAGCCAGAGGTGTGACAGCAACAGGGTGTGCAGGCACACAGGGGCTCGTGGCAGGCACCGAACAAGCAGGGGTTCAGGTCCCCAGGGAGGATGGGACAGCGGCCCTCTGCCAAAGCTGTGTGACACCTGAGTCAGGACAGAGAGGGCTGGAGGAAGGCAGGGAATGTGTTCCAACATGTTTACACTGAATACTGCTGTTTGCAGCTTCCTCATGAGGGGCAGCACTGGATCTCTGCTCTGTGTGGCCGGCGACAGGACCCGAGGGAAAGGCTGGAGTTGTGTCATGGGAGGTTTAGGTTGGATTCCAGGGAAAGGTTCTTCCCCCAGAGGGTGGTTGGGCACTGAACAGGCTCCCCAGGGCAGTGGGCACAGCACCAAGGCTGCCAGTGCTCCAGGAGGGTTTGGACAACGCTCTCAGGGACAGGGTGGGATTGCTGATCCTCATGGGTCCCTTCCAACTCACAGTATTCTGTGATTCAATAATAATCTTACTGTTCAAAGCAGAGAGGTCGTGGCTCATTCGAAACTGGAGTCCCTCAGCCAGCAAGGTATGAGGGAAGGATAATGCACAGTAGGGATGCACTGCACTACTGGGCAGTTTTATTGTGGACAATAAGGCACAAAACCATGGAAGTGGCCAGGAAGAGCATCCTGCACCATGGAATGGCAGGGGAGAGGCAAAGCAGACTGCTGTGAGGGGCAGCAAGGAGGAGGGATGGAGACAAGAACTGCACTTGTGTTGTGTGGAGGGACTTGGGGAGAAAGTGCCCCGGTGGCTGGAGAAAGGAGGGAACATTGCCATCTTGTGGAGAGCACCTCAGGGAGGATGAAGGCAAGGAAAAGCAGGGGCTCAGAGCACAGGTGCTGCTCTGAGACCACACAGCACTTCAGACAACTCTGAATGCCAAGAACTCACCTGAGTTCCCCATCCCAAACCCCATCCCCACAGCAGTCATGCAGCCTCTGCTCCACTTCGGCTCCCAACAGAGTGGCAAACTCCACAGCCACTTTCACCTACCTTCAGCCTCCTACTTCCATGTGATGCCTCTATTCCTCCCCAAGAACTCCCCAAAACACAAATAAAAATTAAGATTAAAAGGTAAACGGCTCTCCCCTCATTTTGGGGGCCACTGTGAGTTCACTGTTAGCCTCAATGACTTTATCCCTGCCACCCATGGCGTGACCAAGAAGTGTTTCACACCTTACCTGAATGACAGTGGGGAGAACCAGCTCTGGGAACCCAATGCTGTGGGCTTGGCTGTGGAGATACTCAAGCATCAGGTCATAGAGCTGGTCAATGAGTCCATCCTGAGCAGGAGAAACAAAGATATTAGACAGGAACCAAACCCTACAGTGCCCAGGTTGGGAAAGGAGTCTCCAGCCTTATGGGACAGGGCACAGAGGTCCCACAGAAGCTGCTGAGGTCCCACTTACTCTGAAGGCCTTTTCCTGCAGGTTGGCATTGGAAAGCTTCAAGATCACAGCAAAGTTTATAGGCTTAGAACTCATTCTCCCTGGCTTCTTGTTGAAATCCACTTGTTGAAATACCTAGAGGAGAAAAAAAAAAATGACTGTAAAGACAATCACACCACAAAACAAGGGAGGTGTTCACTGGCAATAGGAACTAATAAAAAGAAAAATAAAAAACCGAGCCAGCAATTGGTAACATTTGCATATCTGATGACGACCACTGAGGGGATGAGGAGCATATCCTGTCCACCCACACTTGTGAGCGCACCTCAAGAGCAGCTGACAGCTCCTCTCCCTGTGCCCAACGCTTTTAAATTGCACTCCTGAGCAGGAAATAATTTCTATTCCCTCTATGCAGCAGCAACACATCCATCATCAGACCCCAAGCAGCCCAGCCAAGGTGGGGATGCAGCACACACTGATTGCTCGAGGGCGAGGTGAGGAGGAAAGGGAGGGTGTTCAGGTCACACCGGTGCCCCGGGGCCAGAAAAGCACGGAGACGACTATTGATTTTCTTTTTTTTTTTTTTATTTGTCAATCCAGGTTATTTGGAAGGGAGGGACAAGCTTGGTGGCTTGTGAAAACAAAGAGCCCTTGCCTAGGGAATCGATGCTATAAACCTCGTTATGCACGGTTATTTCTTTGGCCAAAACAGGAGTATTGATCCCCGAGGTCAGACACATTAAAGCTGAGAGGAGTCAGCCTCGGTGGGATCCCAACATGCCTCCAGGCAAGCAGGGAAACGCAACCAGAGGCTTTGGAACTCACCCAGGAGGAGCTGGGGAGCCGGGTCAGGACATGTAGGGAAGGGGGAAAAAAAATGTGGTTCCCATCTTAAAGGACTGTGCAGAACAGGGAGACTGAGGGAGAGCATGACTGATGTCTAGGAATCCTGTGGCAGGGTGGGAAGGTGGTAATGAGGGACTAGAGGGCCACAGAACGTCACAAGGCAGCAGTTTGGCTGAAGTGATAACCACTAGCAGACAGAGGAAAGGACAGGGCAGCACAGGCAGGAAGGAGAAGGATTTTTGGCACTCCCCAGGCTCACAGATGATTTCCATGTGGGCGGTGGGAAGGGAGCTGGGATACATAATTTACACTGCCAGAATGCAAACCAGAGAACCAGCTCTGCACCACAGCACTGCCCCTGTGTCACCCTATCCCCTTTTCCTTCTCTCAGGCTCTAGGAAAAGCCTCCTGGCATCTGCTTTGATCACCCCAAAGCTGGGACATATCGCTGGGCCTGCAGCTTTCCCTCAGGTCTGTCAGTCACTTCTGTCTCCCACTTCACTGAGGGAAGGGCTCAGCCTAGTTAAGCTGCTCTAGTTAAGGCAAAGTCCAATTTTACTGTCAAGTCGCCCACCTTTCTGCAGAAGCTGGTCACAAACATTAAAAGGTTGGAAGTCACCCTGCAAGTCACCTCAAACAGGTACGTCAGGGCCATGTCCAGCCAGATCTGGGGATTTCCTGGTTTTTTTCTGTGTGGTTTTTTCCCCTCCAGTGTATCTAAGTCAGGCCTCCTGTGTTTCATTTTCTGTGTAGTGCAGGACACTTATCTGGGTGTATCAACTCCTCCAAACTTCACATCATCTGCAAGCTTGCTGATGGTGCCACTCTGCCCCACTGTTCAAACCCCTAATGAATAAGATAACCAGAATCAGCCCCAACATCAATCCCTGGGGTGGTTGGTTGGCCTCTGGCTGGATTTCATGCCACTGATCAGAGCAGGAGCCTGGAAGTTCAGCCAGGAAATTCAGCTTGTCAATACACCTGTCTGCTTATCCAGCCTGCAATTCATCAGCTTGTCTGTGAGGAAGTTCTGGGAGATGGTATCCAAAAAACCTTGACAAAAAGAGAAGACAAAGAGCACGCACTGCTCTCCCCTCATGCACTGAGCCAATCCTCTCAGTGCAAAAGCCCATTAGAGTGGTCAGGGCATGATTTCCCTCGACAGCCCCGGTACCTGCAGGGCTGTGATCCAGAATTTAAGAGCTGCAATACAAGGGTGGAGGGAGGAGAATGAGGAAAAGGAAAAATAAGTCTTCAGTTGGTGCAGCTTTGTCTTAAGTTCCAGTTTTTCCTCTCAGTGTAAAGGAGACAGAGTCCATGTCTCATAGAAAACACAAGATCTGTGTTTTAAACAGAGCAGTGTTTAAGTGTATGGCAATGTCCAGCTTTATCTTCACATCAGCTGATTTTCTGCAACACATTCCACTGCACCCTCCCATATATGTTGCTCTCCAAGCCCCTGGCAATTTTCTCCAAAACAAGACTCCAGCCATTTAAGTGTCAAAGTGAAACACTCCTGCCTTCCTAAGCATGTCAGGGTTAACCTACTCTGCCATCCCTCAGCAAGGGAAGCCAGGTTTAAATTGGCATGCAAAGTCTGCCTGGGGGGAGATTTCTACCTTGTCTATCCACACCTGCCTTCCAGCGGATGAGCCACCAATTTTCCTTCTGCAGAAGCCAGTGGCTGTCACACAATAAGTGAAGTGATGAAAAAAAGGAAGATTGGGATCTCACAGGCCTTTCAAGGGGAGTAACAGTACAAAAATAAACCCCTGCCTGCTCTTCACTCTCTCCCAAGCCACCTCTTCCTACCTAAGATGTAATTTTAGCAAGCTGCTGCTTTTGCTCCATCTTGGAGAGCAGAGTCAGAGAGGAGACGGCGTTGGATGCCCACGCTGGGGAACATCAGCCCTTGTCAAGATGCATCAAGCAGCCAGCTCTCATTTCCACTGGCAGGGGCTTGGGGAATTCCTGTGCCTCTGGGAATGAACAAATGCTCAATCTGTGCCTCCTGAACGTGCAGCAGCAATGGGGCTGAGGAAAGAGGCAGCAAGGATTTGGTTTCCTTGGTGGAGAAGGGAAATGCAGAGTTAAACAGTCACTTCTTACACAAGCAGCTTCACAGAATCTACACGCTCAGGCCATGCAGAGCCCTCTCCAAAAAGTGCACAAAGCACAGGGTCAGGAACTCCACAGCTGTTCTTTTACTGCACTTGGATCCAGCTGAAACAGTAACAGGGCAGTTTTTCTCCTTCCTATCAAATGGAGCATTATCCTGTGCTGGGAAGGCTTCATTCCACTTCCCAGACCCAAATCACGCTCCCCAAGTGCATTCCTGTTTAGCACCAACATATTGGTCACATCCTTCCATCCCATGATGGTTTAGATAAAGGGCTTAAAGTGGATTTTGGGTCATGGCATGGTGTAGGATGGGACTAGTGTCTATTGACCTGGTCACTGCTCAATTTGTGAGCTGGCAGAAACAAGTTTATAGTCAAAGCACTATGGTTGGGCATCAGAGTGCAATTCTCCCCAGTATCACCACAGCCACCTTGGGACTTTGGACAGGTCACTTCCCACTTCCTGCCATCTCACCTGCACAGCTGGAATACAATTCCAGCCTGAAGACAGCTTGTGGAGACACTCTAAGGGTTCTAAGAGTGTTCAGCCACCTCTGTGACAGAGAGGAAGAGGGAGTTGGGAAGAGATGGAAGGGAACAGTCCTGAATGCTCCTGGGAACTCCACAGATTATCTGGGGGATCCCTTGCAGGAGACAGACAAGAAGAAGGGAAAGGCTGACAGCTGCAGGGAGATTTGAGAGTTTAACATCGTGACAGTTACAGAAATCACGGGTTATAGAAATTAAGGCACACATTTACCCTGCCCCCTTCTGTCCCTTGTCACCACCACACCTGGACAAGCAGAGCCCAGCAGTGCCTCACAAACACACCCAGTGGGATGGGATGTGGTTGGGGGCTGGTGGAAGCTGGGAGGAAGCTCAGTGCAGTGTGGGAACATCTGGCTGGGGCCCAACACTCAGATTAGAGACGAGGTGTCAGGGCCAGGACACGAAGAGGAGGGGAAAGGCCCCCGAGGGGAAAAAGTTTTATCTTTACAGCACTAAAAAGTAAAAAGCAGAGACAGGGGAGATGCCTCTCTCACAAAATCTGGCTGGCAGAGTTTCAAACACTCATGAGCAAGGGGAAGGAAGCAGGGGAATGGCAAAGCCACACAGGTCAGGGCTGGGGGGCAGGCAGGAGGAGGCTGATAAACATTGCTGCCTTCCGCAGGCTGAGGATGTGGTTTGCAAGGGACATTCACAACAACCCCAAACCACAAAGGCCTCTGCTTCAACAAAACCTGATTAGGAACGAGCCTGGCTGACTCAGGGCTCTTATTATAGAAGTCTCCCTCCCTCCTTCCCTCCTCCTCCTCGGTGTCCAGCCTCATGCCGACCTCCTGGGGCTGCTGCATTCCTCACCCCGCCTTGCTCACACTTCTTCAGTGAAATTTGGCTGCAAAACTTCTGTATTACCTTCTCACAGCAGCAAAACTAGAAGGATTGATGTGGAGAGATGTCAAGTGTCTGATATGTGGGAAAGCTGGATGGTCCCTTACTAGCAGTATTTCACCAAACATACTCAATTTTGCCAGGTTACACTCACAGAGATCTTTCTAAATTTTTTAATTCCTGAAGGGCTTTTTTCTTCCATTTCCCTTTGTCTGCAGTTCGGAAGAACTCTTCCTTTTGCTAAGACATGAACACATCAGCAGGATCAAGAAACAGCTTGGGGAGTTACTGCAGCCAGCTCAGCCTCTGAATCTCTTCCTTGGCAACCCCTGTTTCCCACTCCAGCTGCATCAGTGAAACCACCAAGGAATGTATTTTTGCACCCAGGTGCAACTCACAGGCCAATGAAAGTTTAATCCTACTTGCCCACCAAACAATACATTGTGTGACGCTGTTTGCCAGGGATTTCAGGGGAGTAAGCAAAGTGGGCAATCTCAGGAGCTGCTGGTGGGTGTAGCGAGTGTGTTTATGGGGCAGAAGGTGTCAGCAGGAACCAAACTAACCTCCAGGATAAATGGCAACACTGGGATGAAGGTCCTGGTGTTCTCAGACAGCAGGGTAAGGGCACGGATGCAGTGCATGCGCAGAGGGTAGAAACGGTTTGTTGGTACCAGCCTAGAGAGGGGGGAGAAAGAAAGGATATTAGGCCAAGTTTATCCAGGAACTGCACCTGCAGCATTCAGTGGCACTCAAGAGCCTTTCCTACTCTGCTGAAGAAAGACAGTGTCAGTACTGCACAGTAAACTGAGCTATCCCACAGTGGGAAATAAAACTCACACGTTAAAGCTGTAACACTAACGCACAAACTCCTCCAACCAAGGCGCAGGTTCCCCACAGCTGCTGCTGGGAGAAAGTGCTACAAGGGCCTTGCAGATGAAGTTTGTCACTGATGCTGTTCAGTCAGGCTCAACACTTTTGGCTCTCATCCTCCCAGCATGGGGAAAGTGGCAGGAACCAGCAGTGAAATGACCATCTAAAGCAGCGAGTTTGACCAAGGAAAGAGCTCCCCCAGCACACCAGAGGAGGAAGAGGTTTCTCTTCTCAGGTTTTGTACTCACAGAGTTTATGTTGCCACTTGAACAGTGACCCTCCCAGTGTGGAAGGTCACAGGGGCAGGAGCTGGACTAGCAGTGACCAGCACATCTGGAAGGACAGAGTGGGAATGAGTGACCTCCCACAGCCACATCTGTTCAGCTCTCTCCATCCCTCCTGGGCTATTCCCCATCTCCTTCAGAGAGGCAACATCTACATTTGAGCAGCCAGGAATCAGCATGGAGGAGGGGGAAGAGGCCAGACTTTCTTTCACCCACATTTCAAATCATTTCACACTCAGATAGTCAGGCTGAGCCAGCTCCCTTTGTCAGGCTGGGACTGAGAAGGATCAGCTCCCCCAGCACCACATAAGCCAGGAGCAGAGGGGAGAATGGAGAGCAACCCCTCAAACACACCAGAGCTCATTACTGTACCACTCTGGAAGCCTCTCACTCTGAATGACCTGCACTTGAAGGCACGGGTGCCTCCAACATTAACAAGAATTTTGGTTTATTTTTTTTTAAAAACACAGTTCACAGATGACAGGTTCAAGCTGATAAATGAACCCCTCCCCTCCCCAAAGGGCTTGCTGAGCAATCCAAGAGAGCACAAAAAAAAAAAAAGAAAATGCTTGACCAGGCACCATAAATCACCTGCATCTCCCCCCCCTTCCAAATAGTGAAATAATTATCATTGGATCCATTATAGAAATAAATCTACTTTGCACCCCTGATCTGGCACCACTGGAGATGACGAAAGCCATTCTCAGGAATTAATTGATCGAGGAATAAACCTGTTAAGTGTATAGATTTACTGTAAACCAAGACCATTAATTTTAGAGTGCGTGGCAATGCAACAATCTGCTCGACATCCCAGTGGTGGGATGCACAGGGAATACAAAACACAGCTGGGTCCCAGCTCTACTGAGGGAGGTCCGACTGCCTCGTCACTCCAGGGGGATCAAAGTGACTCACACTTCATCTCAGTGGAGAGCGAATCCAATGTCTTTCCATCACCGTGTCCTGGAATGCCTCCTGTACTTCTCCCAGGACACAGGCTGGGGGGTTGGAACAGCCTAAAACTTCCCAAGGGTTATTTTTACTTGCTACAGGTCCTTCTGTTACACTCCTGGTGACCAGAGATGAAGCTTCTTTCAACATCAGCCTCTGCCCCACCAGGACAGCACATCAAGGGAAGCTGCTCAGGGACACTAAGGCTGTGCTTGCTTCCCTACGGAGGAAGTTGCACCTGCTTTCTTCCCCATGTGTGCTGAGAGGCTGGAATTTAACAGGCACCAAAAATCCTCATTTAACTAGACACCAGGGAGGAAGTTCCTTTTTATAGCTTGGGCTGCAAGCAAAGTAAAAATGCAAGCAGATATGGACAGAAAACTGCTTTTGGAAAAGGGATACCAGAATGGGAGATCCTACAGCAAAAAAAAACAACCAAGAACTTGGACAGATGCAAGCACATGGATCAGAAGGAGGAGCTTACAGACTGAGGAGGCACACAAAAGGCCAGGGTGGCACCTGGAATGATCAGGTCCCACAGCCAGACAGACACACCCCGTGGTCACCGTCCTTGTGCTGGAGCCAAGCGCCACCTCCTGGCACAAAGGGCAGGAGGGAAGGGGACTCTCCTCCCATCCCTCTGGATAAATCACTCCCCCACACCAGCAGCACAGGAGGAAGAAGGCGTTCCAGATGTTACACAGCATCCTGCCCCACCGAGCCACATCATTCCCACATCTCCTAACCCGCTCCCTTTCTATATATCCCAGACACTGGGTGGGATCTACTTCTGTTTTCCCATAGAATCAAAGATTGGTTTGAGTTGGAAGGAACCTTAAAGATCATCCAATCCCATCCCCTGCCGTGGGCAGGGACACCTTCCACTAGCCCAGGTTACTCCAAGCCCTGTCCAACCTGGCCTTGGACACTTCCAGGGATGGGGCAGCCACAGCTTCTCTGGGCAACCTCCCCACCCTCACAGGGAATGATTCCTTCCTGATCTCTCATCTAAACCTCCTCTCTGCCAGTATGAAGCCATTCCCCCTTGTCCTGGCACTCCAGGCCCTTGTAAAAAGTCTCTCTCCACCTTTCTTGTCACACAGTACTTGGAGCTCATGCCAAGCAGCCCTGCCCATCCCTGATTCCACCAAAACTGCTGCTCTTGCTGAGACTCACCCAATTCACCTTTCCTTGTCCCCAGATACCTGATTTATCTGCCTGGACAGGTAGAAAACCGCTCAGATTCCTCCCCAGGACACCCAGAGCCCCGCAGGAGCAGTGGGAAGCAGCCTGGGGATGCAGGGGGAGGGGAAGAGGGATGTTTGCATACTCTAACGATCGCTTAAATCTGCTTATCTTCACCACCACTCGGGAGTTTTTCCAAGAGCAGGCGGGTGGCGTTTTAAAGCTGAGAATCTGGTTAACAGAGCTAACAGGATTTTGGAGATCACCAGAGATTCTGAAATTCCCTCAATGCTCGTTATTAACAGCCGTTTCAAAAGCACAGAAATTTCTGTGTATGAACTGAGGAAAGAAATTCTCAGCAGACGTACTAAAAATAACAGCCGAGTCCTAGTTCTTCAAATTCTAACAAAGATGCACCAAAAATGCATCTTTTAACTGTGTTTACAGAGCTGGAGGTGAGGTCTTGATTCTGCAGTTACATCCTGAAGCAAGACAGAACATTTTCCTTGCCACTGTGTACAGCTGGGAAGGTAACAGTCCAGGCTATTCAGACTGACACTTCCCTTATACACAGAATTTAGCCTTTCCCACCACCTAAACACACAACACATCTTTGGCTGGAATGCTTCAATCAAAAGCAGCTCTGAGTCAACTCCTTACAATGCAAGGTTAAATCCGAATCACGTAACAGTAACACCCCTCAGCAACTGCTCTGCATCAAGGAATGGACAAATATGGCAAAGGGAAAAAAAAAAACCTCCTACTTACTTTATACAGCCAATGATGACCTGTGTCAAAGGATAGATCAAGGGCTCCATGACCTCACTGGGATAGATGGTGCTGAGAACACGACACCAGAAATACAGGCAGTGGATATATTGCCAGTTATAAACAGACTGGAAGTTCTCCTGCAGGAAAGGGAAAAATAAAAGGCACAAAACTCTGAAAACTCGCCCTGCTTTCTCCACAAGACTCATTTTATGCAGGACACCCTGCACTGCTCAGGGAGGAATAACCATCATTGTACTGTCACTCTGAGAGCAGTGGCTGAGCCACCAGCCAGCAAGTTCAGATGCTGCATTGGCAACGTTGTGGTTTGGTACAAGTCACTGCCTGAAGGAAATAATATACATAAAAGCAGTCTGGGGGTGTTGCTCAAGTTGGCTCCTTTGAGAAGGAGTCCTTAAAGGACACACTTTCCAAAGAGCATGCATTCCCCAAAACAGCATGAACAAAGAGGGGATAAAACTCAACAAGGTGCCTCAGCTCCCACTTGTGTTTGTTTCAGACTTTCAAGGCCCAGGCCATCTCTTCTGAATGGATAAGAAAGATGCACAAGTCCTGCAACAAGGACAGGAGCCCCCAGCTGCAGCCACTGGACCAAAGCTTGCAGGGAGGATTAAAGCCAAGCCACAGCTGGACACAGCAGAGCTCTGCCAGCTCTCACCAGGTCACTGAGATGCACCAAAGAGCTCTTCTCAGCTTCTCTTGCACAAGGACAGACAAGCAATCTGCTCCTGTAATCACCTTCCACGACCATCCACCGCTCCATTTAAATAGGCTTATTGCTTGGATTTGTACATTTTGGTTGTGCTGTTCTCATTTCAAGTTCCACAGCCCTCCCCAGCTGTGAAATCAAGTGGATTTAGTTCTTGTCTGGACCAGAACTAAGGGTGTAAGAAGCCAGTGCAATCCAATTAGGGGATATGCAGCCCAGACTTCATTTATCTCTGCTTATTTATCCCCATGTCTGAACAGCCAGGAGATTTAGCTGGTCACCAATCCTGCAATGTTTGGGGGCAGCTGAACAATTAATCTATTGGGGTCTGTTTTGCTAAACACAAATAAAGCCAGGATTAGCAATCTGACTTAGATTTCCGAGGTCAGACTGGAGGTGGCTGAAACCAGGGCTGCTCCCAAAAGGTCTGAGCTGCTTTGTTCAATTAAGTCCTCTAAATAGTGCAGACTTTGCAGGAGAGATGCACACACCAAGGTGGTTCCTAATCTTCCTCTTTACCTTGAGGTTTTGTGACAGAGGCTGCAAACAGCAGCTTCAGAGTGGAAAAAGGGTGCCCAAGGCACAGGATGGGAAGTGCATCACAAACTCCTGCAGGTGGGGAGAGAAAAGTGACTCCCACCCTGCAGTGGGCAGGGACACCTTCCACTAGACCAGGTTGCTCAGAGCTCCATCCAGACTGGGTTTAAACACTTTCAGGGATGGGGCAGCCACAGCTTCTCTGGGCAACCTGTGCCAGGGCCTCCCCACCCTCACAGGGAAGAATTTCTTTGGTATATCTAACCTAAACCTCCTCTCTGTCACTTTGAAGCCATTCCCCCTTGTCCTGTCACTCCATGCTCCTGTAAACAGCCTCTCCCTCTTTCTTGTAAGCTCCCTTCAGGTCCTGGAAGGCCACAATCAGGTCATTCCAGAGCCTTCTCTCTTCTCTCCTTCCTTGTTGAAATTCTACCATGGGCGACCCTGGAGCTCCAGCCCCTTGGCTGGGTGATGAAACGGGTCAGACAAGCGAGGCACCACCAAAAGCCTGAAGGGATGACTCCAATTTCCCCTCTCCACACATTCCCCTGTAGGAGGACACACTCCTTCCACGCCCAAGAGGCACCCACCTTCTTCTTGATGGTCATGGCGCTGCGCAGGTGGATGGCGAGCTGGCGGATGTAGATGAAGGCGTGCTGGTAGGAGGTGTGGGTGTCCAGGGCGTACATCTCCGTCAGGGTGCGCTGCATGAAGTTGATCATGGGCAGGACGTTGGGAGAGGTGAATCTGGAGTTCTTCACAAAGGCAATGTACATTTGCTGGGCAGGGAAGAGGAGAAGATACAACCAGGTAAAAAAAATGCGGCGAGAGACGTTCTCACGCTGACCCTCCCCACTACCCAGGCGTGTCCAAACCAGGGGGGAAAGTGTTCCTTTTATAAAGAAATATGCAAAAGTAATAATCCAGCCTGCTCCTTCTTTAGGGAAGACAGGAAAGAATCTGTTTAGCACAGAGCTCAGAGATGTCCCTACCACTGTCTGCCTGCAAGAAGAAAACATTTGGTTTTCTTTGGGAGAAGGCACTCGGGATGGTCTGAGCCATCCGTGGTTCTGGCTGGGCACAGTTCTCTTGCTTAGGTGCCACTGTCACAGAAAACTACACTTGGGAACTTCAGGTGAAAGATCAGAGCAGCTCAGTTGTATGGCAGCACCTCAGGAGAGCCCTGAAGAATTTGGAAGATGAGTATTGGCCCAGTAGATAGATCACAGCAGAGATCTTCCCTGCTCAGAGTCTCTGTGCCTCCAGCAGGAAGGGCAGCAGTAGGAAGAGCAGATATCACTCTGACCTAACAGAATTTCTGCCTTGTTTAATTTTCTGGACATAACCAGCATCATCTAATAGGCTGCAGCTCTTGAATGTATTTGCACATAACATGAGAAAGAAAATCTGCAGATCAGAGCCAGTACCAGGCTTACCTTGAGCAAGGGACTTAAGTAAACCTCCTTCTTGTAGCGGCAGAACTTGTTCAGCACAAGGAAGGCCAGGACTCTCACTGTTTCCTCACCTGTGCTCCACAAAGTAATTGTTTGCTGGGATAAAACAGAAGGATATAGATAAGTGAAGGGACAAAGAGTTCCTTCCTGGTTACACACAGGCCTGAGCTTCTCTCCTGCACAGCAAAACCAACAGCACTGGTAGCCCTTCTGTCCTTATACTCCTAGCTGTGAGACCTCAGAAAAAGGCAAGGTTGGTGTTTTCACAATAAATAAACTGTCCAAAAGTAGCACCTCTGAAAAATACATGCACTTATTTGTGTGGCTGAATACTCTGAGCACAGGCACCAGCCTTGGATGTGACTCAATCACCCAGAGATTCACTTGGCCTGTCAGGAAGAACCTGGTACAGCAGGACCCCGATCATGGCCGATGCCTCCAGAAACCAGTTACCTCATCTGAACTAATGAACTCCACAGAACATCAGAAATATTTCCGCTGCAGGGCTGAAAAAGCCTCCTCAGGAATCCCCACAGTGGCACTTAGCAGACTCCAACACCTCCAGATATGAGGTGTCCCAGCCTCCCACCCCTGTACTCCAGTCATCTTTGCCATCAAAGGGTTCCCAGCCTCATTTAAATGTTGCCTTGCAGTGGTTTTTTTCATTTAAATGTCACCCTGTTGCCCTCTTCATCTCTTCCACGCCTCCTTTGTTGTTCTTAATGCTCAGCAGTTGTGACTAAGTTTCTGTAAAAATATTCCACCCCCAGCTCTGGAGAGGGAAATGGTACCACAGCGCTTGGCACACAGGCAGCAATTACTCCATCTGTGAGGAGGCAGCAGACAGCTTCCCAAAACACCTCCCTGCCACTTAGGAGCAGCTACACAGAGCCACCTCCCACTCACCTCAGCCTAAGAACAGCTCATGGCACCTGGGAGGCCTGGGAGAGAAGCAGGAATCCTCTCCAGAACCAATAGCAGAGCAAGGGAATAATAGTACAAGAGAATGAACTGTCACGGGATCCAGCCCAAATTCCACAACAGGCTTGTCTGGAGAGGGAAAGAAAGTACCTCAGATCCAAATGACACATCACAGCACATCCCCTCACCTTGAGAAGGGCACGGCACTGCTTTGGGAAGGATAAATAATAAGGCACTATGGAGTTGACGTGCTGAAGCACTGCTGCACCAACCGAGGCTTCTGTCAAACAGGACAGGAGCTGTGAAGGGAAAACAAAGTAACAACCCCATTTAGCATGCAGTCCTCACCACCTCTTCCTTCCCCATCTGTATTTTGCTGCTTCCAAGTATTTCTGTGATACTAAAGGACTGGAAGACCAGGCTTTGCTAGGAGGGAGCTCCAATAAACCCACGAGAGCTGTCTCAGGAAAGGAGCAGACACAAGGTGGGTTAAATAACTGCCCTGAAAGCACATCATCCTGGCAAATGTGAGCTGAGCTCATCACACAGAGCCTCATTTGTGTGTGCTGCAAAACCTAAGTTTATATGCAGTTGGAGGCACCTTGCAGATGGCATGACACCAACACCTCTGTCATCTCCCTCAGTCTACACAAGGCTTGGAAACAAAACCACCTGAGCTGGTAACATACTGGATTGCTGCGGGATTTCTTAAGGGGAAGCTGGAATACTATTAGGTACCAAGAGGTTTTACCTCAAGGAAAAGGTAAGACAAACTATTAAGAAACAGTATCTTTGTATTTCCAGACTGCTCAGCCCAGAGCCAAACCCAGAGATGTTGCAGCTTCTAATGTGAAGACATCCTAAGTTCCAAATTAATCTGAGAGAGGTTCTGCCTGATGCAGTGCCCCTCTGCCTGCAACCCCAGCTGCTGGAAGCAGAGGCACGTTGTCTACTTTTAATTTTCTTCCTCACCCCCCTCCCGCACTGCAAAGATTCTGGACTGACCAGGTCTCCTCTGCAAAGTCCCTCACACACCAAAAGGAAAGGAAAGGAGATATTGCTGGGAAACCACTGTGCCAGAAGAAGCCCTGTGGTGAAGGCTGGCACTGAGGGCTCTCAGAGTCAGCACAGGAGCAGGGATTGCTCCAAGGCACTGCACTGCCAGCTTTTCCTTGTCTACTGCAATCCTCTGCTGCTGGCAGGAGGCACCACGACTTGAGAGAAAAAAAAACCCTCTACTGATCAAAATGTCCTTTCTGCTAAGTCATTCTCCAGCTTACAGCTAGGAGACACCAGCACTGGCTTTCTCTCCTTGCATCCCCTTCCCTCAGCTTCTGAAGAGGGAGTATTTCAACACTTCTTTTAATATTCTAAATTTGGGGATGCATGATGAAGCAATCTGGGAAAAAAAACAAACTGGGGGCAGGAGTTTCCTTCAGAAATAATCCATGAATTGTATCTCTAACACCAGAAATCAGCTATTCTGGGGATAAGCTAGAGAGATGGGGCATTAATATCTATGTCCTATGTGAGGTATACATAACACCTTCTTAGTATTTATCTCAAAAACTGGCAAGGTCATAGTGCCAAAAACTGAATTAACAATGCAGAATTTAAGAGCACAGCACTGCAAGATACTTTAAAGCCTATTAAATATTAATTTGTCGGACAAATTAAGACAGAAACAACCACCAGAATGTTAATCCAACGCTTCTTTACTGGCTCCCTATTTTGACCCAACAGACCTGCAAATTGTTAGCTGGACCCAATGCTTCCACAAGTCAGGGAACTGGATGGACACACAAATCCCAGACAGGCAAAAGCCCACCTGCCTCATCCCAAAATATCCCAAACAACAGCCCAGCAACAGAATATGATGACATTTCTTACTTGTATGGTACAGCCAAGGTACACTTTTATGTCCAGTCGCAGTTTGCCCCAGAGCGGGCTGGTGGAAGGGAGAACCATCCTGGAAACAAGAAACAGTTGGGTTTAGCTTTAGAAAACCCACCAAATAAATTAGATTTCAGCAGCCACATGAGCAGTGAATTCAACTCTTTGATACTGCCAGTGAGTAACAACTGCTTGCAAAGCACGAACTGAGGAGAAGCAAAAATTATGTCACGGGTGAAAAGAAAAACCCTGCTCTGTAAAAACTGCCTGGAGCACAGCAGTAGGAAGTTCAATTCAAAGAGCTTCCAAGCTCTCTCTGACCCTGCAGTTCCCAAATCCCCTCACACTTACTTGGCTTTCTTCTTTGGGGCTCTGGGAAGCAGCAGCTCCTGCAGGTAGTGGAAGAGGTCCCGGATACAGAAGGACACAAGGGCATTGAACACTGGTTAAAACAAAAGTCAGCAAAGCACTGGTAAATCATTTTCCACACATCCCTGGCTTCTCAGCTAATGTGAAAAGAGCTCCCCAGAGAACTGAAGCAGTAATTTCTGTAGCAGAACTGCTGTGTTTCCCCGAGCTCCAAGAAAACACCAGTTTGCCTTATCCCAGAGTTTTTTTATCTGAAGAATAAGATTACAACCGACAGATTTTGGCACAGAGGCCAAAATTCTCCAAGCAAACAGCACCAAGCACTGGGACACCAGAAAAGATCCCACTGCACAGACTCACCACCAGGAAGATAAGCTACTTAAGTGAAATGAAGCCTGTGAAAGGGTAAGTTAACTCCAGCCAGTGCTTATCTCCACTCTCTTCCAAGAGCTGAACTGCCCCACAAAATCATTTCCCCTCCCTCACAGGTGTGAACAACTCACCTGCGGTATCAGTCACTTGGAACTTGCTGGGATCACCCCCACTGTCTCCTTTGGTGGTGGCTACAGCTGCTTTATAGGCTTGAGTGATTTCATGGAAGAGCCTTGGTGTCAGATTTCTCTGGGGGGAAGAAAGAAAAGGATTGCCAAGGAGAAAAAGGAAGAGATCTTCTAAAATTCTGAAGCACTTGAGTATTGGAATTCAGTCTAAGTTTGATGGCAAAAACAGCTCTGATATGAAGGATAAAGGTCAGTACAGTGTTAATAAACACCAGAGGCCTTCATCTGCTCTAAAATTGGTTTTTAATTGGCTGGGGGGTTGAGAAGCAATCAATCAGTTTCAAGTAATTATCCAATTGTGATCTTCCCTCCCCTTAGTCAGAAGCACAAGCCATTTTATTACTACTTAAACCATGAACACAAAAGCTCTTGGAGCCTTCAAATGCACAATGCAAGAGGGTGAAAAAAATCAAAATTTCATCATTTTGGCCTCTTCTGAGCCACACATTTCTCTAAGTTCTCCCTCAGATGCACTGCAAGCACTCCAACCTTGCAGTACAAGGAAAATTGCACTGAAAACGAAAAGCTCTGGGAGCCTGAGACATAAACCTACTCTGCAGGTTTTTGTCCAAGACTGCCTGGAAAAGATCAACTTGTGATTTGTTAATGACAGATGGGGAACTGTGTTTAAAGGAGGACACTCAGGAGCTTTGTATTCCAACTCCCCTGCTCACCTGTGCAGCTTTTTTCCAGTCTTCAACCATTTTCAGGCTCACAGAGATGAAAGAAACTCTCTTCCTTTTGACTTTTTCTTGTTCTTCCTCTTCCTCATCATCTTCATCACTTGCTTCCTAGAGAAGTCACAGCATGACTGAGAAAAGGTTTAGACAATTCTTTTCTGGCCCCACCTCTCTTTTGCTGAGCAGCTACTGAAGAGGAAGGCAGCTCTGATTTTATTAATGCTGTTACCAGTGCTTTGTGTAAAGAAAAAATTAAATTAGAGGTATTAAAAATTGAATTAAAAAAAAAAAGCAGCTTAAGCTGTGCGGTTTTGCTAAAACATCAAGGTGAAAACACATCACTTGAGGCAAAATTATTATCGGGAAAGACGACACAAAACCAAAATAAAAATTCACTAAAAAGAAAATGCACTCCAAGGCTCTGCTTTGACAATCTTTAACAAACTCCTCGTGCTCAGTTCAAACCTCCAGCTGATTTCTGGGATTACAACCTGTGAATGAGCTTAAAAACTCCACGTGACAATAACTGAATTAATTGATTCCAGCACTCCAAAACATGCCCTGGTACCTCCAGCGTGTCAGGGGGTCTGTGCAGAGGCTCCTCCTCATCTGAACTGTCTGAGGCATCAAAATCCAGCAACGTGCGATCGTTTTCCTCCAGGAACTTGTAGAATTCAGGATCTCTGTCCTTCAGCCTGGAGAGCTGATCCTTGTGCTCAGATGCCTTTCCTTTCCTCCTGGGGGAGTAAGGGTTAACGTTAATTAGCATTTATCCACTGCTCAGACTTTATTCGTGTGTATTTATTAGCTTTATTCACAAGCAGCCCCTGGTCACTGAGGCACAGCTGGGGCTGATTTGGGTGGTGATGATTTATCAGGGCTGTGGCCACAGTTCTGTGCCTTGTCTAACACCTGGAGGACTTGCAAAAGGTCCTTTTCATGAACCACTAAGAGAATCTTGACAGCAAGACATCAGGCTGCATCTGTATGCTGACCAGAGGTCGTGAAAACACCTTGAAAAACCAAAATAAATCTGCTTCTCAGTTGGTCAGAATTACTCTCAGGAGCTTTTGTAAAGAACCCTGAAAGCTCTACCACCAGAAAAACCCGATAACGAAAGCTCAGTAAAATTTGTTGCACCAAAGAATTTGTTTTGTTACACTCAATAATTTGTGTTCTAATAACGATTATCAGTGATTAAGAACTGCTTCATCATTCTCTACGCTGCAGACAGTCCAAACCCTCTCAGTGAGAGCAAACACAGAGAAGCTAAGGAAAAACAAAGCAAGTTTTGCCTGACTCCAGCACACCCTGTAAAAGACCAAAAGCACTTTTCCCCACTGCAGTTACTGACCTGACACGATAAAAAAACCCAACTGTCCTGCACACTGAGGCGTTGAACAGCGCCCTTTCAGACACCTCTGACCCAGATGATGATGAACCTGTAGCCTCTACAGCAGAGGCTGCAGCGAACCCAACAATCATTTAGGTGGGAAAAGCCCTCCCAGCCCATGGATCCCCCTGTGCCCCATCCCCACCCTGTCCCCCAGCCCAAGGAACGGAGGGCCACGGACACCTCCAGGGGTGGGGACTCCAAACCTCCCTGGGCAGCCCCTTCCACTGCCTGACAACCCCTTCCCATGAGGAAATCCCTCCTGATGTCCAACCTGACCCTCCCCTGGCACAGCCGGAGGCCGTTCCCTCTCCTCCTGTCACTTGTTCCACGAGAGCAGAGCCTGACCCCCCCCTCTGCTCCCCGCTCCTGTCAGGAGGGAGGTGTGGAGAGCCAGAAGGTCCCCCCCGAGCCCCCTTTTCCCCAGGCTGAGCCCCCCCAGCCCCTCCCGGGGCATCCCCACCCTCACCTGCCGGGGGCCGCCATTGCCGCCTCCGCCACGCGGCCGCCGCTTCCGCTCCCGGCCTGCCCCGCGCTCAAACCACGCCCACTGATCCTAAGCCACGCCCCGTTACCGCCTTGGCCACGCCCCCTCTCGTCTTGGCTCCGCCCCCTCCCCGCGGATCCCGACCTGGATCGGGAATATCGTGTCCAGATGGACCGGGAAAGCGGTTTTTCCTCTGTGCTGGGCGCGCACCTCGAGTGCTGTGCCCAGTTCTGGCCCCCCCCCAGTTCATTGAGGGGCTGGAGCGGCTGAGGGACCTGGGGGGGCTCAGCCTGGAGAAGAGGAGGCTCAGGGGGGACCTTCTGGCTCTGCAATCCCTGACAGGAGGGGGGAGCCGGGGGGGGTCGGGCTCTGCTCCCAGGGAGCAAGGGACAGGAGGAGAGGGAACGGCCTCCAGCTGTGCCAGTGAAGAGTCAGGTTGGGGATAAGGAGGAATTTCTTGGTGGAAAGGGTTGTTAAACATTGGAAGGGGCTGCCCAGGGAGGTGGTGGAGTCCCCGTCCCTGGGGGTGTTCAAGGAAGGACTGGCCGTGGCCCTCAGCGCTCTGGGCTGGGGGACAAGGTGGGGACGGAGCACAGGGTCGGACTCGATGATTCCGGGGTTTTATCCAAACTCAAGCATTCTGTGACTCCCCGTTCAGGCCACGCCCCCTCAGCCACTGATCCCGCCCCCTCCCGTGGCTCGCACCCAGAGGGGCGGGGTCTGCTCTCCTAACCACGCCCCGTTTCCAGCCAGACCACGCCCACCCCGCTGGTGGCCCCGCCCCTCGCCCCCCGGTCCGCGGGGCCGCAGCGGGGCCGGTGCCGCTCGCTCCGGACCCCGGACCCGACACGGACACGCGTGCCTGGCCGTGCCGCGGGGTTATTCCGGGTGACGAAGGAAGCCGCAGCCGCGGGGGCCGCCCCGGCTCGAGGAGGAGCCGCCGCTGCCGCCGCGCACCTGCCCGCCCCAGGCCCGCCCCGTCTGTGCCCGCCGCGGGGCCGGTGCGGGTGCAGCGGCGCCCCGCAGCATCCCCCGGGCTGGGCCGTGGCTGCAGCGGAGCCGTGAGTACCGCCGAGGCACGGCCCTGCCGCCACCTCCTCTTCCTCTCCCTCTTCTTGTCCCTCTCTCTTTCTTCCTCTTCCTCTCCTTCTCTCTCTCCTTTTTCCTCTCCCCCCTCCTTTCCTCCTTCTCCTTCTCCTTCCCTCTCTCACTCTTCTTCTTCCTTTTCCTCTCCCTATCGCTCTCCTCTCTCTTCCTCTTCCTTTCCTTCTCTTTTTCCCTGTCCTCCTCCTCCCTCTTCCTCTCCTTGTCCCTCTTCTTCTTTCTCTCCCTTTCCCTCTCCCTTTCTCTCTCCTCCTCCCTTTTCCTCTTCCTCTTCCCTTCCCTGTCCCCGGCATGGCCAGGGGACCCGGACCCTGCAGGAGGAGGGACAGCCAGGGGGCTTATGGGGTGTGGGGCAAACCGGAGGGGTTACTGGGACGTGGGGGGGACAGGCAGCAGGGGGGACCCCCGAGAGGATCTCCCCCCTCCGCTGCTCCTGCGCATCCCTCCTGGGAGGAGGGCAAGTTTGCTGTCGGGGTCGGGGAGGGGGGACCTTTGGAAAGGTTCGGTACAACCGGTGCCGCTTCCAAAACATTTCCAAAGGTTTGGAACAGCCGGTGCCGTCTCCAGCCTCTGCACCGCGGCATCCCCGTGGCCGAGGCCGGCAGCATCCCCGTGCTGAGCGTGCCCTCCTTCCCCTGTCCTCTGCCGAGTCCTGGAGAGATCCCGCTGGTGAAGGGAAAAGCCGCAGCTCCGGAGCCCGGGGAGCAGCCGCAGAGAGGGGTCTGGCCTGGCCGCGGTGTTCCTTGCCCTCGGTGGAAGCACACGGGTATCAGTGTTTCGTTGGTGACGGGGGAGCTGAAGGACACGGGGAGAAATGTTGCCTCGGGTTTTCTGGAAACTTGGGAGTCGGGGTTGGGGGTGGGGGGGGAGCGGTGGGAAGTGGGACGCAGCTTTTTTGTGGCCTCTGCAGTGACTGTCAGGGCAGAGGGCTCTCCTTGAGCTACAGCATCGCTGCTGCTGCTGCTGGAGCTGGTCCTGGAGCAGCAGGCCAGGCAGGCAGCTGCTTTGGTACTGCTGGCTGAGCAAATGCCTCCCTCTCCAGGGAATGACAGCCTTGGGACTTTAGCTTCCCCACGGCAAGGAGGGGTGTCTGTCCCTGCTCTGTGTGTCCATCCCTGCTCTCTGTGTGTCTCTGCCCTGGCCACCGACCAGGCTTTGTGCCAGGCTCAGACTGCAGAAGCAGTGGCCTTGCTTTGATGGGCTCTCTGCACGGGAAGAGAGCTCTCCTTTGGCTTCTCCTTCTGCTGTCCCATAGCACCGTTTTGGGGGGTTCTCCATTGCTGGAGACCACCAGGAGGGAGGTCTGGAGTGATTCTGGAGTGATTCAGCAACACGTGGATATTTGGGTGCTTTTGATCCCAGCAGTCTGGCCTTTTGCACCAGGAGATGCTGCTCTGTTACAGCTTTGCTGTTTTGGGGCTCACTAACACTTCAGAGGACAGTGGCCTTTTGGTTATGATCCCTACAGCTAAACAAGCATCTCTGTGGAATCTCCTCCCTCTGCATCCCAAGTTTCTCTCCTGGCCCGTGAACATCTGCTGGAAACCCTTTATTCAGCATAGCAGTGAGTAAGACTCAGGGATGTTGGGTGTAGAGATCTGAGTTTCCTTCCTGAGCACTGACTGATTAATGAATCACAGCAAATAGCATCTAATTCAGAGCACACCAGGAGCTGGCAGGCGTAACAGGCACCTGCTCTCTTGGCTTGATAGCCCAGGATCCAAATGGAGTTGCTCCACAGCATCTTGGGTAGCTGTGGATGGTCCCTGATGCTTCCTGTCAGCTGAGGTCAGCGTGGTGGGGGTGGCAGTGGAACGTCTTTGTTCTGCCAGCAAAGACAGTGGCCATCTGCCCTTGCTCCCTCAGCATCAGTCCTGGTCTCTGGAGGTGGAGTGGCATGTGGGAATCAAGGCAGCAGTGCTCTGAAGGCTGGAGACCTGCTGGGGAGACTGTTCTGGGTTCTGGGCTTGTTTTGCTGCATTTCAGGCTCAGCAGCTTAAAAAACACTGAAGTCTCAGTGCTTCTGGATTTCCTCAGGTGCTGGAGCCCTGCCTCCAAACCCTTAGGCAAGCTGGGCTTGGGAGGCTCGAGGGGCTTCATCCTTTCTGTCTGGCCTGCTGGAACTGGCTGCAAACCTCTAAAGGATGTGACTCCTCAGGGGCAGGAATTCGAGCTCCTTCAGCTGAAATTCCCAGGGCCTTGGCAGGCCCCCAGTTGTACCAGCAAGCTCAAGGCCATTATGTCACGTGCTCCTCATAGCTCAGTTTTCCTGTATGTGGCCTGTGCTGCTGCCTGCCAGAAGATGTGAGGGAATTCTCTTGTTTTCTGGCTTGAAAACGGGTTCCCACTGCTCCACAGTGTGAAGCTCAGAGCTTGTTCAGAGGAGGAGATGTGGATCAGGTCTGGTACGTCTACGCTGCCAGCCCACACTACAACAGGGGCTGGCAGGAGGCTTTGTAAACCCTCCAGGAACGTGGTGTGGGTCCTGTGGAAGGGGTGAGCCAGGGTGCAAGGTGGTGACCTCCTCTGGTGACCTCCTGGTCTGGAGAGTCACTCATGGGCAGCACTTGACGAGCAGAATTATTCCACGTCTCGCCCGTCTGTAGAAGATGTGCCTGCTTGTTTGCAGCCAGCAGATCCGAGTGCTTTTTCCTCCTTTCCCCGCTTCTGGAGCCGCCAGGCCAAGCTGACCCGTGTCATGGGGTCAGCCTTGCCTTTAGAAGCCAGGTTGGTGTCTCCTGCTGGGCCTCCCCAAATCCGTCTCTCTTGTCTGACATCAGGGCACTGCTGAGCACGAGTGACCTGCTCTGAACTGCCCCACCTCCTCGAGCCACCATCACCTTGCACAGCAGACAGGTAAAAGGGCATAATCCCTCTTTATAAACAGCTGCTGGACAAGGATGTTGCAGGCAGAGAGGGGGTTCCTGGGCAAGTCTAGGAGCCAGGAATGTGGAGGTGCTCGGATACAGGCTGCCTCCAGTGACCTGAGCGCTCTCATCTTGTGTTTACCTGTCTGAAAAATGAGCTGGGGACAGAGATGTCTGTCATCCAGGGAAAGGCAGAGCCAGGAATACCACAGTGATGGGCAGTGCAGCTGAAGATGGTGATTAGCACTGCTGCCTGGAGAGGGGATTTGCTTTATGCCTGTGTGTGGAGGTTTGGCACTGCTGGTGCCAAAAAATAGCTCTGGGTGCGACAGTAGCTCCTCTCCCGTGCCCACTGGGGGACGCTGGGAAGGGGGAATTAGGACACAACCCACATCTTCAGTCCTTGAGAGAGTCAAAGGGCTCATTTCACTTAGGCCTTGGTGTGCTTTGTGCTGGACTGGAGGAACTCCTGTGTGACCCCAGGGCAGCTGGAGAACTGCACGTTTTGCTGAGCATCTCAAGGCATGAATCCATTTCCATTTCTTGTTCCTCCCTAACCTGTGAATTCAGCAGTCCCAAACCCATTCGGGTCCTGGCCCTCACAGCCAATTACTTGAAAATGACCCAAACCTTAGCACAGATGCCTCTAAATCCCTCAAGCATGGAGTCCTGCTTGGAGCAGCAAAATAAGGAAGGAGAAAGCTAAATTTGAGGATGTCTGCAGGAAGAGCTGCTGCCTTTGGGAAGTGAGGGAGAAGGTTGTGTACCCAGGTGGGCGCCAAGCAGGCTGGATGCCCCTTCATCTCTCTCAGGTATGAGAATGTCCCAGTGCATTGAGGCTCCCTCCTCCCACAGCTGAAGCTCTTCTGAGCATGACTTGAGAGCAACTTTGAGCTGAGCTTCCAAACAAAGCTCCCCAGGAGTACTGGGGAGCGAGGCTTTAATTAGAAAAGACCTCCAGCCCTCCTGTGTGCACGAGGGGGCCGATTGATTACAACCCACTGAGTTGCTGAAAGGCACCGCCGAGGTCAGTGTGCTGAATGCCCTTCTTGCCTGGAGCCAGCACTGTCTCTGTGCTGTAGAGCTGGCAACTGCGTGCAGCTTTTCCCCGTCCTCCCCACCCCCTTTGCCAGAGAGGCTCCACATCCTCTCTGGCAGCTTGTCACTTCTCTGCAGATGTCTAGACAGGAGGATTCAGTGCGTGTCAGTTATGCCTAATTCATTTAAAAAAAAAAAAAAAAAAACAACAACAACCACCACACCAAAAAAAAAAAAAAAAAAACACCAAACCCTACTGAGAGAGCTGGGGATTCTCAGTCCTGCAGACTCAGCGCTGTCTGCGGTGCCCCGGTGCTGCCTTCAGGCTGGCTCAGAGCAGATTAATCCCGTGGATCCGCAGGAGCAGCGAGTGCCTCGGCTCCCACCCGCAGCAGGGGGGCTTGGGGAAGGGCTGGCAGGGCTGGCAGAGGGACCAGCAGGGAGGAGAGGAGGTGGGGAGAGGTGTTTGGGGCTGGGTGTGTGCTCATCCTTGCTCCTCGCCCTGCTTGTGTGTTCTCAGCTCCGTCAGGAGCTGGCAGAGGGCTCCAAGGTGTCCAAGCCCTCAGTCTGGGCTGAAATTACCACCTTCCCACTTCTAGTGTCCCTCCTGAAGGCAGAGCTCCCTTTGCCACGTTGTGTCACGCTTCCCATCAACGTTTTCAGCCCTGACCCCTGTCCAAGGTGCAGCTGCAAATCAGCCCTTGCAGGACCCACAGTTCAGAGCATCTCGTTCCCTGGTCCTGAACCGGCTTCCTCCCTCTGCTTCCTTCCAGCTGCTGACTCTCCTAGACTGAACAGGCAATGAACCTTGTATTAGAAAGGCTGAATGTGAGCTGCTGCACACTGTCAGTGCCTGCCTGAATTCCCTGGATCCAGGCAAAGCCTTTACAGGGCCTGAGGAGGGACTGAACCCCGAAGCATTGCAGTGAGCAGATTTTTCTACCTGCATCAGTGACACTAATGTGACATGCCCTGGTGGGGACAAGTGCCTTGGATTTAGTGCCTGCGTTGCATCTGAGTCCAGGGCATATATAACTGGATGATTCCCAGTCCACTTTGCTTGTGTTTACTGTGGGGAAGGGAGCAGGAAAGGTAGGAACACAATATGTTTTGTAATAGGCAGGGCCAGGCCCTCTGAAAGAAGGAAAAATTTGGGATATCCAGGCTTGAGGTGTAAGGGCAGTGTATATCTGCTGTAGCCTGTGAAAACAGCCCTGGCATCTGATTATTGATGCAAAAATGCTGCTAATTGTCTGGTAGTTTTAAAGCTTCTGCTTAGTGGGCTTCAGAGCCACGGAGGGGTTCCACAAAAGGGTCGGCTCAGCCAAATTTGGGGTCTCCACAAAGCTGTAAGGAAGGTGAAATGTGCGGTGAGCTCAGCTGCATCTCTGGATGCTGGCACGAGCTCCGTTAATGGCCTTACAGCTCAACAGCCTCTGTTGTTACTGCCAGCTCAGCTGTTTGTGTCCCTTGGCTGTGGAAGGGAAAGGAAGAGTCTGCAGGAACACAGGAGCACGTCGTCTTCCCAGCCCTGCTCCCAGGAGGGAAGTTGTGCCCGCCCCCACAGCTGGGCAGGGCTTTGCCTGTGCCCCCCCCAGGCTGCCCCAGTCTGCTCCTGCACGTTTCAGTTCTTTGGGGAATGCTGGACTGGAAAACGGGCTGTGAATCCTCTCAGAGGGGATTAAAAAGGAGAATTCTGATTTCTGGTGCAGGGGAGATGGAGATGCACTTGGAAGGAGTGATTGCTGCTTGTGACTCCACTGTGATCCCCTCCTTCCCCAGGGATCCATGCTGTTGCTCCATCCCTGGGTGAGTTCTGTGCTGTTGTGGGGCCACTGCTCTGGCTCCAGCACTGGGAATGGAGATCTGAAGCTGCTGGGCACAGCAGAGTAGCACTGCCAGCAGCCCCTGCCTGCCTAGGGCTGAGCCAGAGGAGGTCTGCAGGCAAAAACAGGGACCCCCAGTGCCCAGGAATGAGGGGAGGGCAGCACTTCTGTGGGAGATGCAACGATGTGCTCACAAAACAGGGCTTTGTAAGTGGCTTACTGGGATATCAACACGGGGATAGGGCACCCGTGGAGGTGATGGATTTAAGGATGACTGTGTGTCAGGCCTTAGGGCATGGCAATGCCTTGGAGTAGGGGATGTCCCCTCATCCACAGCAAAGCCTCGTCCCCAGACATCTGACCAGCTGCACAGGATGTTTCCTTGCAGTCTCCCAGCTCGCCTGCCAGACACAGAATCCCCATCCAGGCTGTCAACAAAAAGCCATTCTCCAGGGCCTTCCTGGGGAAAGGGCAGGCTCGGAACTCCTCCCTGGAGGATACTCTGCTCCCTGTTTATTGTTCAGCACACTTCTTTTCACTCCCAGCAAAATATGGGTTTTTTTGTGCGGAGAGAACAGGCCTGCCTTTGGGGGCAGGGATCATTTGCATTAATTAACAGAGCTGTTATGCATGGCCACGCTCTGTCGCATGGAAGCCAAACAAACGCCTCCTTTTTTTTCCCTTTCCCCCCCCCCCTTTTTTTTTTTTTTTGCCATAACCTCCGAGTTATTACAAGTCAGGCACCGCATCCGCTCCGGCCGACGCGTGACACGTGCGTTCCTTGCTGCTGTGCGCTCCACAAAAGTGGGCTTGTGTTTCCTTTCCCCCCTCTGGAGCTCTGGACACTGCTTCACTGTCTTCTGTGGTCCAGGCACTGTTCCCCATTAATTACATCTTAGCAGGCCTTCATTTCCTGGGAATGAAGTTCTAGCAAGGAAATAAGGAATATTTAGTGCTGCCAGTGGGGAGTTCAGTGCTGGGAGCAGCATGAGTAGCAGTGAGGTGTTCCTTTCTGTTCCTTTCCTTTTCCCCCACTGGTTATGTATTCTGATCCATTAAAGCAAAAGAGCTCTGATGGGAACAAGTTATTGTGGAGCAGAAGGGACGGTGGGAAGTGGGACTGAAGGGGCTGTACCCACTTCAAACCTTCGACCAGCCCCATGCCAGGGCTTCAGGAGGGGCTGGTGGGTAGGTGAGTCAGAGCTGGATTGCTGAGGCTGCAGTGTGGCTGCAGCCAAAACCCATCCAGCAGAGCTGGTTCAGGCTGCCTGTGGGACTGTCCCCTGGTTGTGGGGATGCTCATGGAGCCGAGTGGCAGTGGGGTGGCATCTCCCTCTGGCCCTGCTCCCTGCTTGGTGACATCAGAGACCAGATGACAGAGAGGGGGTGTAGGTCAGGGTGGCCCCTCAGAGTCCCAGTGACAGCAGGGAGGTGTGCCTGGAGAGGGGATGAGAATCATTGCAAGGAAAGATAATGTCACCCCTTGTCATCCTGCATTTGTACTTGCCCAGAGTCACGCAGTGACTCAGTGGCAGGGCTGGGAAGGGAGCCCAGCGCTTCCGACTCTTTGGAAACGCGTTTGATTCCTGCCGTGCCAGTGCGTCGGCCGCAGCCACCTTCAGCCTGCTGTGCCCTCTCTGTCCCTCCCCTGACCGCTGGAGCCCAGCTTTGTGCTCCTCTGGGGTGGCAAACCTCGTCCTCACAAGTCTCCCAGAGCACAGGAGGAGAAATCCCACCTTTTCCCAGCTCCTCTGCCCTGTCCTGTGTTGTCCCCGCGCTGCTGTGGAGCTGGGAGCTCCTGTCCCTCACTCCCAGCACCCTGGAGGGATGAGGCGAGTGCTTTAGAGCTGGAACACGACTTAAATACTGATGGGGATGAGTATGCTCAAGCAGTGTGTTACACAGAGAAACCAGCTCAAGCAGATGAGGAAAACCCGTGGGCTTGCAGCTAGGGATGGGAATAAAGGTGGGAATGTGGGAATAAATGTGCTCTCTGCCCTAAACCAGCTCTAGGAAAGGACCTCTGGAGCCCAGGCAGAGATGTTTATAACTATAAACCTCCTTTGTGAGGGCATCTCTTATGTCCACACATGAATTAAGAGAGAGAGGGTGTCCTGGGGATGCCGCAGCTTTCCCAGGGGTGTGGGAGAAGGGCAGTGACCTCACGGGCCCTTCTTTCCTGTCAAGGGCACCGTGGCATCCTACTCTCACAACTGGAAAGCATCAACAGGCATTGCCTTTGTTGTGTGCCCCTGAGCCTTCCCCGCTGCCAGCGAAATGAGGAATCTCGTATCACACAGGATGATGCAAATAGAAAAGGGCATCGCAGGCTCCTCTCCGCTCAGGAAACATGTTTATTCATCTTTTTTTTTTTCCTCCCCCAGACTCTAGTACGTGATACAACCGCTACTTAAAACAGGAATAGATGGCTGCATCCGTGGCTGAGCAGGCACAGAGCGGTGGGTTTCTATTTTTAGGCCCGGCACGGCGGGTGGAGGTGTGAGGGGAGGCTGAGGGGATTCTCTCGCCGCAGGGATGCGGGGGCAGGCGCACGCGTGCAGCACACGGCCTTATTTTTTATTCAAGCTGCCTTTTTTCTCCTGCTCCCTCCCCCTCCTTCCTCCCGCTGCTCAGTCATTCCCTCCTCACTCCCCCACCTTTCGGGTGATGCTGGCACGGAGACAGCCAAACGCCTTTGGAAACAGCGGGAGCAGCCTGGGTGGAAACTGTGTGGGGAGAAAATGTCTCAGCACAAATAAATGCCCTTGTTCCCTGATTAGGCAGTTTTTGGGTTTTTTTGTAGAATCATTGAATCACAGAATGGCCTGGGTTGGAAGGGACCTTAAAGATCAACGAGTTCCACCCCCCTGCCATGGGCAAGGACGCCTTCCACTAGCCCAGGTTGCTCTTAGCCCTGTCTAACCCGGCCTTGGACACTTCCACAGGGATGGGGCAGCCACAGCTTCTCTGGGCAAGCTGTGCCAGGGCGTCACCACCCTCACAAGGAAGAATTTCTCCCCAGTATCCCATCTAACCCTGCCCTCTGGCAGTTTGAAGCCATCCCCCCTTGTCCTGTCACTCCATGCTCTTGTAGAAGTCCCTCTCCCTCTTTCTTGTAGGTTCCCTTCAGGTACTGGATGGCCACAATTCAGTCACCCCAAAGCCTTCTCTTTTCTCTCCTTCCTTGCTGAAACTCTAACACAGGCAGCGACAAGGGGATCCCTGGAGCTCCAACGCCCTCACAGGGAAGAATTTTTTCCTAATCTCAAACCTGAATTTTCTTCTTTCAGTTTGAACCCAGGTGAGCAGGACAACATTTCCCTGGCAGGGGCTGGTTCGAGCTGTTCTTGCACAGGGTCTTCGAGCAGTGCTGGGGGTTGCTTGGGGCTAGAGCTGTTCCTGCCTGGCTAATACTTTGTTTTTCCCCCCATGCCAGAGCCGGTGAGAAGGGGAAAACCCCCCCAGCTCCCTCCTGCAGCCATGGAAGGGGGTGTGCAGCTCCTCAACCGCGACGGGCACAGCATCTCCCACAACTCCAAGCGCCACTACCACGATGCCTTCGTGTGCATGAACCGCATGAGGCAGCGGGGGCTGCTCTGCGACATCGTGCTCCATGTGGGCACCAAGGAGATCAAGGCCCACAAGGTGGTGCTGGCGTCGTGCAGCCCGTACTTCCACGCCATGTTCACAAGCAAGTAGAGTCCCCTCTTCGCCGTGGTCGGGCTCTCCCCGCCCTCCAAACCCTCTGCTCTCTGCCAACCCCTTCGCTTTCTGCCCTGCTCCCTGTTCTCACTGCCCTGCCCTATGGAATTGCAGTGCCACTGTGTCTCATTTCAGTGAGGAAGTGCAGTAATATTCCTCTTTTGACTCCCTGCCCTGAATGCCTGTGCCCATAACCCCTGCACAGGTGTCTTGATGCCCCTCCTGCAGAGCTGGACCCTCTTCCCTAGAGCACACAGCTGCTCCTCCTTGCTAAGAGAGGGGCAGAAGACCTTCCTGGGCTGCTCTGTGGAGGCTTGGTTAGACCCTCCTGTGGGGAAACAAGTCCTGCAGAGGGATTTTTGCTCATTGCTGTGTCTGTGTTGCCCCAGATGAGATGAGTGAGAGCCGCCAGACGCACGTGACGCTGCACGACATCGACCCCCAGGCCCTGGAGCAGCTGGTGCAATACGCCTACACGGCTGAGATCGTGGTGGGAGAGGGGAACGTGCAGGTAGGAGCTTCCCCCCCCAAATCCCTCCCTTCCACAAAGCTGTTCTGTACGAGACTCGCCTCCTGGGGACCCTTCTCTCCTTCTGCTCAGCACTGCCAGCTGTTTTCTCCATGAAGGCAGCTGGATCTAGCAGTGGTCAGGGAGTTCACCTGCTTCCCCGTGCCCAGAGGTGCTGGGAACGGCTCCTCAAAGCACTGTGCAATGCCCAGGTCTATTCCTGAGCACCTGCCATTCTCCTGGCCCTGTGGGGTGTTAGGGGTGTCCTTCTCAGCTGTTCTTTACCTTAGTTCTCTTGGAAACAAGGAATGCTCTCTCCTTCCCTGCGCTTGTGTGCCTGAAGGCGCTCAGTAAACCTTGTTCTGCTCGTGGCTTGCAGTGAGACGAGGGTGAAAATGGTTTCCTTGCCCTGGAAACTCTCTTTTCCCCCCTTCTTTCCCACTGCCAGACACTTCTTCCTGCTGCCAGCCTGCTTCAGCTCAATGGTGTGCGGGATGCTTGCTGCAAGTTCCTGCTCAGCCAGCTCGACCCATCCAACTGCCTGGGGATCCGGGGCTTTGCTGACACCCACTCCTGCAGTGACCTCCTCAAGTCTGCTCACAAGTACGTCCTCCAACACTTCGTGGAGGTGTCCAAGACAGAGGAGTTCATGCTGCTGCCTCTTAAACAGGTGAGGCCCCTGATGGGAGTGTGAAGGTGTGGGTGCAGCAAAGCTTCTCGTGCTCTGTCCTGGAAGGCGCAGTCTGTGCGTCAAAAGCCCAAGGAACCTGCACTGAGGGGACAGGGTTTGGCACGGGAACACACCCAGGTTCTGTGCTTTGGTCCTCTCTGTTCAGTGGAGATATATGTGCTTTGGTTCTCTCTGTTCAATATGTGGGAAGATTTCTGTCAGAGAACTTAATCCCATGGGAATTAAGGATGGGAGGGTAGGACGGAGGATAATTTTGGTCACTGGTGCTTGCCACGTGAGCTCTGAGCACACAGTCCAAGGAATAAGTCCTGCCTGCCCTGGTCACGTAGCTGTGATGTTTAATTCAGAGCTCAGCTAATGTTTCCTGCTGTTCATCATGTGTCAGGATGGCCCCTGGCTCCTCTGCTGTGCCCTGGCCAGGAGGCACCCCCGGTCCTTGCTCTGCATCACCTGACCCTGTGTGGCCCCTCAGCAGGATCCAGACACCTCCTTTCACCCCTTCTTGGGGCAGGGGGTGCGTGGCAGCGAGGGCAGGTGCATATCTCCACCTGCTCTGGCTCCACAGTCCTTGCAATGAGTGCTCTGGGACCAGCCAGGGCACTCAGGTCTGTCCCATGAAATATTGAAGGGGCCTGTGCAGGCAGAGTCGTCTGCCTGATCTCGCTGACATTGATTGGAAGTGTCAGGAATTGCAGCAGCTTCTGCCACAGAAGGGGGGGATGAGCTGGGGGGGATGACTGAGGGCAGAGCTGTCTCCACACCAGCTGCACCTGCTGGTTTGAGGGACCCAGGGCTGTGCACCCTTGAGCCACCAGTGTGTACAGGAGGCAGGGCTCTGCCTCTGGCAATGCTGTTCCACTGGGCTGGTTCCTTGGAATGTGTGAATGTCTCCTCTCCTCCCAGTCCATACCAACCAACACTGCCCCTTCCACCCTGCTCTGCAGGTGCTGGACCTCATTTCTAGTGACAGCCTCAATGTGCCATCGGAGGAGGAGGTGTACCGGGCTGTGCTCAGCTGGGTCAAACATGATGTGGACAGCAGGAGACAGCACGTCCCCAGGGTGAGTGTGCTGGGGAGGTGGCCTGGATCTACCCACCAGCTCTGAGTGTGCCTGGGCTGGGTGGGGACACGGCTGGAGGGACGTCAGATCACATCATACCATTTCCAGTCCAGATTGGAAGGCACCTTAAAGGTCCTCTCATTCCACCTCTCTGCCATGGGCAGGGACACCTTCCACTCTCCCAGGTTGCTGCAACCTGGCCTTGGACACTCCCAGGGATGGGGGAGCCACAGCTTTTCTAGGCAACCTGTGCCAGGGCCTCACCACCCTCACAGTGAAGAATATCCCACCTAAATCTCTCCTCTTCTAGCTTAAACCTGTCCCCCCCTTGCCCTATCCCCATCCAAAGGCCTCCTCTCCCCTCGCAGCTCATGAAGTGCGTCCGGCTGCCCCTGCTGAGCCGGGACTTCCTCATGAGCAACGTGGACACGGAGCTGCTGGTGCGGCACCACTCGGAGTGCAAGGACCTGCTGATCGAAGCCCTCAAGTACCACCTCATGCCGGAGCAGAGGGGGGTGCTGAGCAACAGCCGGACGAGGCCGCGGCGCTGCGAGGGGGCCAGCACGGTGCTCTTCGCCGTGGGTAAGGGAGCCCCCTCGCCCGCATCCCCGACCCCATCCCGGGGCCCCACGGGCCGGGTTTGCTCTGTTTGCCCTCCCTCCCAGGTGGAGGGAGCCTGTTTGCCATCCACGGGGACTGCGAGGCCTACGACACGCGGACGGACCGGTGGCACATGGTGGCCTCCATGTCGACGCGCAGGGCCAGGGTGGGCGTCGCGGCCATCGGGAACAAGCTCTACGCTGTGGGCGGGTAAGGAGGGCACGGGAGGTGGCGGGGGCGTGAGCAGAGCCCGCGGGGAGAGCAGCACAGAGCTGCCCCGGGAGCAGGGACAGCCAGCAGAGCCTCCCCAGAGCTCACCTCTGGATGCACCATCCAGGATCGCTGGGGTAGCAACCCCTTCCCCGCCCTGTGGTTCGGAGCTGCGAGTTCACCAGCTCTTGGTTTGGTGGTGGTCGTGTCCTGGGCTAGCACAGTCCCCCATCCTACCCCATTTCTCTCAGAATCACAGAGTGCTTTGGGTTGGAAGGAACTTTTAAGATCTCATTCCAACCCCCTGCCACAGGCAGGGACACCTTCCACTAGCCCAGGTTGCTCCAAGCCCCGTCCAACCTGGCCTTGAACACTTTCACAGGGATGGGGCAGCCCCAGCTTCTCTGAGCAGCTGCTTCTCTCTTTTTCTCCCAACAGCTACGATGGGACCTCTGACTTGGCTACAGTGGAGTCCTATGATCCTGTCACCAATTCCTGGCAACCTGAGGTGTCCATGGGCACCAGGAGGAGCTGCCTGGGTGTAGCAGCACTTCATGGGCTTCTCTATGCTGCTGGGGGGTACGATGGGGCCTCGTGCCTGAACAGGTAGGGGATTGCCTTGCTACAGGCCCCTCCACAGCTCGTGCATGCAATGTCCGTGGTACTGGGAGCCTGGGAGCCCTGCTCCTCACCCATGGACTGACCCCAGGGTAGATGTGTTGCAATCCAACAGGGAAAAACTGTTGGGTAGCCCTCTGCCACAACAGAACACAGCCTTTGTCAGTTCTTCCCTCCTATTTTCCCTGCCTATTCCCGAGCTTCCTTGGGAGCTGCCCCTGAGGGCCTGTGTCAAAGAGCTTTGACCTGGGCTTTTCCAGTGTCACACCTTATGTTCCTGTGTCCCTGCCTGCTGCAGCGCAGAGAGGTACGACCCTCTGACAGGCACCTGGACATCCATCGCTGCCATGAGCACCAGGAGACGCTACGTCCGGGTGGCAACTCTAGGTGGGTGATGGCACGAGGGCCTCACGGACTTCTGTGCGGCCTCTCTTGCATTCCTGGTGGTTCCTTTTGACGTTCTGTCCTAGTTCCTGCCCCTTCTCCCGAGATTCCCTTAGCTGTGAGTCCCTCTGCCATGTGCTGACACGCTGCCTGCCTCTGCCCTCCTCCTCAGTGTCCTGAGGAACTGGGTTTCATCACGCTCTGTAGTCAACTCCTGAGGGGCCCCACAACTTGTCCCTTTGTGCCCCTTCAACTCTGGAGCAAGGGGCTAGCTCCCCTGTCCCTAGAAAAGGAAGGGACAACCTTACTAGTCCTTCAGTATGAAAGCAGGACAGTCCTTTTGCTGATGAGCCAAGTCCCGCTCTCACCCAAGCAGGTGCTGGACCTCCCTGGGGATGCTCCCCGCCTTCCCAAGAACTGCCACACGGTGTCCCAGTGTCCCTGTGCCTCTCCCCTGGCCTGTTCTCTGGTTTCAGCTCTCAGTGCTGACTCAGAGCTTCCCTCCCCTCCATCCCCAGCTCGCGCTGTGCCTGCCACAGCCAATACTGGCATTCCCCTGCTCCAGCCTCCACTGCTAAAAATAACCCGTCGCTCCAGCAGGGAGCACTTGCAGCTCCTGTGATGAGGAGGTCAAGAAGCAGCAGGCAGAGGAGTTCTCTGGGAAGCTTGGAGCGTGGCAGAGAAACTGCCTGATGAATATTTCACAACACTCAGTGCTGGAAGGGGAGGGGAGCCGGGGGAGCCCTGCTGAGAGGAGCTTGGCTGCCTGGGGCACGGGAGGCTCAGCTCATACCTGTGTGGGCACCTAAAGGGTGGTACCTGGAGTGCTGTGGGACCTGTGTTGGGACAGGGACCATGTCTTTAGCTAATTCCAGTGCCTGTGTGACTGTCTTTGCAGAAGGCAACCTCTATGCTGTTGGGGGATACGACAGCTCATCCCACTTAGCCACGGTAGAGAAATATGAGCCCCAGGTAAATACAAGGGAGATTTTGATAAATTTTTCCTTCTCCCCTCCTCTGGGGTGCCTGAAAGGGCTTCAGCCACTGTGCATGACTGTAACAAGGAGTGGGTATCAGCCCCTTCCCGAGATTTTCCACAGGGACAGAGAATCCAGGGCGCAATCCCGAGCACAATGAGCCAAAGTTGATCCATGCAGGCTCTGAGATACCACTGCGAGATTTCAGCCACCAGAACACTCTCTACCCTGTTGCCTGTAGGCCAGCTCGAGTTCTGTAGGAAGAACAGTGCTGGTACATGCTCTGAGCTGTTTCCAGCTTCCAGCTGAGGTCCTGCACTGTGCAGATCCAGTGTGGTGAACGGGGAGTGTGGCAGGCTGGGGACATGTGTTGGGCCTGGGGACTCACAGCTCTGCTTGAGCAGGGGAGATTGCTGCAAAAAGATCAAAGGGAAGTTTTTTCATGAGCTGTACAGTTGTACAGATCTGAAATAGATACAGCTCAACCCCCATGACCGGGCTGGGATTCAGCTGTGACACGACTGGTGGCCTGGCACAGGGATCTCTGTGCCCCTGGGATGGCAGGGCTCCTGCCAGCTTCCACAGCGCTTTCTGAGCCACTCAGCAGAGTGGAAGGGAAAGAAGTGGATTCCCTCCAGAAATCCTTTTTGGGGGAGGACCGTTATGCCAGGAGCTGTGTGGTTAGAGCAGGACCAACAACACAGGGCTGATTTGGCCAGGGATAGGTGAAAAATTATTGTTCTCCTGGCTGGTTTGAACAAACATCGCCTGTTCCCAGATCAACACCTGGACACCCATCGCCAACATGCTGAGCCGCCGGAGCAGCGCGGGGGTGGCCGTGCTGGAGGGGATGCTCTACGTGGCTGGGGGCAACGATGGGACCAGCTGCCTTAACTCTGTGGAGCGCTACAACCCCAAAACCAACACGTGGGAGAGCGTGGCACCCATGAACATCCGCAGGTAAGGAGCTGTGCCCCGCCCTGGCGGCAGCAGGAGCGGGGATCCCATCTCGCCGTGCCTCGCTTGGCGCTGCAAACCATGAAACTCCCAGGGTTTGGCTGATGCTTGTGACTGGCTGCACACAGGCAGCCACGCTCCTGCTGCGCTGAGAGGGGCTGGAGTGCGGGCCAGGAGGGCAGAGCAGGGGTGTTCTGCAGAGGGTTTTATTCCCAGCGGTTTGTGTGGCTGTGAAGGTTGTTCCGCTGGCTGAGCCCATGGAGATGTTGCTGGGGCTGTGGGAGAATTTAAGGCTTGCAAATCTGAGGATTTTGGGCTCCTAGAGTTTGTCGTTTAGAGGTGGCGCTTCTCCAGTGGCATGAGAGTGGCAGAGTGAAGGGGCAGACCTGAGAATCTGTGCTGCACTCTGCTTGAACTCCACTAGTTCATTTCCTCTGGGCGACTGTGGGGCCGGGCACTCCTTCTGTGGGGCCGCTTTACCTGAGGCACTGAGCTCCCCTTGCACCCCAGAGCCTCACCCCGCTGTGGTGTCTGCGTGGTCCTTGCAGGAGCACCCACGACCTGGTGGCCATGGACGGGTGGCTGTACGCCGTGGGTGGCAACGACGGCAGCTCCAGCCTCAACTCCATCGAGAAGTACAACCCCCGCACCAACAAGTGGGTGGCAGCGTCCTGCATGTTCACCCGCCGCAGCAGCGTGGGGGTGGCTGTGCTGGAACTCCTCAACTTCCCTCCCCCCTCCTCGCCCACCCTCTCGGTGTCTTCGACGAGCCTTTGACAAAGAGTCAGGACGTACCTTACCTCGAGGGGACGACGGGGGTGCCTGGCAGGGCTCTAGGCCGGCCCCGAGGGGCAGCCGGTCGCTGTAGGAGGGGAGCGAAGGTCCTGGTTGGTGCCTGCAGCCCCAGCACTCCTGCGAACCCCGGAGCTGTCCCCGCTCTTGGTGCACACATCGGACCAGCACCACCACAGCAGTTAGAAACGTGCTTCCTGGACGGGCACCCTCGGTCGGAGGGCGAGGAGCCGGGTGCTCTCCGCTCCGCTCAGACTCATCCCACCGCTCGCCCCAGAGGGCTCAACGTCTCCTTTGGGGAGAGGAAAACTGTAAACCATTGCTGCTTCTTGGATTCACGGGATCCAGCCGGTGCCACACACGATCACAGCCGGCCTTGGAGGCTTCCAGGAGCCCTGTGGGGTGGCCGGGGTGGGCAGCGCTCCTGCCGAGGACACGGCGAACGTGCAACCACCGCTCCTCTGAATGTCACTGTAGCCAAACTCTCTACCAAGCCTATCGTGCACTGTTAAAGACTCTGAGGCCGCTGTATGGTTCTCAATGGTGTCTCATTGATGCCTTAAAAATACACAAGCAGAAGAAGCCCAGCTGAGGGACAGGGCCTGGAGGAGGTGAGGTTTGGAGGCAAATCTGGACGTAGCGCCCTGAACCCTCCAGTGTTTCCATGCTCTGCTGGCCCCCACCTCATCCCCCAAGATCCCAGCCAGCCATTGCTCTGGGGAGTCCCAAGGCAGGCAGATGGGTTGGGTGACCTTGTTGGTGGCATCCATGCCATCAAAGGACTGGGTGGCTGCCTGCTGTCTGCATGTGGTCCTGGCTCAAACTGGGAACAGATTGACCTGTTTGCTGTTCCCCTCTCTGCAAAGCAGATTCTGGGTTTATGGAGAGGTATCAGTTCTTTGAGAAGAACAGTCCAGCCTTCTAAATGAGGAGGATTGCCTGGCATTACTTCTTTTGGATATTATTTTTTTTGCCCTTTTTTTATTTGAATGCTAATATTTTAATTTTTAATGACTTCATATCCCTTTGTTTTCTACGCTACCCTGGTATTCCCCATCCCATCTGCTTCTAAGGCAGCAGAAGGGATGCAATTACTTTTCTCATTTGTTGAGGAGATGATGCCTGTGTCCTGGAAGATGTTCTCTCTGGATGTGTGGGGTGTGTGCATGTGTGAGATACCAAATGTGCAGCGAAAGCAGCACGGAAGAGACCATTTGCAATTAGCGACTCCCTGGCAATTAAGCAACCACTTTAATTAACTGAAGGTTGAATAAATTAGTACTGCAAGTCACAGGCCTATCCTAGACCTACCTGTGCCGTGGAGCCTCTGGGGTGGTGTTTTCAGTGCGTGTGCTGTGCGTGTGAGCCGTGGACTGAGGCACAGATCAGGTGTTCTCCACATTACAGAGGAATAACTCAACCACTGGTACCTCAATAGTGTTCAAATGTAGCGTTGGGAAAACGGTCTAACTGTTTGGAACTAATCCCTTTATCCCTTTTCCCCCCTGCTCCTTCTCGTTTCTCATTCACAGGGCTCAGATTTCACTCGTGGTGGGGATTTGTTGGCCTGAATTTTCAAGTGGCGAGAGATTTCTTCTTTTTTGGGGGGGAGAGGGGTGTGTAAAAGGAGAGTTTGAGATGAAACAGGGACTCCCCAGCTTAAGACAATTTTTTTGGCGATCTGACTTCTCCTGGACAGATGCCTGCATGTTTTATGAGCCCACTGACATGCTTTACAAGCCCACTCACAGTGCCTCACGTTGGGCACCTGAAATTACCAGCAGCTTCTGAAAACCTGAGCTGCTTCCCTCCCCACCCAGTCCCCAGGGACAGCCTGGTCTTCTTAGGCTGAGGAGGCCTTTTTGGCTTTTAGAACAGAACTCTAAATTTGCTTTTTGTCCCCCTCTCACTTGCCCAGCCTGCCACAGCTCAGCAGCTCTCCTGTTCCTCTGTAGTGCAGAGGGGTCTGTGAATGTCCAGGCTCTGTGCAGGTTGTCTCTTGGTCAGTGTGGGCTGCCCTAAGAAGGTCAGATGAATCTGCTTTGTTCAAAGTCTGCTCTGTTTAGTGCATGTGCCTAAACCTGAGTGAGGTTCAACCCTTCCCATCCCATTCCTAGAACCAACATCAGGATTTTACTCTTCTGCTGGGCTCGTATCGACTCAAGGTGCCCCTGGCTCCAGGGTCCTCTTGGAAGGAGGATCAGCCCAAAGGCCCCATGGCTGTGCCAGAGGTGGAAGGTGCTGGTGCTGGGCTTAGCCTGACATTCCAAGATCCTGCTGAGAACTCAGCAGGAGTCAGGAATGGCAAAAGGAGAGCGAAGCCCAGCCAGGCTGCTGGAGGGAGCATGGCACGGCAAAGAGGGGCACTGCAGGGCCAGGGAGGAACTGCTGGAGGGGAAACAGGGCTGGTTTCAAACAAGGAATGAGTTGTTATAGCAGTGGTTCAGCATCTGGTCCAGCTGTGGCTGCTGTAGCGTGAAGGGGGGCTGCTGCCTTGGGAGCAAACCCAGAGGGAAGCGAGAAATGTAGCAGCTGGGGGGAATTTCTGTGCCATGTGCCCTTGGCCTCCTTACACTGAAAATGGTGTGTGATGCTGCCCTGCCTCCCGAGGGTCAGGGAAAGGGGCAGTGTGACTCCTGGCCCCTTCTTGGTTGGGCCCTGAGCAATATCCCACTGAGCCCGTCCAGCAGAACCCCGGGGAGGAGGGAGCCTTTTTGGTGTCTCTGATGTACTAACTATGCAGGTGCTCACTGTGCAAGAGAGAGAAGGGAGGAAAGGGCAAAACAGTTCCCCAGCAGCCTGTGGGGGTCCAGAGCACCCCGACCCACACTGTGTGGACACGAGGTGTCAGCATCTGCCCTGGGGGATGCCAGGGTGGAATCGCTTCTGGTGCTGCACGTCCCTTGCTGAGGAAGAGGAGGAGGAAGAGGAGGAGGAGGAGGAGGAGGAGACCTCAGAGGGGGCGTGTGTCTGTGTCTGTCTGTCTGTGCGTAGTACCCTGTCTGAGGGGAGGAGAACCCGTCAACTCCTGTGTGTGGCTTCTCTGCCAGTCTTAGTTCGTGGTGTCTCACCCAAAACGTTTATCTGTGTGATGTCCCATGTGAGCTTTTCCCAGCGGAGGGGCATCCCCGAGGAGGGGGGCTCCAGTTCTGCCCAGGGACCCCAGTGTTGGTCTGCAGTGAGGCAGCAAAGCCAGGCAGGACCCCCTGCCCTGACGAGGGTGCAGAGGTTCCCTTGGTCCTACTGCTGCTGGGCAGACCTGGTCCAATCCATGTCAAACCGTCGTCACTTTGATTTCTCTGTAAGTTATCCGACTTATTTATGTGGAACTCTGTTTCTCGGAATTTTTTGCACTACATGGGATTGGGGAGGGGATACAAGCAATAGAAGCCAACATGTACAATAAAGACATTTTCTTGAATACTGGATCCTGCCTCTTGCATCCTTCCTTCCTTCTCACTTCTCTGGCTCACTCTCTGCATTGCCCTGGGCAGAGGAGGGGAAGGATCCCCAGGCAAGGATGCTCATGGAAGGCCGATGGTGCTGGATGCCTGGGCAGGGGGGGCTGCTCTGCTGTGGACAAGGGGCTTCATATTCCCAGAGAGGATGTTTTGTGCTGGGAGCGTCCACCACTCTGCCCACATTCCCTCTAACGCAGAGAAAGAGCAGGGCAAAGATGCTGCTGGTGGTGGAGACCACTGGGAAAAACCCAACTCAATGCATAGAGGCTTCAGAGGGCAGGCTGATTTACACCTCTCCCTGCCCATTAAATTCCAGTTTGGTCTCCCTAGGACTCCCAGTGCTGTTGACAGCTTTTCCTGCAGTGGAAATGAAAACCAGATGAGAAACATCCTCCTGCACCCCCAGCTGCCACACGCAGCTCGCCCAGGGGCTGGACGGCCCCATTCTGCTTCCCAACTGCTGCCAGTCCCTGCTTCCCAGGGGGGAATGTCGAGCCCATTTCACGGTGTGGGGAGTGCAGGGGGTGAAAAGAGCAATGAGAACTGCCTGGCAGCATCCCATGGGGCCCAGGAGGGAACTTTCCCATGCGTGTGTGCCGCGGTTCAGCCACGATGCCGCGCGGTCGGAATGCCTGGCCCTGCCCGTGTCCCCTTTCCTGCTGCTCTCTAGGCTCCTGCTTCTGTCTGGGGCTTCTATAAATAACTGCCGTGCTCCACAAGTCTTCCTGAAGTCTGGAGGCTGCTTCCCTCCAGTTCAGGTTCTCCTGGAAGCAGAGCCAGTGTGCCCTCGAGCTGGTGCGCCCAGCACGCAGAGAGGGGACTGTGCTCAGCCACTGGGCACACCTGGCCCTGCCATCTGTGGTGGTGCCACTGGTGTCCCAGCGAGCGAAGTGATGTGTATTTGCAGGACCTGCAGTGGTTCTGTCACCATTCTGAGCTGTAAGGTTTTTATTTAGAACAAACATGCTGGAGGAACGGCACGTTTCTGGTCACAGTCTGACCGTGTTAGCCACGGATCTTAAGAGGAATCACACTTTTCCTGAATAAAACACAGTTGGTGCTGTTTGCTGTAATTTCTGATCTCTGCCAGGAGGTGCTGTGCTGTCAGATAGTCGTTTCCCAGCTGTGCACAGAGAACAGAGCTCACAGAAGCACCCTGCCATAAAAATTAGGGAATTTCTGACCGGGGCCCTCTGGAGGGGTGTCCTGTTGCTTTGCTTGGCCAGGAAGGGTTAATGGATTATATGACAGAAAGGGGAGGGGAACAAAGAGCCTGTTTTTAAAGGTCAAAGATGGGGAAGGCTTGGAGAAATTTTATGGCATATCCGTTATCAGCTGCTCTCTCTGTGCAATCACCTCTTTTGGGGAATATGTTGATTTTGTTTCTGCAAGGTAAGATGCAAATAGAGTCTAACACACCCAATATGTCCATAAGACCTCACATAGCCAATCCCAGTTTGATTCAAACAGATTGTCTAGGAAAACATCCTCTCCTGGTTTTAAAAATCCCCTCTTGCAGAAATCACCTGGGACTCACCAGGTGCTCTGGGAGTTGTGGTGGTAAAAAATAACTTTTCCTGTTAAAATGCACGCCGTGTTTCCAGCTTCAGCTCGTCCACCTTCACTTTCTCTGCACCCCTCCTGGTTCTGTGCCCCAGCTGTGTGTCCCAGGTGTGTTCCCCAGGCTGGTGCTTCCAGCATCACCACATCCCTGCAGCCTCTCCGCTGCAAGATGGAGCTGCTGGACTGTCCCTGGGAATGGGGAGGAGGCAAAACCTGCTCCCTGCCCTCCTCCCAGAGGACAGGCCATGCTCACAGTCACTGTTGTCTCTCCCTGGCTGGCCAAGCCTATAACAGATTTATGGATTTACAGCCTTTGTAGTGCTTCAGAGCCTTCCTAAAGTAACGTGTAGATATGTCACATCACGTGTTTTATGGTAATTGCTTGGGTCACTGTTATTCATATTAACTAAATCTGATCCATTTTTCGAATGTGCCATCAATCAAATTGGTTTGACAAGATCTAATTTCCACAACCCCGTGTTGATTTGTATTAATTACATTCTCCTCCTGTAATCCTTAAAGTTAATCCAACTCCCTCACAGCTGTTACATCATTTTCCCAGGAATCAGCGTCAACTGACAAACCTGTAATTAACTGGGGTGGTTGTTTTACCCATGGAAATACTGATATCCCTGTTAACTTATGCAATTTCTTTGCAAATTCCGTGGGGCTGCAAGACTTCCTGCAACCCAGAACCTTTCTGTTCAGGTCTTTTAAACTCTTTGATGTGAATTCTCTGGATTTTCTGATCCAGAGCATCTCAGTTTTGTGTTTACTTTTTCACAGCCACCTGACCACGGAATGAAAAAGGGGTTTGTCGTTCCCTATGGCTGTAACTGCCTGGTTTTTTTCAATCCATTGCACAGAAATATTTACCTTTTGTTTTGTTCATTAACTACTCATTATTATTATTTATATTTCCACGCAGTAAGGGAATCATACCATAAATTTTTTGTTTACCTCCTTTTAAAGCGTTTCTTCTACAAATTTTACCTTTGTTGATCGTGCATCTCCTTTCGCTCTTCGCTTCCTCTATCAAATCTCCATAATTCCTAGATTTCAGTTAGATTTCCCCTATTTATTTCCTATATTTTCACACAGCTTATTTATTTTTACACCTTGTTTCCCGTGTTTTCACACAGCTTATTTATTTCCACACCTTTAACCCGGCTGCTTCTTTTTAACGGACGCCCATTCCGAGCGCAGCCTTTTGAACCCTTGAGCACCCCACCTTAAAGGTTTTTGTTAATGCTTAAACAACAACCGCCAATATTATCTTATTTTCCCCCGTCCAGGCTTGAAGGGTGATCGGATTCCCTCCGGGAAAACGCTCCGGATGGGTTTATTAGTGGCTGCAGCTCCGTGCTGTCGGACAATAAGGAATGTTCCTGCGCTGCACCGCTGGGTTTATAATTCCGTGGTTAATTCCCCGTCACAGGGAACATGTACCTGGCTCGCCCCTCCCAGCGAGCGGGGCGGGAGCAGGAGTGGGAGCCCCGGCCAGGGAGCTCAGCCTGGCTCAGCCCACACCCACTCGAGTCAGGGCGGGCGGAAGGGAAGGGAGGGAACGCCGGCGTGACACGATCCCACAGACAGAGCGACTTCCAGCTCCCCACGGCTCCGGGCGCTTCCCGGCGCTTCCCGGCATGGGGAACATCGCGTGTGTCCCGCAGGCACCTGGGGGCTTCAGGAGCTCCTTCCGAAGGAAGCCTTCGCTGAAGAAAGCGTGAGTACCCTCGTTGCTTGTTTCGGGATGGTTCTCCCGTGGGGCTGGCTTTGCCCCGTGGGATGCACCGTGCGGATCCGGGCTGGCAGCTGAGCCCCTGCTCGGGGAACCCGGCGGTTCCTTCTTCATATTTTCATATTTCACGCTCGGTGTTTCATGGTTTTGTGGGGTGCTGGGCAGCGCCGGACGGGATCAGCTCGCCCCAAGCGCCTGGGATGGAATCCTCTGCCGGCAGGGAATCCCAGCTTCCCAGGGGAAACAGCAGCCCCCAAGGGAAACAGCAATTATTTAATTTTGTTTTGATAGTCGAACTCCTCTCTGCGGGACAGGCAGGGCAAGGTGCAGAACACCTGATACTCCTTGTTTTCGCTGGTGGTTTTCTTTCTTCACAACGCCCCGAGTCGCGGTGCTTGTTGGGGAAAAAAAAACTTTCACGCTCTCTTAAAAAGAAAACCCCAAATCCCAGCGCTCTGACACGTGATTTGAGCTGTGTTTGTAAACCTGAAGGAGGAATAACAGAAAATGTCTGTGAGACCCTTTGGGGATTTGGGTTGGCCAGGGCAGCGCTCAGGTACCAGAGCCATGGGTGGTTGTCCCAAAAATAGAGCTTTCCAGGGAATGCACAGCAGGCTTCCCTGCTTTTCCACTGCCTGTGCTCTCATCAGTGCAGTCTGCCAGTACCAACACATGCACAGAGCAGATCCCTCCCCATCCCGAGCACTCTGGGCTGGAAAGGGGCTCTCTTGGGAACCAGGGTGATTCCCTGTGAAGCTGCCAGCCCTGTCTACACTGTGTCTGTGCCGGGCTGTGAGCCAGACCCCCTAAACTCTGCAGGCTGAGGGGTTTCTAATCAAGAGGAGACACTAAACTGTCCCCTTGGTCTCCTGTGCTGCCATAAGTCAGGAGCAAACCTGTAGGAGTCTGTGGAGCTCCTGTGGGTTGAAAAAGATCACTTGGGGAATTTGGGCCCTGGAGGGCTGACATCCCACCTGCGGTGGAGCAGCCAAGCCCCAGAGCACCCCCTGTCCCTGCTGGCTCCCGGCTTCCCACACTCAGGGCTCTCCGAGGAGATAAGCCTGGTTTCTGCTGAAACAAATGCTGCAATCTGAGAGTCCCATCAAGTGCTGGGAAGCCCCAGCAAAGCGGTCCCAGTGCTGCTCAACAGCACCAGTAACGGCGTGTTAATGGTGTGTGCACGCAAAGGAGAACCGGGGCCCTGGCTGGGAGTGGAAGGAAAGAGAGAGGAAAACCACAGAGGCAGAAATAAAAACCTCCTTGTGAATATCCGTTGGTGTATCTGTGCATGTGCATCCCCACTCCAGGGGTTCTGGAATAGCTGTCAGGGCTGGATTTGGTCTTCGTGTTTTGCAGGGGAACATCTGGTCCCTCTGCTGATTCAGAGACACAGATGAGCCAAACTGATCGTTTGGTTCTGCAAAGACCTGTGAAAAAACACAAAGAAGCAGCAACAAGTGCAGCACAGCCCCCCATTTCAATTCTCCCAGGCTGTTTATCAGCCCTTTGCTGAGCTGGGATGATTAGAAAGCCCATGACAAATTGCTTGCTTAGTTTTTCTGGCTTCCTCATTTCTGGGCAGAATTCTCTGTGCTTCAGCCTGTGTTTCCACGTGTGTTTTGATTTGGGTTTTTTTTTCCCCCTCCCTTTTATAGACAAAACGGCAAGAAAAAACTGCCCAGCTTTTTTGGTCTAGAAGGAGGGCAGGAGAGAGACACGACCACAGACAAAATCCTGCAGTATATTCCAGCAAAGGCAAGTACAAACACATCCAAGCCCCTTCCCTGCTGCTCCAAGAGTTTATTCCCACCCAGCCCAAGGACAGCACTTAAGAAGGACGATGGGTCTGGATCTGGGGGCAGCAGCAGGTCTGCCTCAAAGGGCTGGAGCCCAGGAAAGGATGAGCCCTGTGCTCACACAGCAGCAGAATTACCTGCCCCAGGGCCCCCAGGAAGGTGTGGGGGGCACCTGCCACCAGCCAGAAGGTGTGATGGGGTGGGAGGGTCGTGCTGGGAGCCGAGCAGGGGTATCTCACACCCCACTTGGCTCTTGGTTCTGCTCTTTCTGGGCTGCCTTGTGAGGGAAGGGAAAATCCGAGCGAGCATTCGGAGGTGGAATGATTCATTCCCACGCCGGGATGAGATGGAGTAGGCAGTGTGTCAGCAAGGAGCCCTGGGAAGGCAATCAGGAAGGGCAGGTCTGTCTCAGGCACGTACCAGCCTTGTGGCCATATGGCCCATTTCCCAGCACTGCTCAGGGAAAGCAGGGGTGAAGTGATGAACCCTGGTGTGTTTTCTCGGTCCCTCTGGGCTGGGACAGGGATGTGGACGGAATTTTGGGATCCTTTAGGGCTGTGCTGAGCAGGAATCTCTCCTGCTGCATGGCAAATAGGCTGTGTGGATGTGGGGAAGGGGAAACTGAGGCAGGGACTCAATACCAGGCAGAGGGAATTTCAGGGAAGGCATGGCTCCCTGTGGGAAGCAGTTAGCATCCAGAAGGGTCAGGGAGCAGAGCCCAGGGCCCAGATGGATCCTGGATGCTTCCCCTGGGGAAGCAGGATGAGCTGTCGTGTTAGCAGGTCCTGGACAAGGAATCCTGCAAGAGGACACAGCAAAGGTCACCGAGAACTTATACATTCGGGAACACGAGTGTGGGATCTCTCCAGGGAAGGAAGGAGGGTGGAGCAGTTGTTTAGATGTTACCCTCGCCTGGGGCAGCTGGGATGCAAGCTCCCTGCTCAGCCACAAGCTTCTTGTGTGGCCTGGAGAGGAAGCCTTGGCTTAGACCCTTTCCCACTCCTGTATTTTGAGGAGAACCAGGTGCTGTGGGGCCAGGTCAGAGAGCAGCCCTCAGCACAGGACTCTGATGCAATCTCCGAGGAGATGGGATCACCAAACCTCTGGCCAGGGCAGGCAGCTTGGGACTGGGACAGGTGACATCCCTGAAAACCAGCCCCCTCTGGGCCTGGCACACACAGCCAGTGCCTTTTGCTCCCACCACCCTCTGCCCTGATTCCCACACTTCCCAGTCATGGCTCCTGTGGAGCCTCAGCAGAGGCGAGGGGGGAGGATGTGCCAGAAGAGCTGTGCTTCTCATTTGCTTCTTTTATCATTAAACAGCAGCCTTCAGAGCCCCGGGGCACCAGCCTTGCAAGGCTGAGCTCTTCCTGCTGCCTGGGCTGGTGATTCAGCTGGGAGTCACTGGGGTCTGCAGGTTAATTAGTAACTTGCTCTACCTGTAGGATGAGGCATCTGAGACAGAGGGGGGAGAGAACATGTCAGGGCACTTGCACTGCCAGAGACCAAGCCCTGGGAGAAACCAGGTTGCCAAGGATCTGCTCTGCCTGGAAGCCTGTGGGACCGCTGAGCTAACGGGAATGGGGCTGGTCAGGATGGGGCTGGGGGAGAAGGGGGCTGGTCCCCAGCACAGCCCAGCCAGGGGAGCGAGCAGCTGGCTGGAGAGCATTCCAGGGGAAGGACAAATCCCTTTCTTTTTGGCTGCACACTCTGAGGCATCCCCGTGGTTTTGGGGATAGCATGTGTCGGGGGAGCCTGCAGCTGGAAGGGCAGATTTCAGGGATATCTGTGGTCTTGGAGTTGCTCCCATGTTTAACCACTAAATCCACCTGCCTTCTCAGTCTCACCACAAACCCTCTCAAGCTGAGGTCGCTGGATCCTTTGTTTGGGAGAGGGAATATTCCATCCATCTTGTTTCTTGCCACGGGAACAGTGGTCGTGGAAACTCTCCCCCCTCACGCGGGAGGATCCCTGTGGAAGCTGGCAGGTTGGCTGAGCTCTTTGCCAACAGTGCTGCTGGATTCCCAGCTCCCAGGTTGCTTTTGCTCCTTTGGTGCCTTATTTATCCCCTGGAAGTTTGGCTGTCACGTTCCAGGGTGCAGTATCGCCCAGGCAGCTGGTAGCCGGTGTCGTTCCTTATCTCCGTTTCCATAATTTCATTCCTTCATCCTCTCCCCACTCCCTGTTTCTGGTGGCTGCCCTTATCCCAGCAGTGTTTTGTTACTGCTGCCTCAGCTGCTCTTTGCTCTGACAGTGGCTTGTGGCTCAAATATAACTTTTTCCGACGCTGGGCTGCCTCAGTGAGACTTTTAGCGGGCAGCCAGCGGGTTCTGTTCCAGGTCTGGGAAAGCTGGAGGGAGCCTTTGAGCAGAGAAAGGGTTAACTGGTGTCCTAAAAAGAGCAACCTAAATTGAGCAAGGCCCAAGCTTTGCAGGTGAAAGGGCCCCACTGACAGCTCTTGGCTCCCTTCGTTCCCGGTTCACCATCGGGAGCGCTGTCCCTGGGAATGGCTGGCAGAGGGGTTAACCTCGTGCCGGAGGGGTGAGTCACAGAGGCCCCAGAGAGACAGAGCCGGTGAGCTGTGCTGGTTCCTCATCCATCACGGGCACACGCAGCTGTCTCCCTGGCACAGGGAGCCGGCAGCGGGCACACGCCGGACGGACGTGGGGACAGCTCCCCTGGGGTGATGGAGCTGTCGCTGATCCTGCTGAGCCCTCGCCCTGCTCATCCCTGGAAACGCTCTGTTTGAGCCCAGGGCAGCTGCATGAAACCACTCCAAACCTTCCCTCTCCCAGCCTGCCTTTGCCTTTTGCTGGGGAATGCATGCCTGGAGCCTGTGGAGCGTCTGACCAAGCTGATATTTAAGACTCCTAGGCTGGTGTGTATCCCAGCCACTGTGGGGAATCCTTCTCCCCAAGGAAGTCAACCAGGCCCACAGAAATAAAAGTGTCATTCCCAGAAAAGCTGCAGGAGGAGCCTTTCACCCCTGGGATTTGTGCAGCATCCAGGCAGTGTGACAGCAGTGCTGTGCCACAGGGGTGTGGGGTGGAAGGAAGAATTCCCCTATAACCAGGAAATCAGGGAAGCCCCCAGCCCTGCTGTCTCCTCTAGTGTCTTTCCCCAGTGGAAGGCACATGCTGTGTTTGCTGAGCCTCAATCAGTCCTTGTTCCAGTGGATTTGATTAGGATGGGAAGAGGTCTGTCCGTGGAACTGGGATACCCTAAAAGTAGGATGTGCCTCTGCCCTCGCTCTTTCCCAACCCAGAAACCTCACCTTTAGGTCAGTGTCTCCTCCCAGCAGTAACTGAACCCCAGCTCCACACTGGCATGGAGACCCAACAACAAACAGCCCATCCAGGGCACCTGCCCAGGGTGCCTTTCCGAGGAATCCCTTTTGGGAAGACATTCTGGGAGCGTCTCTGCCAGACATCACCTCCCAATTCCTCTGATTTGTTTTCCCTGTATCCTTGGTACAGATCATTCAGAACCAGGAAAACCAGAAAGAAAACTTGGACCAGAGGTTCCCCAGCCTGTTCAAGAAGGGACGAAGGAAAACGACTGTCAGGAATCTGGGAAAAATGATCTATTACTCCAAGGTCAAGTTAAGGTTCCAGCACTGCCAGGTACAACTGAGGGACCTGTTTGTGGGTGTTTCTCTCCCCAGGTATGGCATGGCCCTGCAGAACTGGGAAGTAAAGTGTAATTCTGGGAAATGTGACTCATGGAGGCTCCCTTGGGCTACTGCGTGGCCCTGGGGATGTGTTGTCATGTGGTGCACAGGTAGCAGCTCCTGCACCTGCTCCCATCCCTGTGGGCAACTGGGATGTGCTTCCATGCTCCTCTGCTGGGCTGGCAGCAGATCCACCAGCAGAAACGTGATGGTGGCCCTTGGATGAGCTTTTCCTGTGCAGGGATCAGCCTGAGATGAGAGGGAAGTCGGGAGAGAGGTGTCCTGAGATAACCCCCAGAACGTGTCTCTTCTGCAGGAGGTCAACGACTGCTTCTTGGAGCTGTTCCAGTCCTACCTGTTCTTCCAGTCCATGGGCTCCAATGGACTCACCCACCAGGTAGGGCATCACCTGGATGTGCCAGGACAAGCACTGGGCACTTGGGTGGCTCTGGGCAGATGGGCTGGGACAGGGGGCTCTGCTCCTGGGGCTCCACTGGCCTCCTCCAAGAGATGTCACCACGTCCCTTCCCATGGGAACGCGCCCTTCCAATGGTGCATGCCAAGATCCCGGCAAAAGAGGGCATTTTTTTCCCCAAGGCCTGCACCCAGACAACCTCAGCTTCACCTGAGTCCTTGGCCTTGCCTGTGGGGAGAGATAGAGGTGGGAGAGGGGCTTGTGCAGGGGCTCCCACAGCTCAAATCCCCACTGGCCTTGGTGCCTGTGGTGGTCTTGGCCCTGCCTTCTGGACCAAGGGGGAGTTTTTCACCTGCAGGCTGGACTTGATAATCTTAGAAGACTTTTCCACCACGAATTAACCTGTGGGAGGAGGTGGAAATAAAAAGCTGAGGGTAGCACTGGGGAGCTCTCCTGGCAAACTGCCCATCAATCTTTTAACCTGATGATGCCGATGAATCACAGATAACAAGAAGTCACAACTGTAAAACAAGAAGCTCTGAATGTGCTCTCCCTCCACAGGAGTGAGTAATTAAAACTGAGCATGTGTGTTTTGGAGATGGTTGCAAAAGTTAGTTCCTTTTAGAAATAATTCACTGTCTTGCAGGTGACTTTATGTTGATGCAATACATCAGTACAACATCTCGAGTCACCCACCAACCAGCCTTCAGCTGAAAATTCACATGTCAGGAGACAAACAATATTACCAAATCTCCTGCCTGCTTTATAAACAGCTCCTTAGTTTATTAATTCGAGGGGAATTAAAAGGGAATTAATGATCCATTACTGGCCCCGAGACATTACAGACATTAGAATCTTTTATGGGGCTTGTTTAGAAAGCCCAAAACAGGGAGTACAAACTTGCCACCTGTTCCTGTGCTTTTGTTATGGTGGTATTCTGAAGATCCAGGGTGTAGGAACCAGACAGCTCACTTTTGCTTTATGGTCAACTCCATCTTCTGTGTTTCTTGTGTTAAACCACCGTTGTTCTGCTGAGGTTTCTCTTGAAACTGAAACTGCCAGCCTGGCAGAGGATTGCTGCAGCACTGGCCCCAGGGAGCTGCTGAACCTGCTTCCTTTGGGCAGTGTGCTGGACCCAGAGCCCAAATGTCTCCCCTCAGAGCCACGTTTTTCAGTCTGGCACTGAGCCACAGCAGCCTGGGGGTCTGGGCTTCCAACCTCCCGCGGCAAAGGGGCACCGACTGCAGAGCTGCCCCCAAAATAGCAGTGTGCTCTCCCTCTGCAGGAGCTGCTGCCCCTGAAGGAGCTGAACGTGTGTGAGGTCGAGGCTGGGAAGGGCCCTGGGCAGCAGGATCACCACACTTTCCTCATCACAGGTGGGTGCCTCCTTGTTTGCTTTGCACAGAGGGCAGGGGGTGTGTGGATCAGGCTGTCTCTGCTCTCTGGCCCACCCTGACCTAGTCCCAGGGAATAAACACTCTGTGAAAAGAGGCTGCAGGGAGCTGGAGCTCTTCCTTCCTCCCAGAACTGACATCTTTCTCTCCAAGGCTGCTCTTAAACGCCTTGGGCAGTGATGCCCAGGGCTGGCACAGGGAGGGCAGAGGATGGATGGTCCTGTGTTCCAGCTGGTTAATACTGAGCACTCATGGGGACAGTTCCCTCCTCTGTCCAGTTATTAGAACGAAAAAAAATGGCATAAAACCTCCTTCTCCCAGCTCTCCATATAAACCCCAAGGGCAGGGAGTGACTCCAGGCAGGCAGGGCACTGTAGGGCACAGTTCAGTGCCCAGAGGTGAGTTGCCTCCACAGTAACACCAGCCTGGTGCTGTCAGGACCCTGTGGCACTTCACCAGCTCTTCCCTCACCAGCCTCCACAGGCTGCTTAAGCTTTTCTCTGAGTGCTGTTGCTTTACAAAAGGTTTCCTGGGATGACAACCTCTCTGCAGCTTGGAGAGAGGCTTCTTTGGGCTTAGTCATTGCTGAATTGCAGACATAAATGACAAAAAAGGAGATGGTACAAACGACCCTCTAATTTTAAGGGCTGCTGAGTTGTGTTGTGCTGTACCAGGCAGGGCTCTCCAACCCTTTCTGGGAGCCTGTAAAACAAAGGAAAACTTCTTCTAGGTGTAACCTGTCAGGGGCATCTGCTCTGGGCTAGGGGGGACTTGTTCTGCTTGTATGAAAACATGCAGGAGGGTGGCTGGGGTGGAAAATTGCCTCCAGCTTTGTAGGGTTCCTGCCCTGCTCGGGGGAACAACAAGCCAAAGCCTTTCAGACAGAGTGCTGTGTACAATGGGAAGCAGTGACATGAAGAAACCAGGGAGGCAGTGATGTTTAGGATTGCTGGGAGGTCAGTGGAACAGTTTTATTGTCCTGCTGGAGCGGGAGGAATCAAGGCATGGAGGGGGTAGGAGCCTTCCCGTGTCCTCACACAGGGTCAGGGTGGAAATCTCTTTGTCTCATGACTCTGAGACACAACAGACAGGCATCCATTCTCTTGTGAAATCCTGTGGCATCTGTAGTTCCCCATAACTGCACTGCCAGGGGTAGTTCAGCTCACTGGAAGTTGTTGCAGGATCACTGGAAACGTGGAGGTGGAGTGGAGAAGGAAGCCCAGTCCACAGACACTTGGATGCCCAGGAAATGCCTGACACCAGATTACTGTAATGGATTTGGAGTCACTCAGGGAGTCTCTGCTCCAGCTTCCCCACCTCTGCTTTGTTTATGCACATTTGTTTCAGATCATTTCCTGAAAGGCAGAAAGTGTTTCAAAGTCTTTAATGAACTGTTGTTTATAAATAGTGCAGGAATTAGGGTACTGAAGAAGGGCAAAGTACCATGTTTATCCCGTGCACAGGCTTATCTCAGTACTTCCAAGTCCCACAGAGCCAGATCCTACTGAGCTTGCACCAATCAGGGTTTTATGAGACTGCTGGTAAATTATTAATCATAACATACATTCTGCATCCTGCCAGAAATGGTTATTACCGTCACTAGGTCATGTCTGCAGCGAGTAGCAGAGGGGTGTGTGAGACTGTTTCGCTCATGCTATTAAATGAAGGAGGCTGGAAACATCAAAATCAACAAGATGTAGGGCTGTTCCTCCCTTCAAGGGTATGTCTGAGGTCAGCTGCAGCTTGTCTGGCACAGATTACGTTTGGTGGAGCAATAAATAAAGAAAGCTACCGGTGTTCTACATACCGAGCGCCAAAGTGAAAGCAGGAGATAGCGTGGAACTTTCTGATGAGTTGTGATAGTCCCTGCCCACACAGGTGCTTCTCACAAACTGCTGGGGGTTTTCAAAGCTGAAATGGGTGTGGAGTTCAAGCTCGACTTTTGTGCTGTCTTTGAGTTTTGTTCTTGGCCTGGTTTGGTGTTAAAATGTGTCTGGTGGTCAGAGCCTGATGTGTGTGAGAAGGTGCAGGAGCACTCCCAGCAGCCTGATGTGAGGAAATGTGCTACAAGAGTGATGGGAAGGACTGGAACATGACGTCAACAGAGCAATGGTCTGCTGGTGTGACGTGCAGAGTGCAACACTGCTGATGGTTTATGGATGTTCCATGCCCTTATCTGCTACCTGCTCATCCTGTGTCTCACAGGTCCTCGGCTGAACCCCCTTATTGTGTTCTGCCCCACTGAGTCAGAGCTGAAGCAGTGGCTTTATCACCTGGAGAAGCAGATCCAGCTGAATGGAGGTGGCCTTGCCTTGCCCTTCGTCCCTCAGGTGAGTGTCTCACAGCCACGTGCTGAGCTGGAGCAACCAGGGAGGCTGGGATGGTTTCACTTTGGAGCTTGCCTTTGGTGTGGCTTCCTGTGCCAGAAGGGTGGGAAAAAAAAAAAAAAAAGCAACTTTGCAAGAGGTGTTTGATAGCCATTGGCAGGGGAGGGTGGGTGCTGAAAGGAAGACCTGCCACCCATGGGTACCACCAGCACAACCTCCGAAGGGTCAGAGGTTTGGGTCTGGCTCGGAGAAACTCTCACGCATTTGGGTGCTTGTGCAACTCCCCAGAGATGACAAAACATCTGGAGGAGGAGACTGGGACCTAGAAAACAGGACTGGATTCAAGAGACTTTCTCTCCCCATCTCTGCAGGGTGTTTTAATGCCCTCCCTGTCTCCATCCTCCCACTTGTCAAGCAGAGACATCTCCCCCTGAAAGGCAATTTACGGGCGATGCTTGGTAGCAGGGGTGATTATTCAGTCCCAGCTGGAAGACTGGCTCCTGCACTGATTTATTTATTCTTTCCTGCCTCTGCCACACTTAAAAAGTGCCCTGAGGAGGGCCATGCAGTGGATAAACTCGGGGGAGGACATGTCTGCCTGCTGCTCAGTGTGCTCCTGTCCCTAGAACGGCTGGCAGCAGAGCTCCATGGGGAAGGACGAGCTGCGGTGGTGCATGCAGCACATGCCTATCCAGGGGTGGAGTGGGACTCAGAGGGAATCCCTGGGCCGTGTCCTCTGTGCCTCCGAAGTGAAGCTTCAGCATCTGCCATTCCAGGTAGGACACACGTCCCTGGGGAATGACCTGCAGCTCAGGAAAGGGGAGGGGTGGAGTGACTAGGGCAGGCTCCTGCCCACCTGATGCCACTAATCCAGCAGGTCCCAAGGGTCATTGTACACCCATGTAAAGGGAAAATGGTTTCTTCCTGCTCCTGTGGCCCCGCAGGGGTGCTTGGGGACAGCACAGGCACATGCACAAGGACCTGCAGGACAGGGCTGGCAGCTGACCCAGTGTCACTTCACCAGCTCTTCCCTCACCAGCCTCCACAGGCTTTTTAAACTTTCCTCTGAGTGGTCTTGCTTTATAAAAGATTTCCTGGGGTGACAACTGGGGTCTGCAGCTTGGACAGAGGCTTCTTTGGGTTTAGTCATTGCTGAATCACAGAGTCGAAATCCCCAGGAATCTGGCAGGAATCTCCCAGCTCAGGGGAGCAGCTTGGCCCTTTCCAAAGCAATCTCCCGATGCAGGGAAGCAGCTTGGCCCTTTCCAGAGCCCTTGCCCCAGGATGCTGTCAGAGCAAAGGGCTCTCACATCCAGTCCCTGCCTGGCTGTTCACAGGCTATTCACATCCCTCTCCCTCTTTGCTTTCCAAGGAGCAGCACGACCGGGTGTTGGTGCTTTATGCCTCCACACTGGTGATAATTTCTGAAGAGCATAACGGCTTCTGTTTTAAGGTAAGTTCATGCTGGAGCATCTCCCTGCTCTCTCTCACCCATCCACAGCAGCTATTTCAGCTCTCCTTTGGCTTGTTTCTCCCCTCCACCTGTGTTCCCTCGTGCTCCCTCGTGTTGGCAAGGGCTTTTCCAACTCCACGCTGCCACTCCCGTGCCAGCTGGCAGGTGAGCAGGCAGGGGGGATGTTGCAAGTTATCTTCCCATGAGAAACACCTTGCCCTCCTACAGAAGCCCAGGGGGAAAGGAGCTGGCTGCCAAGGAATCTCTGGGAGGAGGGAGGCTGGCATGTTTCGGTGTGGTGGTGCTGGCAGAGAGCCTGGCTCTCCTGCTGGAGATGGGAGCTGGAACAGCCCCAGAGAGCCCCTGAGGGGGGCTTTGCTTCCCAGGCTCTGTGCCACAGGGACCACGTGGAAGCGGGGAGCATGCAGGCAGCACATCTGATGCTCGTGGAGAAGGGCACAGGCAGGGAGGAGAGGCTGCTGCTGGAGCAGGGTTTGCTGCTCTTTCCCTCTGTGTGGAGCCTCGGGCATGGCAGCAGAAGGGACAGCAAGGATGTGGAGATCTGAGTGTCCCAGGGGATGCAAGACCAGCTTCTCTAGTCTAGGGTGCCTTGTGGGAGCAGTGCTGGGAGCCTCAGCACAGACAGGCAGTGGCACTGTGCAGTCTGAGTGGCCCTTAAAATCAGACTGCCAACACCCACCCTGGCACTTGGTGACACAGTTTAGTGGTGAACGTGGCAGTGCTGAACTTGATGATCCTGGAAGGCTTCCCTAAACTTAACAACCCTGTGGTTCTGTGCTCTTGGGCATCACTGTGATGGCTTATTAACAGCCCTGTGCTTTCTGGTCCCGTTTCTTCCCGTGCTGGAACAAATGTGCCAAAAAGAGCAGTGAACTGTGTGTGAACCCGCGTGTGGCAGCACCGGCACACGGCAGGGCAGAGCTGGGCTGCTCCCCCAGGGAACAGCATCCCTCTTAGTCACTGAGAGAGCAGCCAGTGACAGGGGAGCTCTGCAGAGACCGAGGGCTTGTGAAATCCAGCGTGAACTCGCTGGGGTCCTTCCTGTGGTTCCGCATCACGCAGGACGCTTTTAACTCAAGGGTTACCCACGAGAGGACCTGGGTAGGCATCTCTGGAGAGGAGATCCTGTGCCTCAACAGGAGAGACATGTCCAGTCACAGCTCTCCTCATCCCCAGTGCAGCAGTGGAGGCTGTTTTCCAGCAGCTGGTGGCTGGTGTGACACACCTCAGACAGAGCTTGTTTTCGGGAACACGCTGTTTGCAGCTCCTGGGAACGGGGCACCGCGTAAGGGGGCCCTGGGCTGGGCTCTCTGATTAGCTCATCTCTTTTGAAACCTTAAACCAGCTTTGTCTGCCCCTGTCCATGCAATGTTCCCTCTTCCCACGGTGCAGGAGCTCTGGTCCCGGGGCTCTGCACAGCCGGGTGCAGGCAGGAGGTGATTCACCAGCCTGTGACACTGCGCTGGGAACCTGATTTTCCACAGGCGTGTCAGGGCACAGGAGCCTTCTCCCAGGGCTTCTGCAAATTAACTTCCCTTCCCTGCGAGCAGATGCTGAGCCCTACAATTTGTGTGTGAGGGAATAGCCCGGCCCTTTTGTTCTTGAGCTTCATACAAACCACAGGAGCTGCTGCTGCCAAGTGTGTGTGTGTGGGACAGGGAAGGGGAAGGCAGGGGCTGAGCCTGCCGGGATGGGGCTCACCCAAATCCACAGGCTCTGGCTCACCCCTGGTGGGAAAAGGCCCTGGGCGAGGTGAAAACCAGCAAGGGGGGGAGCTGCTGGAGGGGCAGGTTCACACCGTGCTCGGGGAAGGCTGGAGGGGCTCTCTGCAGCCCACGTGTGTGTTCTTTGTGGGATGCTGCTGCGCTTCCTGAGGTGCGACTCGACCCGGAGGGCGTTTCAGCCTCCCCATGGACAGGGAGCTGTTGTTTGAGGGAGGATGGAACACCAGGCACCAGGGGAAGCCCCTGTGCAGTGTGCCTCGGTGGCAAGAGGCTTACTGGGCTGTGCTGGTGGCAGGGATCTTGCTGGGATGTGCTGGGATGTGCTGGGCGCAGCAGCCATGCAGCACCTGCACCAGCCGAAATGTCAAACCCCAGCAACGGGGAGGGGAAAAGAAGGAGTCAGGGAGCAGTGCACGAGCTTCCCAACCAAGGTCAGCCTTCCTGAGCTGCTCAGCCTGTAAATCACTGCTGGGGCAGCAGGAATGCCACAGGAGCCTGCCTGTGCCCCCAGGCTGTTGCAGAGGCAGCTGCCACACAAACCACGGACACCCGTGCGTGCTCCGCAGCTCCCTCACGGCAAAGTTGTCACGTCGGCCACATTCCCAGAGCCCTTCCAGCTGGCATGGCTTGGAAGCGAGGGCAGGGTGAGGAGTTTCTGCTAGACACCTCAGTTTTGCAGCCCCCGAGCTTAGGCAAATGAATCCTGACAGGTTGCACCTTTTGGAGAGGGCCTTGGGCGAAGTGACAGACAGGGCTTCGTTCCTGCTTTTTGTGCATTTCCTCCACTCCCAGGCATGGAGCAGAGTGCAGTGAGATGAGAACCTTTTTTTCCCTGAGCACTACCCAGCCCCTGTGCTCACCATCCTGCCCAGGAGCTGCACCCAGGGAGGGCTGTTGCCACCAGCTGCCCCTGCCCAGTGCTCCGTGCCCAGAGACAGAGGCAGGGTGACATCCAGGTGAGGGGAATAGGAACAGGAGCAAAAATGCCACGTGTTCCTTGTTCTCCCTCTGCTCAGAGCATGAGAGAGACGAGAAGTAAAGGGATGAGCTCATCCATGTGATGTTTCCAGCACAGAATCTGCTTCAGTGGCTCTCCCAGGGCTGTTCCCGCCTCATTTCTGTAAGGAAAATTTACCCCAAAGAAAGAGGAGCTCTAGATCTGAATTCAGTGCTTGACAAACCCCCTTGGCCCTTCTGCCACGTTGCCCATCACAGAGAATTAAGCTGTCAGCGGTGACACTTGAAGGACATGTGGCAGCAGGGCAAGAGAGGGGCTTGGGACAGGCAGCCCTGTCCCTGCCCACCCCACAGGTCACCACAGAGCCTGTCTGGCACAGATACGGGATGGCCACGGGGTGATGGCAGAGGGGACAGTGGTGGATGTGCATGAAAAGCTGCAGGGCCAACAGCACACACGGGGTCTTCTAACTCCAGATTTTCCAGGGACAGGCTGCTTTAGCCCCCAGCTGACAGGGCAAAACCCCCGCTCCCCTCTCAGGAGTGGCAGTTCACAACTGCGCCTCTGTAACACACGGGCTCGGGTTTCACCGGCTGGCATTTGCCAGGCTCAGCCCTGTCTTTGTAAGGCTTTGCAGGGAATGGATGGTGGGCATTCCTCTCGGCAGGGCTGGAAGTCCCAAGTTATCAACCGAAGCCTCGCTCAGGTCCACGTTTGCGAAGTTTTCCGGAGGAGTCGGAAATTTCAGCCATTAAACTGCTGAAAACAGAACTAGGAGGGAAGGGGTGGTTTTCCAAGCTCAGGATCTCAGGAGGGGCCTTGAGAACAAAGCTGTCTCCCACAGTCATGCTGGCTCCAGAGGCTCCATTCCTGCAGTAAGGCTGCTGGTGGGAGAACTGGAAGCAGGAAACACCAAGCTGGGACAATCTGCTGGAGACAGAGCTCTCCAGCAAGCCTGTGAGGGTACAGAGGCCTCCAAACCCTCACCCACCTTAGCAGCATCTTGGGTGTGCCTCCTGTCTCCTGCAGACCTGGCCTAGGGGATTTAGGCTCTGAGATTCCCTATACCCCACCAGGGGATCCCAGCCATGTTGTCCTTCCCACAGTGCCCTATGGCACGGACTGGGAGATCTGCTCAGCCCCGTGGTCCCAATCCTGCTTCTTCTCTCTCCAACAGGGCGAGCTGCCACTCAACGCCATCCAGGTGCTTTTTGAAGAGAACGAGAAAACCTCCTTTTTAATCGAAGGTGGGTGTCCCCACCCCACAGAGGCTCACTGGGGTCAGGTTTGCCGGTTTTGCCGAGCTGCTGCGGCCCCTTCTCAGCTGTGTGAGAGTTCCCAGGCTCTGTGAACTGCACTGCCTGGAAATCTGGGCCCCTCAGAGCCCAGGAGGGTGTGGGGAGGGGATGGAGCGAGAGGGTTCCCACGGGCTTCTCCAGGAAGCACCAGGGAGCCAGTGGAGCCCGGTAAGAGCAGCGAGCGCTGTTTTCCCAGGCCGGCTGATCAATTCGATCCGGGTGAGCTGCCGCAGCTACGAGGATTACCAGGAGTGGCTCTACTGCCTCAACACGGCCCAGTTTCGAAACGCCGACTCCTCCCTCTCCGGATCCGAGAGTTTCTCAGGATCAAAGCCGCCACACCCCAGCCAGGTAGCAGTCGCATGGGAATCGGTGGCTGTCCTGTCTCTGGCCGCGTGTGGAGCGCTCCTGTGACGCAGCAGACTTCATCTTCAGGCTGTCAGCAAGCTGACAATTATTTAAAGCCCTTTATGACATTTTATAGGCCAATATTATAGTGAACTCCTTCAAAAGCAGAGGCCTGGGCACAGACTGTGACACTGTCGTGCAGTGAGGCATTGGCACGAGGGCATTAAAAGGGTCTTGGACTCGACAATTCTCGTGGGTCCCTTCCAACTCTGGGTATTCTGTGATTCCTGCAGGGAAGGGGAGACCCACACTGCCAGCTCTGCAGCTGGGATGGGTCAGGATGCCTGAGCACCCTTTTCCTGCGGTGCACCCCTGTCATTCACCCTGGTCATCCCAGCACAACCACACACCAGGCATGGCCACCGGGCAACTGCTGGCCGTGGGCACACAGCCCAGACCCCCGAGGGCTGTGCTGGGCTGGCACTGCTGGGGCTGGGAAGGATGTGCCTGTGGCCATGCAGATTGTCCTTCCTACACTGTGTTCTTCTCCCCACACAGTTCACCAGCAGCGGGAGGGGCTCCCTCACCTCTGACGGCCGCACGAACTCCTGGGCATCGGGGGGCAAAGTGACCACCGTGACCCACCTGTCCCAGACCAGCGGCTCCCTGCCCGATGGACACTCCTTCCTGCTGATGCCTGAGGGCAGGCTGCTCGAAGATGCCCTCTCCTCTGGCTATTCCCAGCCCCTCCACGTAAGTGAGCCCCCCGCCAAAGCCCGGGATGCACGTGGGGATGGACCTGCCCTCCACTCTTGACTGGTTGGACGGGTTGCAAAAGGGCAAAAAGCTGGAGGTGGGTGGAGGTGATGGGCTGGGCAGGATTTTGGTCTGACCCTGGGCAGCATTTGCATGTCCAGGGCTGTAGGAGTGCCTGGGGCAGGGATCCCAGGCAGGACCAACCCTAATCCCTGAGTGCAGGGCCATGCTGAGCTCCTGGCCTGAGGAAAGTCAGCTCCAGGGTCTGCCTTCTCATTTCAGTGCCTGGCACAAGCCAGCTGGCCAAGCACAGGGCCGCCCACACAGGACCTGCGGAGAGGGGGCAGCGCCAGGAAATCCAAGGGCAAATGTGGGCCGTGCATCCAGCAGCTGCCCAGCCAGGACTCGGAGAGGAGCATCTGCAGCCTCATTCCCGAAAATCCCAGCGGTGAACTCCCATCCCCAGAGTACAACGAGCCGTACTCGGCACACAGCTCACAGCGTCACCCCTCAGCTCCCCCGTCACACCTCAGCAATGTAAGGGGGCTGGGGTTTGGGGGGGATGGATCCTCCTGCCTGGGAAAGGGGAGCGTAGTTCAGCTTTTCCTTGCGGTGCCGCTGGCAGGGACAGGAGCGCTGGCAGGTGCTCTTGGGCAGGTGGGAAATCCATTTCCACTGGAAAATGGCCCGTGGGAGGTGAGGTTAAAGGTGGCAGGTGGAGCAATGTCTCTCGGAGCCCTGGGATGCTGGGCAGTAATTCCCGAGACAACATGACCGCCAGTGCTCGGTGAGTAGGAGTGTTATTGCCTCACAGGACACAGCCTCCTCTTCCCAGGGTTTTCCAGCATGTGTCCATCGACTGTTTAGTGTGTGATGCCGTGATTCCCTCCCCTCCATGAGTGTTCATCAAGGAATTCCCCTCCTTAGCACAGACAGCGCAGTCGGGAGTCAGTCCCATCATCCCACATGGATGAGCAGCGTTTGGGACTTTAGTTACAGGGAGATCTCCCACTCCAAACCCTCCTGGGGACGAACTGCAAGTAGAGAGCAGCGTGCCACGTTCCTGTTTCCGCCCTGCCTTGTAGCTGAACAGATGGAGCTCGGTGGGAAGGCAGCCCTCCAGAGCTTCCAGCTCCCTGGAAAAGCCGGCCATGCCCCTCTCCCATTTGTACGCTGATCCCTACACACCCAGCTCCCCCAGTGCTCCCAGTGGGGCAGGTTCCACCTTCCTGGAAGAGGTACCTGTGCTTGCTGCTGGTTACAGCTGGCCCTGACTCAGCACACAGGGTTTTGGCTCCAGAAATTGTGCCTGGGGCCATTTCTTTTCCTGCCATCTGCCTGAGCCTGAGCAGGATGTGGAAACTCCAGGCCTGCATTTCGGGGTGGGGCAGGGCACAGCATAGTTCCCAGTTTTTTTCAAGCCAGGACAGAGCCAGAGGGGAACAGGTTTCCCCTGTCTTATCACTGGATGCCAGTGTCACAACAATAATCCCAGGAAGAACCAGAAACCACGAAACAAAGGCAGAGACTGAGATGTGCTCCAGTCTACAGAAACTAGGGATGAGTCAGACACAGAGACCACTTTATCCACCCCAAAAAATTCCAGATGTGGTGACTGAGTGCCTATTAAAGGCTACATTTCTTGTTTTGCACATCTCTTGGGAAAAGGCTGTTTCTGAGTCTGGCACTCCCCATACTGGTGATGACCTCCCTTCCCTCAGAGGGTCTTTCCTGACTGTTCCCTGTCCTTCTGGGTTGCCACAGGGCATCATCCTACTGCCTCCACACCCTGCCAACTTCCACTGTGTCTGTGGCCATCCTCCCTTTCCCACCCAAGGCCTTCAGGACTGGGGTGTGGTAGAATCTGTGAGGAGGGCAGAAACCCTGGGTTTGCTAAGTGTGTTGCCAGCAGGGCTGTTTTAGCGGGTGGGAAGCAGCGGGTCAGTGTTTCCCAGCTCTCCCCAGCAGGCATCCAACCCGGATTTTGCTTTGCTCTAGTTCCTGCAGTGCCACAGGCAGACGGGTCCAGCACAGGCAAACGGGTGCCCAGCAATCCCTGCACCCCAGCAGCACCTCTCTCTGGAGAAATGGAACTGCCAGCCCTTGCCCAGTGGCCACTGCAGAGAGGTGCCCACAGCTCCCACCTACAGCACCCCTGGCACCTCCCGCCGGCTCCAGCTGCGGGCACAGGCTGAAGCTGCTTACCTTGAGGAGGTGAGATTGTAAATGCAGCCCTGGGGCCCCACACTGGCTGCAGGGGAGCACACGGGGTGCAGGGGGACCCAGCTTGACTAGAGTCTCACTGCAGGGGTCTTTGCTCTGTGATCACACAGGGATCCTCCCGAGGAGCAGGGAGTGGGGAACCACGGAGGGCTGATTCCCTGGTGTGCAGCATCCCAGCACTGCAGTGCTGTGTCATCCTCATCCCTGTGTCTCTTTCTTTCCAGATCTCCTCTCTGCCAGAGGAACATCTGGGCCCTTCACTGCACCCACCAGGTGAGGCTCCTGGGGGTGTGCTGGCGGGTGGCTGAACCCTCCCTGCCTCGCCGGTGTCCGTCTCCATCAGCATCATTCAAAGCAGGGCTGGTACCCTCTATCCCTCCTGCTTCCCCAGGTGGGACTGAGCCTGTCACCCTGCCCTGGGCCTGTCTCTGCCTGGTGGAGGCACCTGTATGGCTTCCCCTGAGTCACAGCCCCCCTGTCACACTTGGTCACTTGTGACTTGTCCTGCAGCACATGCGCTTTGCCCACATCGAGTTGCATCTGGGCTGTGGTTTAACTCATCCCCATTCCTACTCTCTGCTGGCAAAGGGGAAGGTGACCATCAGGCTGCTGCTGCTGCTGCTGAGCTCTCTGATCCCTTGGGTCTGTTCTCCTGCAGATGGGAGCGTCAGCATGTACGACCTGCCAGATTCCAGCTGCCGGCGCCGCGACTCCGCCACCTTCCACGACTACGCCGAGCTCCAGAGCTTCCACAGTGACTTCAGCTATGACAACCTGTGGGAAGCTGAGGGGAAGGAGCCAGGCACCCCACACACCTCCCCATCTCCTGTCCAGCAGATTTACCAGGTCTAAGGGATGGTCTCCACAGCCAGGCACAGAAAGGCCACCCCCACCCCCCTGGGCTCTTTTCTCACTGGGCTTCCCTCCAGGATGAGGAGCCCAGGGCGTACAAAGCAAAGGGAAGAGCCCTGCCCTGCAAAAGGCATGTCCTGGCAGGCCTGGGCTTCAAATTTCTCTCCTAAATCTGGGGATGGGGTCAAAGCACAGCAGCAGCAGCCCCTGTGGACACGGAGGAGCAGAGTGTGTGCTGTGCCAAGGAGAACGCTCAGGGAGCCCTGGCTGGGGAACAGCTCTGCCCCCAAAAATGAAAAGAGGAACAAAAAGGGTCAGGCTCCCTCAGGTAAAAGGGGCTGGGTGTCCAGGGGAAGCAGTCACTCAAAGGCCAAAGAGAAGGGCTGGTTGGTGGCTGGGTTAGTTTGGTTCCTTCTCCCCAGAGCCCTCAGGCTGGTCCCTCTGCTGATCCCCTGATCCCTGAGAACAGCTGTTAAACCAAACCTTCCTCCACCGAGCTCTGAAGTCTGCAGGGACACACGAAACGTGTCCCATCCTGCTATACAAGTTTGGTAGCAATAGCTGGTGCTCATAGGATTGTCTTCCTGCAAGATCAGAGTTACTGGACAAGAGATGGAGAACAAACCCACCAGATCCGAGCAGAATGGGACTTTCTTTCCAATCTATGCAAAAAATTCCTTCCTGCCAGTGCTGGCTCCAGAAACCATGGTGGGTGTCCTGTGACATGAGGAGCCTGACACCTTGGCAGGTGGAGTCTAGAAATGTGCTGCCAGCAAACATGCCAGGTGACTTGTGTTCACCAAGGTCTTCCCTGGAGAGGATGCTCTAGGGGTTCCTCCTCCTAGGGAATGCCTCCTTTCCTCCCACTCCTCTGCACACGACTGGGCTCCCACTAAATGCTGCCTGTGACTATCTGGGCAGGGAGGGAAGAAAATTCACCACAAGTCAAACTCCAGCTGATCAAAGCAATGCCAGTGTGGGCTGGGATCCCCCTCTTCCCCCACCTCCAGGCCCACAGCAGGGCCAGGACACAAACAACAGGGGACAGAGTCTCAGTGCTATTATTCTCCAGCCTCTTAGGCCGGATCCTTTGGCACATAGAAGATCAGCAGCAAATCCGAATGTTTTTACCTGAGGCTCCAAATTCTTAACCTTTGTTCCCTAAAGAAGCTGCAAACCAAACACAGGAACAAACCCTCTATTTTTGTTCTGTCACTGGTGCAAACAAAACAATCCAGGAGCCCTTTGTACTTGAATATCTGCATATTACATTGTATTTTAATTTTTTTTTTTTGGGTATCTGACAAAGTTTACATGTAAAGTTTGAGTGGATTCTGTGTATATAACGTGTAAATATGGCTGAGTTAAAGACCTATTTAATTTTCTAGCTGTGGGTGAGGTTCAGTGCTGTGGAATGGGCAGCTGTCTGCACATTCACGAGTGTGTTGGTTTGGGTCTTGTAGCTGTCATTGTTTTGTTTCAGGTTTGCTCTATTTTGGGAAGATTTGTATCCAATGACCCCAAATTTATCTATTTATTCAGAACAAAACTGCACTAGGGAACATCAAAAACACATATATGCTGGGAGGTCTCCATGCTCTCGAGCTCCTATGAACAGGTTGTCTTTGAACATGGTCATCATAGCCTTTTAAATTCAGTTTCAGCAGCAATATCTGCAATGTATCAAAAGGGAAGATCCCCCTCCAGCTGATATTAAAGTTCCCTCGTGGGTTTCTGTGAGACTGGACAATTGCAATACACATTCCCTGGGAATAACTTCCTCCTCTCTTCCTTTGCCATCACCTGGTTTAGTGGAGGTGATTTTTCCCCCATCGCTGCTGCCCCTTCCAAACCCTTCCTTCCCTGAGGACTTTGGGGCCCTGTTTCCAGGAGGGTTCCAGACTGCTGACTGTCTCTAATCCTTGAGCAAAGTCTCCCCAGTGTTTGTCAGGCAGTGAGACCTGGCTGGAGGTTTAAAGCCAAAGCTCATCGAACTTTGCTTCGGCACCACGTCCTGGAAAGGTGCTCTGTAAAATCAGCCATGGAATCATAGGGTCACTGTGTGGTTTGGGTTGGAAGGGACCTTAAAAACACCTGGTTCCAACCCCCTGCCACGGGCAGGGACACCTTCCACTAGCCCAGGTTGCTCCAAGCCCCATCCAAATCAATTAATGTGTGTGATCCAGCCCTAAAATATTTCCAAACCAGCCCCCATAAGCATCAGGATTTAAAAATAGAGGGTTTCCTTAGAGCAGCACTAGATGTCTCCGTGCAGGTTGCATTGAAATGGAAATTAGTACCTGTAAGCACACAAAACACCTCTTATTTCCTGAAAAAGAAAAATGTATTCATCCTTCATCCTGGCTGCAGCAGGAATGTGATGGGGACCAGGTCATCCACAAAAGGCAGGTCCAGTGCTCCACAGCTGCCAGCAAGGCTGTGAACATCCTGCTGGTCACAGGGTAGCTGTGTCTTTATTCACAGAGGCAGATGAAAGGCATGAGATGACACTGGCTGCCAACAATTCACTGTCTGACAAATGATCCCTCCACCCCCTCACTCCCTCCAAGTGTTAAAAGTCCTGAATCAGGTGTTTCAACCCCTTTTTTTTTTTTTTTCTCAAAGAATAGACAGCAAAGAGACGTTTAAAGAAAATAAAACCAGACTGGAGCTTGTAACCTGCTCCTTTGGCTTTGGGAATTGGGAGAAAAGCCTCTGTACTGAACACAAGGTGTAGCAAGTGAGCCTCTTTGCCCGTCTTTCTGTTGTCTTTACAAAGACAACTCGGGGTTTGGCAATTCCTTGGGGAGCGGTTTGTGTGGACGTGCCTCTGCCTGTCGGCTGCTGGAAAACGCGGCTGAGGTTTGGGAAGGACCCCGCTGGGCAAACCCGCTCCCAGAACAGCAGGAGGATGTGCAGGATCTGCGACCAGCAACTCCCTCAGTGCCCTGTGGGTGGGAGAATCCACCAAAATATGTCAGGGCTCTCAGGGCTGGCCAACCGACCCGAGCAGCCGGCGCTTGTGTCAGTCTTAGATAAGAGGGGGGGTTCTTAGATAAGAAAGGGGGGGTCACTGCTCCCCCCAGGCTCTGGCACAGCACCAAGCCCACCCAAAAAAATCTCACTGAACTCCAGGGAGAAGCCAGTCACGGCTCGGAAACGGCCACAGGAATGTCCCTGGGAAGCTTCGCCCTGGTTTTGCTACAGAGAGGTGAAGCAAAAAAAAAAAGTGAAGGAATTGCTCTGACAAAAAGCGATGGCTGGGAAGAGGGGGAGAGGCTTCTCCTGCTTCCAGCAGGGACTCCGGCACACGGTGTATCCGGGTGAAACACGGAGCCAGTCGCTCGGGGTGCACCTGCCTGACTTTTTCATGCGCTTGGCAAGCCGAGGTGTCAGATGAGGGAGCTACGTGCGAGGCAGAGCGGCGGGCTGGGATGGCACAGGTCCCACCTCCGGCACCGACGCCCTGCCCGGAGCAGGGAGAGCAGCCCCGCGGCAGCGAAGATGCGCGGAAAGGTCGCTGCTGTGGCGGTGGCTGCTGCTGTTGCAAAAAAAAAAGATGGTGAGGTCCTGGCTGCTCGCTGCGGGGCGAGATAGAAGGCACATGGACCTCGCCGTGGAGGGAGAGGAGAGGGGCTTAAAAGGTCGGAGAATAAACCAAGCATTAAAATTGCAGGCAAGCCCGGGCTGGTTTCCTTGAGGGGACACTGCTGCTTGAGTGAGCACAGCACACTCTCCCAGAGCTGATCTCCTGACACCAGCAAGATCTCTCAATAATTCCTTCCACTTCTGCAGTCAGCCGAAAACATCCATCTCCTGAAATATTTATCTCACCCACTTCTTCCAGTGCAGATCAAAAGGAGTGTGAAATGCACCTGCAACCTGCTGGATCACCTGGCACCTCTGGTAACTTCCAGCAGGCGGAGGTGCCAAATCCTACTGACATCTCCCAGTCCAAGCTGTAAAGGATCAGACACCAATTATCACAGACAGGCAAAGGGTGACAGGCACCTCATGTTACCTGCAGCACAGCAGGGATACTCAGCTCTGCTGGGAAGAAACAGCACTGGGACAGAGGCATTAAGAGGGTGGGATATACTCCACATTCTTTGGAGTGGGAAAACACACAGTTGGTGGCACTAAGCCTTTCCCTGCTTGTGCAGGTCAGGGACAGCCAGGAGTTACTTTTCCCACCCCAAGTGCCATGTTTGGCTGTGTATGGCTCATCTCTGGATTGGGGCACTGGGAAAAGGAGGTCCCCAAAGCCAGGGCATCCCTTAGGAAAGATCCAGCTGACATGGGAACGGGCAGATGCCCCACATGCCAGCACAGAGCCCTGTCCTGTTCACACCCCTCCTGGAGCAGCTAATGGCATCAAAAATGTCTTCAACATTATGGTTTCTGGCCAGAAACCCTTCCAGATCCAGTGAGAGCTCCAAGCCAACTTTGCAATCACTGACACAGACACAAACCACTTAGCCAAGTATTAAATTCAGTGATTTCTGACACAATCCTTTATTATCTGCCAGCACTGCACCTGGCAGTACTGTACATGGCCAGGAGGGAAATAAGCTCTTCCTGCACCTGCACAGGGAAGGGAAAACATTCTTTCCTCCAGGTCTCTGTGGCAGGGCTAGAAAACACAAAACCTGAAAAACTGAAACCAAGCAAGCAGGATTGAGCTCTGTCCTCACCTCGGGGATGTGCCAGAGACCCCCTTCCCTTCAGCCCTCCTCTGCCCCTTCCTGCTGCGCTCAGCTCCCCGTGGCAGCCTCCCAGGAAAGCCCAGCAGGATGGAATTGCCTGATTCCTCCAGCTGTTCCCCGTCTCCCACCCGCCGTGCCCGGGCTGCTGTTCCCACCTGCCGCGGAGAGCACGGGGAGAGCTGCCCGGATCAGGGCTGGATAAACGGCAAAGCAGAGCATATGGAATGCTTCAGCCTCCCCCTGTGCTCCTGCCTGGTGCAGGGAGCAGCTCTGCTGGGCCTTTCTGAGGAGGCAGTGCCAGGTGTTCCTGGATGCAGGCTGGGCTGGAGAGGGGGATCAGGGAGCACGGAGGTGATGAGGGTCGATGGACCGAACGCAGGAGCTGCTGCTGGGCACTGACTTGTGCTCACTGATCTGTTCAGAGGGCCCTGAGGAGCTGTCTGAAGAGAAGCTGAGAGCTTCTGAGGCGGGAGGGTTCTCTGGAACAGGCTGTCAGCAGCATGTGACAGCCAAGATGTGTCTCAGGGGGGCAGGCACGGGGACTGAGCCAAGGAAGAGGAGACACAGCCCATCTCCCTGCATGCTCTGTCCTCCAGGGCTCCAAAAACCAGCCCATCAACTCCTACAGTTTTGTGTCAGCAGACACATAATGCATTGATTTCCCATTCTTTAAAAGTCAGTACTCATTCAACGTTTTCCCACGCCAACAGAGGAATGTACACAAAAGTAGTAAATGAAATAGAACTTTATTAGAAGCTTCCAGCATATTTTATCTGTTCTTCTCCTCCACAAAACTCCTCTTGCTGGATAGACAGCTGCTATAGTCCATATAGAGCCTGTACATCTCTCTCACTACTTACAGTTACATATCTCACTGTACAATTGCACAGTTGTGCTCTCTTATCAGCAATAATACATGGTCTTCAGTCCATCCCTACACATATTAAAATTGCATGGCACTCTGCATTACAAGGAAAGAGCTAAACCTCCCCTCTCTGGTTTCATGAGACAAACATCACCACACCGTTCCTATAAAGCTCACAAGCAGATCCACACTGGTATTCTGGGCTGATTTCCCTTAGTACCTTTGTGGATCTGGTCCCTGAGTGCTTAATCTCGCATTCATGCTGTTACCAGACCTGGGAGTGAAGAAAAACCCTCATGAATAATGCCCTTGAGTGATGAGGAAGGCACTGGAGACAGGGGAGGAACTGAACCGCTTCCTTTTCATTTTTCACCCCACTTCGAGCCCTGCCCAGCCCCCCAGGTTACAGACTCAACCACAGCACCCCCTCACCCCACACCTGCCCCAGCCAACTTTATCCCTCTAGGGTGGGAGGCAGAAGAGGGAACAAGTCATATATCCAGACCCTACATGTGGTTTGGGCAGAGCCAAACATGGACACGTACTTCTTCCTCCTCTCCAACATGCTCCTGTCCCCCTCAGGGCTCTTCCCTGAGCTCAGCCCCTCTCTCTGCTGCCCCTTTCCATCCTGTGCATCTCCTGCAGGACCCTTCCCCTGGCTCTGGCTGTGTGACCCCTGTCCATCCTCTGCCTACGGGTTTGGGACGTTGCCCTTGCAGCGGGTGCTCCTCACCCACAGGGACGGACGTGGCTCTGGCTCAGCAGGGCTGAGGTGGCTACATGCAACAGAAACCTTATCTCAGCCTCCTGCACTGTCACACTGAACTGTGACTTCTTGGAGTGAAACCCAGGAGGATGAGTCCTCCTGCAGTGAGCCAAACTAGTCATGGGAGTCCCGGGCTCTGCCAAGAGAGCGGCCCCTCCGTCCCCCTCTAACTGCTGCCCAGCCAGCACATGCTTAGCCAAGCCCCATGTTTGGACAGACAGCTCTTCCCAAAGCTCTCTGCACTCTTCCTTCACAGGTATCCCAGCTCTTTCATACAAATAAAGCACTTTCCTGGTTTCCCTCCACCACGTCCATGCCTTCCTTTGCCACCAGGTGACTTCAGCAGGGAGGAGGGATAAGCAGTGCCCTGGGACAGACACTGGCTGCTCCTAGGGAGTGTCCCAGGAGAGTGCAAGGAAAGACCAGAGCCAGCCCAGGCTGGGCTCCCTTTTCTCCAGTACAGGTACCGACTGCCTACCGTGCCATAAACTCCGGTCACCGGAAGGATCCTGCTTCCCGTGACGTCCTGTCCCGTGTAGGGATGGGTCCAAGAGAAGTCTTGGTGCTGGGATCCAGGCTTCTCCCACTGTCCAAGAACAAAGTCCACAGTCTCTGCCTCCACCGTGCCCACCTATCCCCAGGAAGCACCTCCAGTGTGAGCTGAGCCTAAGTCCGGGGGTGTCCTTCTCTGACCTGCCTCCGGAAGTAGCGGATGGCAGAGAGCGTGCCAAAACTTGCCAGGAACACTGGAAAAGAGCCCAACACATTTCCACAGTTAGTCTGGGTGCTTCTTCCCAACCTAAAGGTCTTTTTTTTTTTCCCAGATCTGTAGATCACAAGCTTGGCTCACCCTGCTCCGTGGGACATAGAGGGGTCACTCCCCTCCCTTCCCCAGTCCCCTCCTGCCTTTGCTTTTCATCCCCTCCACGCTGAATTTATTCCCAGTGCATTCCCAGCCACCCACAGCCTGTCTGCCCACATCTAGTGCTATAGTTTGTGCACATGGATCACATCACCATTCCACAGCAAACAGCTTTTTTTCAAGGACAGTACTAAACAGGCTCCATGTGTGGGGCAGGGATGTGCACTGGTTGGATACACAGGTTCAGGTGGAGATTAAATGGATGGGTTGGATACACAGGTTTAATCCTGGATGAGGAAGACGCAGTAGAAAATCTCACCAAGGCTTCAGGATAGTCCCTTCATTTTCTACTTCTGTTTGGACCAGGAAGATGCCAGAAAAATACCATTTTGTGGATTATCTGTGGATTTTCTGATCCCAGCCAAAAGCAGAAAGTACCCAAAACAAAAAATGTGGAGATATAACAAATAACTAGTGGGGATTATACACAGAATCAAGCTTTTCTCTGTACTGTCAGCCAATGTTTTTAACTTGGTTTATAAGAGAGGTTAAATTCCCAAGCAAAACTGGGAATCCAAGCCATGCCTTTGGAGTTCCCAGTTTAAATTCAGACTTGATTTTTACTTATGTGTTAGAGGGACATAAACAGACCAATTCAACTGGAACACAAAATGCTTAAAGAGAATGGCTTGTCCAGGACTAGATGGAACTGCCTCCCATCTCCCCTCCTCACGGGGGTTATGTGATCCCGAGGGCACGAGGACCCATATCCTGCTTTTCTCACCTCCCCGAGGCCACGTCCACCATCCCAATACCCAGAAGACAAGGAGGAGCAGGCCAAAAGCTCCTTGTGATGATGGCACTGAGCAGCCTTAGCTAATGAGCTATTCTCAGCCCAGGGTGTCAGCTTCCTGTGTGACCTTAGTGGGGAACATTCCTCCCCTGGACAAGCAGCAGGAAGCCTTGTTCCCACATCTCAGCCCATGGAAAAGGCTCTCCAGGGCTGGACCCTGCACTCAGCTGCTCCATCCAGGGTAGGAATGAGGAATGCTGCTCTCACTGCTCCATCCCCTGCTTATCCAGCGACCTGCACTCCCGGGGGGCTCAGCAAATTTGTGATTCCCGAGCTTCCTCTCTTCCCAACTATCCCAAAACTGTGGTTGGAGAGGAGAGGATCCAACAGAGCTCCGTTTACCTGCAGGACTCAGTGCACCAGGATGATACTTCAGCTAAGCTGCATTTAGAAAGAAGATTATATCTTCACAGCACATTAGAAAAAAACACATGCATTTGTTCCAGTAGAGATGAGGGAGCCTAAACCTGCACACTCCAGGTCCTGATTCTGCTGCTAGCCAGCATGGATCCTAAGGAAGCCTCTCTTCTCCTGGCAAACTGCTCCTGGTTCCTGTCAGCAGCAGGGCCAAGGCTGGGGATAGACTTGTCTGACAGCTCAGCTCCTGTCAGCAGCCACTTGGTGCGGGGAAAGGACGATGTAAACGAGCAGGAGCCGGGACTGCCACTCCATAAGAGAGGCAAGGCACTAAAAGCACACTTTGGAAAAGCAGGGAGGTGACTGCACTTTCCCACAGGCAGCAGTAGGTGTATTAAATGCACCCCTGCCTTTGTCCCTGCCAAGTCTTCCACGAAGTCATTCCCACCCCTCTCCCGCCGGGCCGGGCACTGTACGTACTGGTCTTCCAGGCATCCGGAGCCTGCAGGTCAGATGTCTTCACTGCCCAGGACGCAAAGGCACAGAAGACCAGGCACATGTCTTTGTGGGTCAGCACTCGTGGATCCTCTGCTGTCCCTGCCAGGAGAGGAGCACGAGGTTTGGGGTTTTATGCCACCTCCTCCACCCCAGCCCCCCCGTCCCTCTGGGACACGAGTCCCTCGCGCTCCTGGGGGGTCACATCGTTGTCACACATTTTCCCTCCCAGATGACATTTTTGTCACCGTTTGTCAAGTCAAACGTGTCTATTTAGGACTCAGTTATGGTCCCTAAAGTTGAGGGGTGCGTTTTCCACCCCTCTCAGTTTTGTACTTTGTTGAAGACCCTGAGGCAAATGTTTGTTAATGCCACCCCAGGACCTCTGGCTGCCTCACACCTCCCTGTGTGCCTTCCCAGCTCAGTGTGGTGGCTGGAAGTGGGTCTGGGGAGTAGATTTAGGAGAAAGTGATTCCTGGGAACCTCTGGGCCAGGCCCCCTTCCTGCCAGACAGTGCCCCAAAGGCACACACTGCTCTAGGACAACATCTATTCCCCTGAGAAGCACCAGTGCTCAGCATCTCACTGATCCCACCCCACTCCCACATCCTGCTAAGTCCAGGGATGGGGATATCCCTGAGTGCTCTACATTTCCTCCCCTGCTGCATTTCCAGCCTGGAACAACTCCATGCTGTAAGAGTAGGTTATTTTTGCTCCCATGTTTATTTGATCAGGTTTTTAATTAAAACTGACTTACTAATTATCTGTGACCATGGCAAAGGGGGCTTTTCTCTGTGCAAACCGACTGGAAGCTCTATTTTGAGGCACCCTTTGGGATGACTCACTCATTGTTTGGGTTTAATATTAACCACGAGGCCCTGTGGCTCCAAGCATCATATAAGCTTTAAGACAAACACACTGGGCTGTCCTCGTGGGTTAAACTTCTCTCCCTTTATTCCTGTTTCTCTTACCTGCCTCCAGGAACACTCAACGTTCAGGTGACCTCTGTGGTCTCTGGAGGGTGTTTTTCAAATTAAGGGCATGTTTTTAAAGTCCCAGATTCCCTGTTCCCAGCCTGCAGGACCTGGCCAGCAGCGCTGGCTTGGCATGGGGACAGTGGGAGCATCCCAAGGGATGGGATGTAGGGACACATCCCTACAGGGGATAACATGCTTTACCTCTCAGTGCAAGGGCCATGTCCTCACCCTCTGGCCACACCTGGCCTCTTCCCAGGGGAGCCAGCGGGACGAGGGCGAACTTCTCTCCGGATCCTCTCAGCACCAGAGCCTGGGAGGTTGGGGCTTCTCCTCCGACAGGGTGTCTTTTCCTTTGCAGGAAGGACTTCAGAGCCCCCACAGCTCTCTTCACCTCGGAGGCTGGAGCGATTGAGAAAATCCCTCTCCAGCCCATCCTGTTCCTAGGTCTCTCTGGGAAGAAGTGTTCACACACCTCAGGGACTGAGATAATCACAGTGTCCTTGACTGGAGCTGAGCTGGGATCCTCATTCTGCAGCCCAGTGTGGTCCAAGCTGCCGAACTTCTTCCTTTTCCTGTCTTTACGTTTGTCTTTTTTCCTTTTACCTTCTGGCTCGTTGAAAAAATACTCATAGAGTTCAGGCCAGGATATTTCCCTTTGCAAGGGTGATCTCCGCCCCTCCACTGAGCTCCCCAGTTCTTCTTCCTCCTCTTGGGAATCACAGAACAAATAGTCATACATCTCAGGCCAGGTCACATCCAGGGTGTTTGACCTCGCAGAAGCCCCATCTGCAAAGCATGGGGGGCTCAGCTTCCTGGGGGTCTCAGGGGCAGGTTCCCAAGGGATCTCAGGGGTGGCAATCCTGGGGATCTCAGCTGCAGTCTTCCTAGGGATCTCAATAGCAGGAGACCTGGGGATCCCAGCTGAAGGCATCCTGGGAATCTCAGGGGCAGGTTCCCAAGGGATTTCAACTGAAGGAACCACAGGGATCTCTGAGGGCTTGCTGGGGATCTCAGCTGCAGGAAACTCAGGGATCCCAAATGCAAGGACTCCAGGGATCTCAACTGCAGGAGCTCCAGGAATCTCAACTGCAGTAGCTCCAGGAATCTCAACTACAGGAACCCCAGAGATCTCAACTGCAGGAACCCCAGAGATCTCAACTGCAGGAGCTCCAGGGATCTCAGCTGCAGGAACCCCAGGGATCTCAGCTGCAGGAACCCCAGGGATCTCAGCTGCAGGCTCCCTGAGGATCCCAGCTGCAGGATCCCCACAAGCTCCCTCAGCAGCATCCCCTCCAAAAGCTGCCACGTTCTTGGCTTGGAGAGGCTTCCCTGGCATCTCCTGGCATGCCTCTCCTGAAGGAGCCACGGCTCCGTTGTCAGGGATCGGTGGTGCACTGTCACGTACGCCCAAGCCACCAGCCTGCCCTGCCTTTGAGGGCTTGGTGGCCTTTGTCTTCCCCGGGGACTGTGCCCCTGGCTCCTTCCCCTTCTGCCTCAGGGGAGCATTCCCAGCTGGATCACCCTCATCCACACCAGGGCCGGGCACCTGCTGCTTGGCCTCCGCCGCCTCCTCGCTGCCCAGCCTCACCAAAGCCGCCTTGGCCGCCTTGTCCTTCCCTTTGCTCTTCCGAGAGGATGCTGGCGAGCTCGGAGGTGCCTTCCCGGGTCCCTGAGCGGCCCCCTGAGCCGCAGCCCCCCCTGGGTCCCTGTCCCCCTCGGCAGCGCCGGCCCCGCGCTGCTGCTTGCGGCTCTTCTTCTGCTGCCCCGGCACCTTGGGCCTCACCACGCTGGGGGACCCGGCCGGGGAGCTCTGCTCGGCCCCCGCTCTCTCCCCGCTCGCCTCCTCCTGCGCAGACCCCGGGGACGGGATGGGAGCATCGCACGGGGGTCCTCGAGGCCTGGGCTCCGAGTGGGAGGCGCTGGGATGCCTTTTCCTGGCAGGGGGTGCTGGTGAACCGCCATGGGGTTGTCCCCCTGCCACGTCCCCTGCCTGCTCAGGGGTGCTCGGAGTGCCGGGGGGCTCCATGGCCCGGCTGCCTCCGGCTGCTCCTTTCTCCGGTGCCGCCGCTTCACCTGCTGCGTCCTGCCCCGGGTTGCCCTGGGCTGTGCCCCCAGCCTGGCCGGCCAGGGGGGCTGCAGGAGGGCGGGGGGGCTGCCTCCTCTGTGCACTGGGCATGGCAGCGGGGGCCAGGCAGCCGGGCTCGTCGCTCTCGCACAGGAACCTGCCGACCGAGCCCAGCTCCGCTTCGTCCTCGCTGCCCGACAGCAGCTCCGCCGGGGAGAGGTGCCCACCGGCCTGCCAGCGCAGGGGGGTGTCTCCGGGCACCCCACGTGGGGCAGAGCTCCCCGTGCCAGGCGCTGGCTCGCTGCCCTCCCTGGCTGGGATCAGCCTGTCGGGGCTGGCGTGGCCGTCCCCTTGCTCAATGTCACTGAGGCACTGCTCCTCGGCCGTGGCCAGCGAGGCCGGGGCGAGGCTGCACTCCTCCGAGGCCAAGAAGAACTCAGCCCATTCCCTGTCGTTCAGCTGGATGCTGTACTCGAAGTTATCCATGCCTGCAGCGGGAAAGCAAAGGGGAGGGGGGTGGGAGAGATGGGGGCATGAGGAGGCGGCACCAGTGTTGGCAGACACGGGCGAGGTGTGTGCCCCTAATCCTGTCCCCACGGGTTCTTTCTCTGCCAGCTGCATTCACTCCTCCTCACTTCATCCTCCCTTCTTTCCAGCTGAAATTCCAGCTCCTGGCAGGCTCAGCAGGATTGGGGATGGCTGTGCTGGACCATAACCCAGACAGCAGTGAGAGAGACCACTGCTACCTCCCTCTGGTCCCTTCTGCCTGTGCTCCCCGAGCACGGCAGCACAGAAGGGTTGGGATTCTCTCCACAGCAGCACAGAGGATTTGGGATTCTCTCCACAGCAGCACAGCAGTATAACACCTCACACATCCCTTTCCTGCTCCTCTTGCCTACAGTCCCCTTCAAAAACTGTGGGATTTCTGTTCTTGAGCGTTCCTGCTGCCACAGCATCATGCATTAGGAGAGCACGAAGCACACTCCAAACAGGACATTCCAGCAAGCCACGGCAGCTCCTTCCATAGCCGTGACCCTGGGGAGGGAGTTGGCAACAGAGCCCCAACTGTGGGGATCCAGCAGCAGAAGCAGCAGAGAGATCACAAAGCTGAATCCTACCTGTACCCCAACCTAAGGCGGGGATGGAGCCATTCAAAGAGCCACGCAGGAAAATCCTCCCAGCACAACATGATGCCGTACCCTTGACGGGGGCAGAGAGCTCGGCTCCAGCACAGATCCATTCAGGGGCTAAAAATAGACCCCCCCCTCCCTCCCCAGCGTGTCACTTGAGAGCCGAGTGCGGTGGGTTCAGAGAGGGCAGGCCCATATATAGAAGCTGGTGGGGGAGATGTCAGGGCATCAGCCAATGTGTGCCTGTCCCACAGCCACGTTTTGGGGGCCCTGGGACCACTCCTGATGCCCACTGCTCCCTTCTGCCCTCAGCCTGGGATTGTTCCGTGGGATGGCCAACGGAGAGGGGGCAAAGACCACGGAGCTCACACCTTTCCTCACATGACGGAGTGGGACACCTGGATGGCAATGACTGTCCTTTTTCCCACACACACCCACCTTTTGCCTCAGTCATGATTTCCAAGGTGACAAAGGCACGCCTCAGGGCATGGTTCAACCTACTGAGAGCGCTCCCAGGGCGCTTAGTGCCAGCCTACTGCAGAGTGACATCAAAAGATCACAGCCACCGTCATGGTCTTGTGACAAACCTTGCAGGGTGCGTGTGGCAGCCGTCCCACCCTGCCCAGGGACACCTGGTCCACAGGCTGGAGGGAGCCTGGGCCTGGAGGCTCTGGGTGAGCCTGGCACGAGGGAGTTACTGGCCGAGGGTGGCCTGGCAGGTCAGCAACCAGAGCCAGAAATAGCCCTTGGCTCCCACGAGCCCCGGAGCTGCCTCCCACCACATGCCCTCCCTGTCCCAGGGGCCAGAAATAGCTGCCCTGAAGTAGCTGCTGCAGGACAGTGGCTGTGAGTGTGAGCCCCAGCCCAGCTCCACGAGCTGGTGCCCCAGGGGGACCAGCACTGCCCCAAGGCTCCGGTCACTCCTTCTGTCACCAGGATGCTGCAGCCCCCACAGCTGGAGACGGCCAGTGGTGTAGATGCTGTGGGAGCTGAGAGGGACCCACGTGCTCTGCATCCACTTTGGGGGTCCTGCAGATGCTACAGGAGCCAAGAGGGACCCACATGCTCTGCATCCACCTCGGGGTCCTCATCCAGGCTGGGGTGCTGGCCATACCACCCAGGGAGCTGGGGACCAACTGGGGGGATCCAGCTGGGAGGAAGGAACCTCCTGCCCTGCCCTGCCAGCCCTGCCAGCCCTGGCCATCCCGCGGGATGGAAGCTCCCCGTCGTGGCTGCCACCTCACACTGCACAGCCCGGCAGCGAGCCAGGAGGGTCCAGCCCACCAGCAGCTGGAATTGAGGGGTAAATATTGCCCAGGACACGCTTCCCTTCTCCCTGCTCCAGGCTGACGCACGCAGGGAGCTTGTCCAGCCGGGAAAATATGGAAGGAAAGAGGTCTGCTGCCTTCCCATCCTATCTCATGTCTGATCTGGCTACACCCTTCTCCCCCTCACACAACTCCCAGACACAGAAGGGAAACCAACTGGCTTCCTTTTCTTGGCTGCAGTCGACTTCCTTCCCTTTGAGCCCGGCAGCCAGGGTTAGTCAGAGAAACCTTTAAACCAAGCCTCGCAAACCGCAGCAGAGAACATGAAAGGGGCAGAGGCAGCGAGACGGAACTGGGAGCCAGCGGCTGTGTTATCAGCGTCACATTGCAAACCCAGTGCCAGGGCAGCCACACAGCAAACCCCGCAGGAACTGCACACACCCCGCCACACGGCCCACCCAGGGCCCCCCCCCAGACACAAACAAGTCTCAGCGCGGGAGACATCCCGCTATTTATTTAGCTGTCCCAGGGCGAAGCCCGCGCGCCGTCCTTGGGGAAATGACACATCTGCCGCCGCTTCCTGCCTTCCTCCTGGGGGATGACAGCCCAGCGTGGCCTTCAAGGGCATGGCACCCTGCCCTGAGCCTCAGGGGTGGCAGAGGGGCAGGGTGCTGCCTGCCAAGGACATCCAGCAGTGGCAGCCTGGGCAGCCCGGCTCCGATTTCCTTCTGGCACGCGGTGCCTCTCTGGGATACCTGGCTCCAGCTCTCCCGAGGAGGTGGTGCCAGATGCTGGGATGCCACGGGGCTGCTCCAGCACCATCCGGCGGATGGCACCTGCCGTGGGCAGAGCCAGGAGGGCACAGCCTCCCAGCACCTCTTCCCAGCACCTGCAGGATGGACGCTGTGGTGTTAAGGACATCATATAAATAACTAATGTCAATGTGTAATTAGAGATGGGCCTGAAATAAAGCAGCAGATGAGGTCCCTCTCTCTGCCTCGTGGCATAGGACACAGCGTGGGAGAAAGAGCCAGGATCAAGGGCATGGAAAAGGGGCCTAGGGAGGAAAACCAGGAGGGACATGGAGGGCTCTTCCTTTGGAATAAAGACCTGTTCTGTGGTTTCAAGCTCCACATTTGTTACTCCAAGTGTAAAGGGGTTTTGACTGCTGGGAAAGGAGCTTTCAGAGCTTTATAGAATAATACTCTGAGATAACCAATTTCCTATCCAGGAAACTCCATTTGGGAAAATTCCATCTCCATGCAGCTCTTAAAACCAGCACTAAAACATCACGAGTATGGGGGTTTGGCTGAATTCACTGTGAGACAACACAGACAGTGCAGAGAAATGTGGCTTTGATTACGAAGATGTCCTCCCTGCCCTGATCTACACCCATCACATGCTGCGTGTGAGGGGAGGAAGAGAGATGAGCTTGTAGGAAAAGCAGTGGAAAAAAAATAAAAACATAATGGAAAAAGAAATGTGTCCGCAGCTTCAGGAGCAAGACAGCGTTGGCCCTTGCTGCTTCCCACTGCCCAGGACAGACTCTGTGGTTATCTTCTCATGCCTTCTGCAGCGTTGTTTGGATCATCCTTCAGCCTCGGTCACTGATAGTGCCTGGCCTTGTCTGCTCGTCTCTGGCTGGGCTCTGGACTCTGGTCCTCTGCTCTTTCAGCACCATAAATCTTGTGATCTCCCCCTGATCTGATGCATTTCCTCCCTTCCATAAATTCCTGTGAGGTACAAACTGTCACACGGATAGCTCGGTCCTTGGATTAGGGAAGGCTGAGCTGCTCAGGTGCAGCTCTGACCTTGCACCCTCACTGCCACCAGACCTCCCTCGAGAGGAGGGAGGGAGCAGACGTGGAATTCTGATCTCCCCCGGGGAAAGCCTGGGAGGAGCAGCTCCTCCAGGCTGAGGAAGGGGTTAACTCTGCACTGAAACTCGAAGTGCAAGGAAGCTGTAACCACCAGGCTGGTTTTGCTGGTTTGGGGGCCGGTGAGCAGGAATTATCACCCCCAAACCATAAGGCTCTCCACGTTGTTTTTGCCCAAACCCTTTAACTATTTTAGTGGGTTTTTTTCTTTCTTTTTTTTTTTTTTTTTGCCTGAAACTCACTCCCCAGGCTCTCTTAAAATTCAAGCCCATGCTTCCCGAGCCGCCAGCAGCAGGCTCACGCAAAGGTCAGCCTCTGCTGACTTGAAACTCAGCCCGCACTCGCCTGAAACTCTGCCAAGCTCTTCCAAAAGCTCGTATCCTGGCCGGAGTTTCGGGTTGCTAATCCAAGTCTCGCTGGGTTTCAGATTTCTCTGCAAGCTTTGGCTTTGCTCTACACAAGAATAGCTCCGGGCTACATCCACGCTGTGCTGGCGGGGACCCTTCCAGCCCCAGGGGCAGGGGTGCCAGGAGAGCAGGGTAAACAGGGCAGGCAGCTGCCTCAGGGGCACGTGGATGGGCTCAGCATCCGTGATCCTGGATGCACCATCCCTGGGGGACAGGTTCTACAACGAGCTCCCCAGCTCTGCAGGAGCTGCTGGGTAGGAGCTGTGGGACACTGTCCCTTGCCCCAGAGCTGTGCCCAGAGCCCTGTCAGGAATAGCTGCAGCCACAGGACTGCAGAGATGTTGCCCAGAGAAGCTGTGGCTGCCCCAGCCCTGTAAAGTGTCCAAGGCCAGGTTGGACAGGGCTTGGAGCAACCTGGGCTAGTGGAAGGTGTCCCTGCCCGTGGCAAGGGGTTGGAACTGGATGAGCTTTAAGGTCCCTTCCAACCCAAACCATTCCAAGATTCCATGACTCAAGGTGCTCGCTTGGCAGCAGTTCTTTCACTGCCAGAGGACAGGCCAAGACCTAAATCACCACAAAACTCACCAGTGCAAAGCTACCCCAGCACCTTGTCTCAAACCAAAGTGTAGCACAGTGACAGCAGCCCAGTGCATGGTCTGGGTGGCTGTGCTGCTCCCGGCTTGGGGACAGCAGCTGTAAGGCCAGGGGACAGCTGTCATGTCACAGCCACCTCGCTTTCCACATTGCTCACTGGTGTGAGAGACAAGCTCTCTGCAAGTCATACCCATGCAGAGAGAGCTATTC